TCGAGGCTGTGTCACGTCCATTGATCAACATCAAAAATCTACCCGTATTAGGTGCTAGGAATCATTTGACTCACACAACGATCGCCCTGGATCAAAGACCGCAACCAGATAAATCCTTTCATTGCAGTCACAATCTTGTTTCGCACTAGCCTTTGATCTTATTCTCATCGTTGGCATCAGGTACGACAAGTCCTACATTGTTTGAGGCCCAGGAGACACGTTGTCTGGCCGCTTACCTATGTGGGTGGGTTCTGCGCCCCCGCGACTGCTGCCTATCTGCCTTGCAAAGGGTCCAGTGCCAAGTGACCTCACAGCCTCGCTGAAGCCCACAAGGCTCCAGGGAAACTTCAACGTTTCCAAATCTCAATCTTGAGAAGAACCTCTCACATTCATATACGTCTTGTTTTGTTCTGGAAAAGGTCGAATCAGTACACGGCGACGTCGCGGCGCCCTCCTCCTTACCAGCAACGACTATATCACATCCTCCACCATTATCCTCCACCTGCTAGCGTCAGGCTCTGTACTTTGAAGATCTGAGCAGCAGTGCATCTTGACCTAGTGTTATTTCTTCGCAGCAAAATCTTCGGAAGAGGCCCGTTTCACCCTTTGAACTATCTTGACACACAAGTTCCAACGCAGTTTCTTTGCTGTCACCTTCTTATTATTTACTACTCCCTTATAAATACATTCCCCATCACCATACATATTCACCCATCTTTGACTTTGTTACCACAACTCACGATCTTCTACTATCGAGCCTTTGGACAGTCTTTACTTTTCCCTGTACTACATAATAAACCTCTTTGCAATATCTAATTAGCGTATATCACCAATGGCTGATATACTTGTGAGCTGGTCAAACAGGATGCGTGAGGAGATGGAAATGGATGAAGAGAATGAAGATTCCCAAGTGCAGGCAGGCCAGAGCGAGCAGACGGATCAGGCAGACCAAGCAGGCCAAGCAGAAGCCTTTGATCCTTTCCAAGATCTCTCCAGAGATTCCTCTGACGACACCGATGATGAGGACAATGGAGAGCTTGTGGAACCTCTTGTACCGATGCCGCGATGGAACAAGCGCAAGAGTATACAAGAGCAGCGTGATGAGCGTGAGGAACTGGACGTGTCCCGCGTGACTTGGCCCCATCTTTACGGCAAGGACGGCGATACACTCGTCGTCGTCGATTTTCCGCAATTCAATGCAAAGGCTTGCAATGGCCTTCCCTGGTACGGGCGAAAAGAATTTCGCGTGGAATCGGCCATCCTTCTTGATACTCGGTCGGCATTCTTTGAAAAGGCTCTCTCCGAAAGGCAACAGTCCAGATACCGCCGCCGCCTCAAGCTGAATGATCTGCCATCGGGTATAAAATTCATCCTAGACCTCACTCCATCGCAAGAAGGAGATGAGGCCGCTGCCCTGCTGGCCGACCTTTCGGTTCCCACCGGTGCTCGCGACTGGTGGATGTCCAAGGAGCGACTCGGAGTTCCCACCTCTCTCGTCTCGGGCCACGATGATGTTTGCGCATATCATGACAGCATGCCCGACAATTGCATCAAGACCGAAGGTCACATCCCAGCATCTCAACCGGGATCAGATGACGACTTCAAGTTCAAGGTGACATTGAGCCTTACAGACTGCGCCCATTGCTATGAACGAGAAATTCGCGACTACTGCGAGATTCGCCACAGAGCCAACATCATTCGATTGCTGTTGTGCCTTGCTGGTCACGATCTGGTGTTGAACTCTGCACCACGCGTCTACACCATCGTGGGACTTGCCAAGTACTTTGACGTTACTTCTCTAGTGGTAAGTATATGAGACTTCCCCTGCCGTCTAACTGCGATGAAACTAACATTTATGCCAGAGCTCACATGTGCGCGCTTGGTTGGAGCAACACAATAACAGTAGCTTCATCGACGTTCATCCCGAGATCGCTATTGACATAGCTTGGAAACTTCAACTGAGTGACATGGTGCGGACACCACTGCGCATCATTGTCGTCGAGAGAGTTCTGGAACCTGACGCCACCAAAGTAAACCCCGTCACCGTCTTTGGTCGTCCCCGAACCAGTTTGGCAGATGACATTAGTGAGGTTGTTCAGCACGCTACAATCGCTGCGCGGAGCAGAACCATGGAAGCTGTCCGCAATCTTGTGTCTGACGGATCTGCAAACGCTTACGAATGGCTACAAATTCCGGCCTGGAGGCATCTCGTGAGTATTCGCGACACAAGTAAGTGTTCAAAGTCCTACTTTTATACTTATCCGATGTCTGTGATATCATTAGAATCTTTTTCTTCATTCCCAGAGTCACCTCATCAAGTGTTGAGCGTGAATATGTATACCGGGTATCTATTTCGACATGACTTGGCAGTTTAGCTAACTCTGTTGCTTTACAGTGCAGTCCGAATTGAAAGAAATTAGGATCGATTGGGATCTCATGGAGGCACAGAAATACGTGGCCCAGATTGACCAAATCCTTAATGCAATGAATCAATACATCGCCAATACTGTTCAGGCGGCCTTGGCTGCCATGCCATATCCTACCCAAGTCGAAGCGATCAACAGTGATCGACTTGCATATCTGACCCAGGGAACCTCTGCCCAGCAGTTCAACAACATCATCAGCACATTCAGCGACGAACAATTCCTACTCATGCAAGTCTTCTGGTCTCGGTTTCAAAATTCTTTGTTCAAGTGGGAGGGTTTCAAAACCATGTATATCCCTGACCCATCCCACCCAGTACCAAGGACCTTGGCCGGCATTTATCAGGACTTTTTCTGGGCACTGGAGCGACCGCACACAGCCAAATTGTTCCCATCTTTGTTTGAATTTGACCCGGAGGGACCCAAAGTCTCGCTTCACGAAATCCATAATCAGCTCATCATCGCCTCAGCCGAGATGAAACAGAGATGGTGCCCACTACCGGAAGAGCTCGAGACGCCCCTACGCCGGTCCCAGCACCTGGCGCTGGGAATGACCGAGGACGAGTTTGGATTTCTACCATTGTGGGCCGGTGGTCTGGATGATGGCACCGGGGCGGCCTTTACCGACATGGCGGTTCCAGATACCGACATGGGCCCGATTGAACCCGGACCTGGCTATCGCACTGGCCAGACCGTTGCCTCGTCTACCGCTGACTCGGACGCGACAATCATTGGAGGTGGAGTGTCGCTCAGGGTGGCCGCCTCTGGCTCGACTACGAACACTAGCTTTGTCGAGGTGGACCATGAGGAGGTCCTGTCGCTCTCTGATGACGAGGACGATGAGGAAGACTTTGACGATTACGATGACGATGACGACTCATTGATTATGCTTTAAATCATTTGGCTAAGAGAAACATTCAGAAACGGCGTTTTGGGTAGGCATCTGACCTTGTAAACGGAAGACGACTTGCAGTGTCGAATCAAAAATAGGACATATTTCACATATCGAAGAACAAATTTCAGGATAATACTATCCCGTAGAAGCCTCTGCAGAGGCCCAGATTATATAAATCTGGATCACCTGTCCTGCTAAGAGTGATCTTTATTGGCATTTGCCCATCCCCTTCGCGTCTGATTGATAGGTGCAATCACTTTCTCAAAGCCGGTTTTCTGATAAATCAAGAGCAACTATCCCCTGAACTTCTTGCTGGCCTCGACAAAGCTCATACCATTCTTGATTGCCTCGGCCATCTTCTCATCCGCCGCGACACCCTTGCGCATCAACTCGAGGGCCTCGGTCGCCAACTCGCGCGGGAGCACCACGACGCCATTCAAATCACCCATGAGATAATCACCAGGCCGAATCAGCATGCCCGGCTGCGCATTCCCGGGCGCCTGCAGCTCGACGGGCACGTCGACGCCGACCACCTTGACCAGCTCGGCGGGCGGCGCCGTGCCCGTCTCCCGCGCAAAGACGGGATAGTCGAGGGCCCGGTGCTCGGCCACGTCGCGGAAGCGCCCGTCGACAACGGTGCCCGCAGCCCCGAGGTGCGCGGCCCGCGTCGACATGAGGCCGCCGTACACGGCGTTGGGGATGGGAGGGGTGGAGACAAAAATGACCGAGTTTCGAGGTACGGCATCAATCTGTTCATGGTTGAAAAAAGTACTCCCGTGTCAGCCCTGATGAAGAGTGACATTTCCTTGGTTGCTTGAAAGCGGAACGAGGGGTAAAGGACGCACATAATGGCCAGAGGCTTTGGGTGCCGGATCGCTCAGCAGAGCGTACTTGACCGTGTAGGCAGGACCGACGATCTTGGTGTCGCCGTCCTGCCGCTGCGGCGACCACATGGTCAGACCCGACAGGAAGCCGCCGTTGCGGTATTTGAGCTTGATCAGCGCATCGGAAATATCGCACCTGTGATTTACTTAGTCTGATTGAAACTCAACGCTTACACAGAAAAGATGAATAAGTAAGATTATTTACGTTGTGAACTCCTTTAATGCCTCGACGATCGGGTCGAGGTCAGACTGTGCAGTAGACATGATTGCTGAGCGGCTAAGTTTAGGACACTGGGCGGAGAAATGACGTATGCTTGAGAATTTCTGTAAGCAATGCTGAGCAACTTTTAAATTCAGCACTGATATTGCACCCTTGGTGGTCAAATTGAGTATCATTGGAAAATCTCATCAATGGTAACACATGTAGCATTCAAGATGTGACCATGTACTGCAGCTGTTCACATGCCGAAAACGCTATTGCCGTGGCTGCCGCTGGTGCGGCCCCGCTCAACCGGAGGATACCGGGGTACCATGAGACAAATATGATCAAGAACATCGCTTCTCCTCTCTATTCATGGTATCTAAGTCTATTCATATGGACCCCTTCTTTTTCTTGCTTGATTATACACTCTCATCACTTTTGTCTCGTCTCTCTCTACTTCCCTTCTCTATTTGGCAGCATCGCGAGCCTTGCAAAGATCGGTGTAAAAGTCAAGTCCGGAAGCCACTCTGATTGTACCGTACATGGAACTGCTATCAAGCGGCTTGCCGGGCTGGAGCTTCTGCGCTGTTTCCATATTCTTGAGGGCGACCTCACTGACCTCGAGCTGGGCCCCGGCGCTCTTTGCGCAGTTGAGCGCGTGCCGGGCGTCCTTGATGGACAGGGCCACGTCGAAGCCGGCCTTGCCGCCGGGCGCGGGGGCGTAGGCGCCCGTCGTCAGCCGCTTCGAGTAGCTGTCAATGACGGGCCCAAAGATCTCGCCCAGCATCTGCCCGGCCACGTCGGTGCCCAGGCCCGTCTTTTCGGCAAACACTTGGGTCTCGGAAATGACCTCCATGAACGACACCACGCAAATGTTGCCCGCAATCTTGAGCAGGGCCGACTTGGCAACGTCCTCGCCCATGTTGATTACCGATCGGCCCATGACGTCTTTCAGGTAGGGCGAGATGGCATCGATGGCTTTGGCGGGGCCAGCCACGCTGAAGACAAGCTTGCCCGCCTCTGCCACGGGGGAGGCTCCGAAAACAGGGGCTTGAGATGTGATGAGCATTCCGTCCTTGAGTTCATCGACTGATAGTCAAGTGCTTACCTGAGACGAATTGACCACCAGCCTCCGAAATCAATTTCGATACCTCGACTGATGTGTCTGGGTGGACTGTCGAGCAGTCTGCAAATACTTTGCCACTTATATCACCAGAAGCAATGATCTCTTGCGCGACTTCCTTGAGCACGGCATCATTGCTGACCTGATAGCGCAACATATCAGCATCCAATCAATACAGTTGCGACTCTTGAGCTTGTTCAGCGAAATCGAACTTACGCAAGAAAAGATAATGCTCGACTTTTGCGCAACTTCAGTGACAGTCTCCGCTGGCACCGCTCCCAATGCCTTCAGGGGTTCGCCCCGGGAAAGCGTCCTGTTGGTATACACTAGAGGTGGCGCACCGATGGCTGAGAGTTTGTTCTGCAGGTTCTTGGACATGCCAATGCCCATGGAGCCAAGCCCAATCCATCCGACTTGTGCTGAAGCCATGGTTTGTCTTGTACTCTGGAGAATGATAACAAGATATTACGGCAGAGGTAGTAACGGCCGGGGCGTATCAGGTACACAGTTGTCGTCAATCTTGAAGAACTGCCACTGAGGGACTAGCCAGAAGCGATCACAGGTGAGTGAATTTGAATATCTATTATGATGTCTATTCCATCCCGCTGGATGGGAGCAAGTCTCTTGCCCAGTCGTCTATATACAATATACTCGATGCCCGGGCTCGGAGATTTACCGTAGCCACATTTTCTATCTTCAAAAAAGTTCTATGACAGTAAATGTCGCATGAGTCACGATTTGGCCATATCAAAGCTTCGTGAGATTGTGAATGATGAATCCTGCACACCATAATTCAGACATTGCTCCTCAGTCGCGGATCACCAGCCGAAGGCGCCGTAGTTTCAGTGGACTTTAGTGCGTTCAAGCTTCGGCCTACTTCCGAGCACTCCCTCTCCCCGAACCCAACGGGTGGGAACAAGTGCCACAGGAGATAGCAAAACATGTCTATACTCCGGAACAATATCCCGAGTCTTATTTCCCTATCATCGGCCGTGTTTGCATCACTACCAAGGCGAAAACGGAGAAAGACAGTTCATAGTTCTTGGCATATGCCGTCCCCGTCCAAATCTCAGCGGATTGGAAAGTTTATGGTGGGGCGATAGGTGAGCGATGTCGCAGCGCAGCGGCGGTTGAAGAGCCGGCGAACCGTTGACTTGGTTGCAAAAACCGTCCTGGTGCGTGATATCGAGATTTTGGCTTGTATTACCCTCATGTACTGAGGCAGGCAACTCAACAAACATGAAGGCTTCGTCACAGGTTGGCCAGCGCAGAGATATTCTATTTCTTGAGCTGAACAGTAGCGTGGCTCGTGGTCAAGCACTTTGAGCTTTGATTTGGTGTTATCCGCCTCATAGGATGCCCCGGGTGTGATTCCGTCACAAATCTTATGATCATTATCCATACACCTGCACTCTTGAGACTATATCGTACGTCATCTGGTATCAGCACGAGAACAAGTGAACATAGAGAGGCATCTTCCGAATGCAAAGTTTCATCAGAAGAGAATTGGCGCGTGCCAAGATCTGCCAGCGCCATAATAGGAAAATTGCGAGGGCATTAGCGATATAAATGGAATAAATGGATGGAATGTTAGATACAAGAGCTTACTACGACCAATGATATATCTTATAGTTTATCGAGATTTCCCTTAATAGGTAAATCTCGGTTCTTTTTGGTAATTTCAAACATAGTTGGCAGTATGTACCCAGGCTGGGTTCTTTGACAAAGACAAACCCTGCTGATGACCATTTCGGTAGTGAACCGATGCACCACCCCTACAGGGAGTGACAGCAGCGGTTGTTCACACAGCTGTCCATGTTAGCCCGCTAATAGCCTTATGAGGCGTGCATCTCCCATCTTCGTATACAAGCCCCCTAGTAATGTGCTCTCCGTAGACGAAATAATCTCCGTCGGTGCGACGATATTGTCCACCATCGTCAGTGGTTTCCATCAGAAGGTTGAGATGCCAATGTGGTCATGCGATAAAGTGCTCAAAGTGGTGAGAGCAGCTTTCCGGGAACGCATTAGTTTGAGCAAGCAGCAGCACCCCTCAGCGTCGGTGCTGTGGTCAATTTGGCCGGCATAAAGCGCCCTAGATTCTAGGGATTTATTCGGGTATTCGGTATCATGATGAACCCTCATAAAGCTGCAATAAACAGTCGCTCAATGCATGTGGATTATCACAGCAAATTCCATCCAACGACATTCAATTGAGGAACACTCCATGTCTCTTCACGTGCATCGAGGCTGATTGACGCCTGTCTCCAGTCTCAAATCCCGCCACTGTCCAGGTGGTTCACTTGTGTTGTATTGGCATTGTGGCAACATGATCAATAACTCACAATACAAACGTAGTCTGCATGGTAACAGTTCTAAAGAAGACAGACAGACATGGATGCACATGTCCCCTCTGAGACTTGGCCTTCATGTTCCAAGCGTATGTCGGCAGTATAGATGGTCGTCATCGCTAATATTACCCAAACATACAGGCGTTATTACAGGGGCCTCTGAACTTCCCCAGCATCACCTTTACACTAATGCAAAGCTGCTGTCGTGGTATATTCAATGTACGTAAGAGGCTCCAAAGACTTGTCCATGGAGAGTGCTAATCTACACCACATCGATCGATTCTAATTGGTCTTATGACCATTGATGACTTATTGCTACTGCTCGCCTCGAACTTGCGGGGTAGCGCTGCCGTGGGCGGGGGACAGGCCAAGAAAGCCGCTATATTTGCAGGGGCTGGGGGCGTTTGTTAGGCCATTATTTAAAGGACAATGAGTCAAGTTAGCAGCACATATCTGATAAGACGACGTCTTGAGAAGAAGCACAGATAACATCGCCCTAAATTAGGTGGAGATAAGTCAAGGCGACACTTTTGGGGCGGGGCGAAACCAACCCAACTGCCCATTGATAACATCGACTGGCTCCATCCAGCAGCAAGCGGATCGCGAATCTTCAATGTGATGAGCTGCTGCTGCTACTGCTGCGACAACTTTAATATAGCAGATTACCGAAGAAGACGCAGGGCGGCTCTTGGGGGCAATACAATACTCGCGCTAGTAGGGAATGGAGAGGATGACAACACACAACAGTCCACCAAAGAGGGTTTCGAAACGGTCTTCCAACGCGTAAGTTGAGTCCCCAGAAAACTTCACGTGCCAGGTATGTACCTTAGGAATAAGCTCAATAGTAACATGAGATACAGCTGCGCGCGGTGTCGAAAGCAAAAGATCAAATGCTCTGGGTTGCAACCATGTGAGGGTTGTAGGAAGCGCAAGGTGGCATGCAATTTTGACGATAAGGACGACAAGGTGGTTGTAACAAGAGCGTGAGTCTTTATTCGACACATCAAACTCACGAAGTGGTGCTGATATCATCATTGAAGGTATCTTTTGGATCTACAGCGAAAGGTAGCTACACGCAGTCCATCATCTCCGGAACACCCGCCACGGACGGGTGACAATGCCAGGAGTAATATAGCCACGCCGTCCATCTCTGGGCATGAGGATGACACGTTACTAGAGGAGGGTATGACATTCGGACAATCCATTTACTGCTCGGCTGACAGTGATAATAGGCCGCGATGCGGACGTCACTCGGAATAATGATCTCGACTCAGCTTCAAGATCAGATGGGCGAGAGGATAGGTCTTCGGATCTTACAAATCCTCTTGCAGATTCCCCCTCTACGTTCATGTCAACCTTAAACGGAAAGCCTTGTAGGTATTCGTCACATAATATTACTTGTCACAAGCTGAACTCTGAATGGCAGTCTATCTAGGAACTTCGTCAAACTGGTCATTCTCAGGGCGACTACTTCAAATAACACATGAGTATCTGCACAAGACTCCTTTGCCAGCAGAAGCTATCCTTTTTGATGGATCTGCCTATGGCTTTGGCTGGCGAGGGGACTCCATCACGGACAACGCCGACTTACCAGCCATACCGAGTCCAGACTATGCCATATACCTCATCAATGCCGTCAAATTTCATTGTGGGCAACTCTTCCATTTATTCGATGACGAAGAGTTCCATCGCAACCTTCAACGATTCTACTCCAACCCAAATCAAAAAGAAAAGAAATCCGATTTATGGTATATCCACTTTCTCTTGATTTTGGCTTTTGGGAAAATGTTCATACTGCAAAAAGTCACGGGGACACGGCCGTCTGGCTCCGAGTTCTTCCAAAGAGCAATGGAGATTCTCCCACCCACCTATATTCTTTGCCAGCAACCCATTGCCGCTACAGAAATTCTATGTTGCATCGCACTTTATCTCCAATGCTTTGACCATAGGCAAGCTGCATATATCTATGTGAATACCCCTCTACTCACCCTAGTTTCCCCGAACTCGTACGCTGGTCAACTATCGGAGCAGGCTAACAGTGACCGTAACAGATCAGTCAGGCCATGCGCACAGCCATGGGCTACGGTATGCACACGGAGATGCCAGTCGCGCAATTAGGCGAGGAATACGTTCAGCGGTGCCGCAAGATTTGGTGGACCATATATCTACTTGACCGGCAGATGACTAGTCTCATGGGCTTACCGCAATGTATACAAGACGCTGACATCCAGTGCCAAATGCCTGTATATCCAGAAGCCAGCCAGCGAACGACCACGCTGGAAATGCACATCAAATTGGCCGGCGTCATCGCTGGGATAAGCAGTATGGCTCAAAGAAATCATTATTGATGGACTTTACTGACTCGAACGCAGGTATCTATGGTGCCGACGGGCGGCTGAATCGCAAATTCCTGGTTAGCACAAAGGCATTGCTGGAGAGCTTGGCCAGCCTAGCCATTGAACTTGGACAGGTTGTGCCATTGAAACTGGATAATCCTGGCTATGGGGTACCGAGAATGTCAGCTTCGCTGCACCTGCTGTATCATCAGGTATGACTATAATACCTGTATCACATGCATTCTGACACCGTGATATTAACATCAATCTATAGTGCATCGTATTAGCAACGCGCCCACTGATATTCTGCTGCCTCAAAATGTGTCTTGAAGGGGCAGTAAACTCGAAAGAACCCACACGCCACCGTCTGAACTCGATAGTGCAGATGTGTATGGAGTCTGCTCAGCAAACCATCATCATACTAGAGAGCCTGCAGGCGCAGGGTCTTCTGGGTAATTCTTGTCAGGTCCTATCCGAGCTGAAACCAGTCACTCATTTTCTGCAGAAACATTTCTTCCAATGGATCTCGACGCCTTGTACGTGTCGTCAGTAATTCTCGCCATTGCGCCCGTGGTCGATGACCAGCGCCTCAAAGACCACGCTTCCTGGACGCACCGATCACTCACCCTCCTCGACACGATAATCAGCGCCGGGAACCTGATTGCCACATGGCGGAGGTCCGAGGTGCAGCAGCTCGACCAAAACATGGAGCAGATCCTCGCCGTCGGCCTCCACGCTCCGTGTTCGTCGGCCTCGGTAGCAGTGGCGGATGTACAGATGCCGGAAGCATCGCATACAGAGAACATGGCTTTTGATCAGAGCTCCCTGCAGTCGCAGGCCTTGAGCATGATGGAATCTGGTAGTGGCGAAGACTTGACGGCAGACCAGATCATGGCGATTGCGAATTCCATCCAGGACGAGGACGTGGAATGGATGGAACGAGCTATAGCTGAAAACAGTATATGGTGAAATGAACGAAGCATTGTTACATTCTGTTGCCTGATCTCCTTGGAACAGCCGTATGCAATGCTGTTAGTAATCAAGGACTTGATGCGAACATTTATTGAAGCCTCTGGCGGAGGCTCAATTTGCAGTGAAGCCAGCATCATTACAGCTGGACCTGCAATGTGGATCGAGGCTCTGCGGATCACATTCTGCTGATCGATACCACCACTACACTGCAATCTTAACCTACGGAAAACCTATGGATAGCGAGCATGTCAGCATCAATAAAGCGTAGCCTACAGTGTTAGCTGAGGCTCTGCGGATCGAATTCTTCCGACTGATCCCCTTCACTGCAAATTTAACCTACGGAAAACCTATGGATAGCGAGCAAGTCAGCATCAATAGAGTGTAGCCTACAGTGTTAGCTGAGGCTCTGCGGATCGAATTCTTCCCACTGGTCCCCTTCGCTGCAAATTTAACCCACGCAAAGGCCCTGGGCAGCGAGCTTTGCAGGGTGTGTCTGACAGGCTATTCGAAAGGGCCAAAATTGCAGTGAAAAAGACTAGGCGGCTTGGCAGACACAACCTGCAATGCTCTCTGCCCATGCCCTTCGCGCAGGTTAAAATTGCAGTGAAAATGTCCATAGAAAAGCTTGATTCATGGTTTCTAGCAGGAATGAAATGGGAACACGTTCTTGACAGTGTTCGCACGTTACGATGCCTTTTTTTTTTTTTTTTTTTTTGAATCACCAAATACCGGTTTCTTTCGAAAATTTCGGTTCTGCGCTACTATGAGGAGCACCCCAAAGCCCCCACTAATTACTGCAAAAGCTCCTGATTGATTAGCTAAGCATACGGGGGCTCATCCTCCAATCAACAGCCTACTGGTTAACCAATCGTGAAAGCTCGAAATATGGGACAAAAAGAGGGGCGGCCTTACTGTAGCGCAGAACCGAAATTTTCGAAAGAAACCGGTACCAGCGAAAGTGCAAAGTGTTTTTGTAAAAGATTGATGCATTCTCATTTCACAAAGGGACTATGATTATAGCTTCGCCACTTCCGTCGATCGCTTGATATCGCGATACTCTGTAGTATTGCCAATTCGCCAGCTAACACCACTGCCCCAATCCTCACCAGCCTTGGGCTTGGGATCCTTGATCTTCCAACGCGCGTTGGTCTGGCCCTTGGAGGACGCTAAAAGCTCCGCAACCCATTTTCCAAATATGGGAAACATTTTGAATCCATGGCCCGAGTCTCCAGACAGCAGAACCACTGACGATGACGAGTCCGGCGCGTAGTCAATAATAAAGTCGGAGTCTGCGGTATCGGCGAACCAGCAGAGCGACTTCTTGACAAGTGGGCGGTCTGCCAATGCCGGGATGGTCTGGCGGAGCAGTTCCCGGATCTTGGCCTCGTCCTCGGCGGGGAGGAAGCCGGTGCTGGCTCCCGGGGCTCCCGGGGGCAGGGATACGCCGGTGGTCTTATCAGTGTTGATGTAGCCACCACCCATCGGGCACAGCTTCAACAAGTTGGTCTTGGGATCGGGCTCAAAGTAGAAACCCAGGTCACGGGCGTACACGACGGGAATGCCACGGAGCGCCGACGTCTCCTCGTCAGTTAGACGGACATGGGCGACGGACCAGCACTTGGCGTCGACCCTCTGACCGGCCTCGGGCACCAACTTGGCGGCCAGGGCACCGGCGGCCACAATGACGAGCGAGGCAGCGTGAAACTTGCCATCCTTGGTTCGGATGCCTTTGCTCTTGCGGCCCTTGGGTGTCTGCTCGTATACAATGCTTTCTACGGCTCCAGAGACTTTTCCCAGGAAGAACCTGACACCTTGGTCTCGAGTGGCTCTGTGGACCGATCTCAGAGCATTTCCAGAATGCGTGTAGCCATCAAACTTGTTCAGATAACCATTCCAGCCCGGCAAGGATCCGTTCAGCTGCCAAGATGCTTCTTGTATGTCTGCCTTTGAGTCAAGCGACACAACATGTTTTGCTAAAATGGGATGACGCTCCGCTGCCGCGCGGAATCTATTGAGCGTGTCGACGGCTCTTGCCGGGGCCTTTCCAGAAACACAATGCAGAAATCCGACTCGGTGAAAATGAGGGGCAAAAAGTGGTGCTTTCCAAGCCTCGGCGGCTTCCTATGACGGAGTTTAGCATTATAGAAAATTTAAATGAGATCATATGAGACTTTTGCTGACCATAGTCAATTCCGTATACCATGGGTCTTCATACTCGGCGCGCATGATCTTGTTGAGGTCATTTGCGGCCGAGTAGGCAGACGGGACCTCGTCATCTTGCTCGAACACGGTAATATTGGAATAGCCAGCTTGGGACAGGTGCAGAGCGGTCGATAGACCGAAAGCCCCGGCGCCTACAATGATGATACTGTCTTGCTTTGAGATCACCATGATTAAAGATTTGAATGTTGTGAATTCATGAGCTACGAAATCGTTTGAGCCCGTGTAAAGGCACGTACAGAGTTCTAATCTAATACTAATTGGTGTCTCCGTGCCCGATTCACGAGACTGCTTGCATTGTTGGCATTGCACGACTAGCCACGGCTATCCGGACGGAAAGCCGCGCCATGATCAGCTCACCTTGGTTCGAGCCACAGATAAACTGATTATCCAATTGGGAATAATGTTATTCTTCTTGGTGATTCGATGCCGGCTCCGGTCACTACGCCGAAGACACGGAAGGAAGATAGATAATGGTTATCAAAAGCCGTTCACCCCACTCGGAAGCTCAGCCGACTCTGCAGATTATAGCGTCTATTCCCCCGCACTTTCTACAGATCCGTATACCAGGGCACCTACGACTTACGTATCTCTGCATCCACTACAGCGTCCTGTTGGCGAGTATCCAGTATCCCCACTCACTTACACGACGACGCCCAGTCCTTATCTCACTACCAGCCACTGCAGCCAGTCACTTCTGATGCCAATATTGACTCTCGGGGTCAATGCAGCTAGTAGTCATGTGGTTCATGATTGATAGACCAAAAAGGAATGTTTACCCTTCGTCCAAAATCCGTAAGCCGAACTCGCAGGTGTTTCTGAGCCGCGAGTAGCTAACACCGGCTCTGGATTCCGTAGAAACTATTTTGATATAACGCCCTGAAAGTGTCGACTGTAGATCAACCTGCCACCCACTATTGGTTCAGACTGCCTTATCTTGCTGTTACAAAGCGCTGTAGAGGTCTTATACCCAACAAGACGAATACAATATTATAGTAATTGATCAATTGTAAATGTTATTCGCTTAATGATATGCATAGTACGCACTACATACCTCTCACACCAACTTGATATCTCACTGCGCTTGCTTCGCTCTTCTAAGAAACCGCCTAAACCAAAACATTGCTTGAAATCACAAAATACCTGAGACCAATGGTTGTTACACTCGATCCATATGATCAACAGGTTCTGGGTAGCATGGCCCAAGAATCCAAGATCCCTACCTTTCAGTCGCCTAGTAGCAGTAATTTGCAATGGTGTTTCCTAGCCGACGCTGTCGCCGCCGTCACCGCAGCAGCATCCATTACACCAATAATCACCGCTACAGATAGGTCAGTCATTTCTAAAATTGACTTCTATGTGTTTCCAATATAATCATCGCATATTTACATATACATCAGATCTGTCGTTGAGAGTGTTTCGCAAGGCCGGCCGCTGCTACGCACCTTGGGAAAGCATCTTCTTTGCCCTCTTCGGGAGCCACGCCGCTTCTTTTCTACCAGAGCTGTCTTTGTCGTATGGACGTTATACGCTGTCACTTATTTCACAGCAAACACGAGCGAAACGTTGGTCGAGAGGTTCCTCGACAAGGACAAGGCTCCTACAGGAACTATTGTTTCGGCGGCAGTATTTTCAGTCAATACACCATTGAGTGTGTGGAAAGATGTTCGCTTCGCTCAATTCTTTGGCCGCCCAAGTGGCGGCTCCATTGCAAGCAAGGCTGTTCCCAGCGGGACAACAGCATCGGCATGCAGTAGTACTCTCCCTAACATGGCGGCGGCAGCAGCAACAGCATGCACAAAGCCAGTTCCTCCCCGGGGCACGCCAGTCTCGGTGAGCGCAGCGTTTCTCGTACGGGACATCATCACCGTGTTTGGCTCAATCGGCCTGGCGCCGCACATCTCGGCCGCCATCCCGGACAGCGTGGCCGAGGGCGCGCACGCCAAGGCGTCGGTGGCCCAGCTCATTGTGCCCGCCATGACCCAGGCCGTGGCCACGCCGGCACACCTCCTCGGGCTGGATCTCTACAATCGCCAAGGCAAGACGGGCGTGGTGGATCGGTTGGATCATGCGCGGAAAAAGCTGTTTTCTACCACGATTATGCGCGCCTTTCGACTGATCCCTGCATTTGGTATTGGAATTGTGCTTAATAAAGATTTGAGATCGACTTTGCGGAACCATAAGGGTGTCAAGATGCCAATTAAGCAATAGTATAGATGTACCAAACATGACAGGCAATCTTGGTCACAAGAATAAGGAAGGTGAAACAATCCTGTCTCAATGTTGCAATATGTGAAAAAGAAAACAGTACAAAACATGGTATAAATGTATGACATAGCATATCGGCACGATTTTGCCGGGCTCTGCTAAGGCAAGGCGCCGCCAGTCGAATGTAGATGCAAATAAGCTTTAGATGCAAGTAGAGAGAATTGATTTCACTTCTTCTTGGTGGCGGCATTCTTATCACATTCTTACAAGTAATTGACCATAAGCTTCTTATGCAAACTCATCGTTACCCAGTCAAGATCTTTTGACTGCAATCGTCAGATTTTCCTAAGATCTGGACGAATCCAAGGTGCTATATACAGTTTTTAAGAGGCTCAATTATTCATTGCTGGGGTACAAGAATCCCGATTGACCAAAGAACTCCTCCTTGATGAGTCGAGGGCTGGTGAATCTCAACATGACGTTGGAGCTGCCGGCCTTGTCGTTTGTGCCACTAGCCCGGCTGCCACCGAATGACTGCTGGCCGATGAGTGCAGCCGTTGTCTTGCAGTCTAGGAGCGAAACAGTCAGTAATTAACCTTGGCCAATATGAGATTGATGGTGACTTACTCAGGTAAAGGTTACCAGCGGAGTATCTCAGAGTGTCCTCGGCCTCTCGCAGAGCGCCACGGTCGTTTGCGAAGATGGCACCAGTCAAGGCGAAACCACCACCGCTCTTGTCAACCTGGTCGAGCATTGGCGTCCACTGGTTATCAGGGTAGACGTAGATTGTCAACACGGGTCCAAAGATCTCCTCATCAAACAATCTGTGCGTCGGCGAGTCCGCTACATAGACTGTGGGCTCGACGTAGAAGCCAGTAGAATCGTCATACTTTCCGCCGGCAAGCAGCTTGAGAGATGGGTCGTTGTTGCTGGCGTCAATGATGGACTTGATCTTCTCGAATGAGCGGCTGTGGATGACCGGGCCCATGAACGCAGAAAGGTCCTTGTCGGGGCTGCCAATCGTGATCTCCTTGACCTTGGATTGGAGACCATCGAGGAACTCCTTGGCCCGAGACTCGGGAAGATAGAGACGCGAAGTCGCCGAGCACTTCTGGCCCTGGTACTCGAAAGAGCCACGGACGGTGTGGTTGACGGCGCTTGGAATATCCGCGGAAGGATGAATCAGGGTAAAGTTCTTGCCGCTGGTCTCTCCGACAACCCGAGGAAAGTCGCGGTAGAGCTTGCTGCCGATACCCTCGCCAATCTTGGCGTACAGCGAGCGGAAAACGTCAGACGAGCCGACAAAGTTCAGACCGGCGAACTCGCGGTGCGCAAGAACCGTCGAAGTGATTTCCTCAGCATCACCAGGGACGAACTGGATAACGTCCGCAGGCAGACCGGCCTCGAGGAGAATCTTGTATACGAGTGTGCTGGCGTAGACGTTGGATGCCGAAGGCTTCCAGAGGACCACGTTACCCATCAGAGCCGGACCAGAGATCAGGTTGCCACCAATGGCAGTAAAGTTGAAGGGAGAAATGGCATAAACGAAACCTTCCAGAGGTCTGTAGTCTAGCCTACTCCACATGCCGTCGCTGCCACGATCCGGCTGCCTCTCCAAGATCTCGGCACCGTAGTTGCAGTTGAGACGGAAGAAGTCTGCCAGCTCGGCAGCGGCGTCGACTTCACCCTGCCAAATGTTCTTGCCCTGGCCGAGCATGGTGGCGGCAATGAGCTCATAGCGATACTTGCCCGCGACGAGCTCAGCAGCCTTCAAGAAGATGGCGGCACGGTCGACAAAGGGGGTCTGCTCCCAGGACTTCTTGGCCTTCAAGGCCGACTCGATGGCCTTGGAGACCTGCTCCTTGGTGGTTTGCGGGTCACTGGTGAAGGTGGTGGCATGCTCTCCAGGCAGCGGCTGGCCTAACGAGTGTGACTGTGCTTGTACTTGACCGTTGATAAAGATTTCGCTCTTGAGAGGGAGCTGTGATCGAAGCTTTGTCAAAGCCTCTTCCAGCTTTTGCCTTTCTGGCGAGCCTTTTCTGTATTCGGGCTGCGCTTTGAGTCAGCATAAGCTATGATAAAAATTCCAGAATTGGGTGGCTCACGTTTGGCTCGTTGCGAGCAGCGGGGAGTCTGAACGGGACGGTGGCCTTTCCTCTCTTGGCCACCGTACTTTGAAGAGCGTTGCGGCTCTGTAGTGCCTTGAACGGCCTCGACTGCAATGTTCTTCTCATCTTGGTATCTTCAAGCACTTGATTCTTCGAATCTTGGAACGATCAAAGAATGGAAGCTGTGATAAAAAGACGCAGTAATTCGGGGTATTATGATCTCTCCAGAAACCAAGATGAAGCAGAGTCTGGTCTTGTGTGTACGACAAACTCTTCGGCCTTCAACGCGAATTATAGTCGTCGCTGATTCAGACTTGTGTTTGGACTCGCACTATCCTCGCCGATAGTATCCATTGCCTGTCACCATCACAATGACTAAACATAATACCAAACGCCGTCCTAGGCCGGGATCGCGACACGGGTAAAGATCCGTAGAGTGCTGGGCAGATCTCGGGTACCGCCCCGATCTCCACACCACCCTTATCAGTTCCCTCACCACGCTAGGTATAGGGCCGCAAGTCCACATTCCCCGCGTCCCAAGAAGAACGGCTCGCCGCTAATTGCCTATACCTAGGTAGTTCAGTATGCCGTACACATCATGGGCACTGGACCTGCGATACGCGGTAGCTCGCACGCAACCCGGTATGCAATATGACCTATCTTGGCTCCATTGGTCGGATTCAGGCCGCGGCATTTAGCGCTTGGTCAAGAGCCAGACATACATTCGGACTATGCAGGCGATATGATTACAGAGTACGGACAGACCATGTTTGAGTCGTTAGCGCTTCTATAATCAGTCCCTATGCAGAGGTTCATCCCAGAGTCATGCCCGTACCTTGGAATCAACAAGTGACATTTACACGGGAACCTTTGCGAGTAAACCATGAATACGAAACTACATGCCAAATTAAGGATGCATGAGCAAAGTGTGCTGATTCGCATCATCTAAAGATCGCCCCGGTTAGTAGAAAAGTGATATAGGCGGTGTTGCCCAGTGGCATTTCAGTTGATCATATCGGCCACAAGATACGACCAAACTGGCTGATCTCGTGGCAACATTCTGCATGCTAATACACTACAGGAATGGCTTACTAGATTTGTCATTGAAAGTACCAATAGTCAATCATTTATTTCTCTTGATATACAAATTGGCAAACATTATCGAGCGTTACGTATTGTGATGGCTTGTCCAGGCTAGCCGTTGGGCCCGCCTTTCCTCTCAAGCCCTATATTGTGGATGCTACAACATGACCTCCGGCGAAGCAATCATCCCGGTACCGCATGGAGATTTCAAGCATCTCGGTACAACGACCGCGCTGCTCTTTTCGACGTCATCGGCGCCAGATTTTATCTTGGGTCGAGCTAAGTAAACCATAGTATCCACCATTGAATAGTCCGAACCGTCCATGGAGATCGCAAGGCACAATTGATCAAAAGGATTTTTCTAATCACTTACACATTTCAACACCAGTATCGCATAGCAGAGTATCCATGCAGATAGTTTCGGAACAGTGATAGTCGAATGAAAGCTCGCATTACTAAGGCTTGTCTCTCATAAGGTGTATAGTCTTCCTAAAGGAGCTCATTCGCTATTCTAACATGATCTCGTGATATCAGCCTAAGGATTGCTCGATCTTCGAGTATCGTTTACATGAGGCTCTTTCCCCATCAGTCGTGCAACCGTCACGGCCTCTCTCAGGGCTCGACTGAGGCCACCGCGCACGCCTCTCTCTTCCAATACCATGAGCCCGCCCATTGTGCAGCCCTCCGGAGAGGTACCCTGGTCTCTGAGCTCGCCTGGGTGCATCCCGCTTTGGAGCAGCGTGGCTGAACCCAACATTGACTGCACAATGATGTTGGTAGCTTCGTGTCTCGGAAGCCCGACGGCGACGGCGGCATCAATGAGGGTGTCGACGATGACGGCAAAGAAAGCCGGCGTCGATCCTCCTACCGCTGTGAATGCATCCATCTTGCTGGCGTCCAGGTGCACTGTCTTGCCAATGCTGCTCATGATGTCGTCTGTCAGACTCAAGAGCTGGGGCGGAATTTTGGCCTCTGGTTTTGGTATTTCAATGGCCGTGATTGATTGTGAAACGGTGGCAGCCATGTTGGGCAAAGTCCGTACGACATGGACGTCTTCGACTGGCGTGCCAACGGGACCTGAACCAGCCGAGCCGTGGGCTATTTCTCGCTGAATATCCGCTGTGGTCCATGCCGCAACAATACTGATCAATAACTTTCCCTTCAAAACATCACTCAGGCCAGGCTGTCGCAGTGTGTCCTTGACATCTGCAGGATCAACTCCAAGCAGGATTACGTCCGAGTTGGCCACGGCCTTGACATTGTCGTTTCTGGAAATTTCCACCAAGTGCTGGGAAGCAGAGAACTGTCCAGCTAGGCGCTTCTCAGAACGATCTGAGCGAACGCATGCAATAAAGCGCTTGACTGGCGTTGTAGAGCCTTCCTCACTGGCTGACTGAAGCAAGTTGCTCAGTATAGCCGTTCCAAGATTGCCTGCCAGAAACATATTAGATTTCTCATTGAAAGCAGTTGTGCGAAAACGTACCGCATCCCAAAATGCACAAGGTCGTCATTTTGCAGTTGCGAGAGCCCTTCCAGCGGATTCAGCGCCTATACGATCGACACGTTTGGATCGTCCGTTATTTTGATTTAGTCTGAGGGCGGCTTTTGAATCCTGAATATGACGAGTCTCAATTTCGAAATTAATGGTAGCAGCATACACTGGGAAAGGTGAAAAGACGCAGCAATGTAGCAGTGTAACAGCTCACTTTGAAAATGCCGGCTGACCTGTACAGAGCACCGCTATCTGCCCATTGAGTAAAATGGAGCTAGGCGGTAACGAGCTAACCCTAGCTCCAGTGCAAGTCGGCAAGACTCCCGAGAAACAGCTACACGGTATATTACATGAAGTACATAACATGTTCACAAGTGTACAAAAGGCAAAGATGCACGATTCATACCATGTACAAAATTTACGTGGGTTATGTATCCATATATCTCGTATAAACGACAAGAAACTGAGACAAAGACACGGTAAGCCTATATATACACATACATAGAACCTGGTAGGCGTTCTGAAGGCTCGGGAAGCGGCCAACCGTGCCCCCGCCCGGTGATTCCTGAACTCGAGACGAGCTGTACGAGCGTACCAAACACTGCAATGCCTCGAAATATACACAATATCGATATTATGGAGGCATGTGTGATTGGATACCATGACTGAAAGACTTGCGACATCATGCGACGGCGTTCAATGATATATTTGGGGCGCCGCGGCGTGATACAATGCCTGCTAGCCCATGAGCCTCCTGCAAGTAACCAAGATGTATGTCTTGCAAGAATCGACGGAAATATCATACTGGCCATGGCACCGGATACCCCGATAAATCAACTCTCCTTGATCAAGTTGACTGTCAACCTATATTGAGCTCACCTTAGACTGCCTGCGGGGAAATTCCGGGGTTTCTGGTTTAGGTTTCCTGGCTAACATTGGCACTTCCGGAGAACTTACGGGATATGAATCGAGTCGCAACAGAGCATTATCAGTCAAGACCGTTTAATCTTGAGCCATTATCATGATGAACAGATAACATTTCAAAATGAGAGTAGGAACAAACTGCCCACGAGACTACATGAAAATAGATAATTAGACTTTGAGATCATACATGGATCATAGTCGTCTTATCAAGCTGAAAAAGATAGCAATAAAGCTACCTGCGCACCGGCTGACTCACGGATCTCTAAGCCGGTGTCGCCAAGGCGCTGACCCCAGACTCTGCAATCATCAGGAGATGGATAAGAGCTGGGGAGCAGCATACCTGGCCCTGTTATGCTGAAACAACGCGACCTCAAGTCGGATTGGCCGAGGTTTTATCAAAAGTCTATCCGAGTTTCGACGGGCTGGAAAAGGACTATTGTCAGATTGAGTAGTCGTGTCTAGTCAATAAGAGCAACACCAGTCCCCCGATCGGGCAACCAGCCTCACCTGCTCTCTTGGATTGACACCGTCTCCAACTCCATTGACTCCCCAGAGTTATCGTTTTATTTACCATATGCACATAAACAACTAGGTTACACAACATATTAGTGACATGACATTTGGACAAGCACTTTAACTTAATCCGATTCGCGACCCCTCCGGCACGCTCAACCATGGATTCTCCCAAGGAAAAGGGTGAAGTTATTGGCAAGCCGCTCACCGAGAGCCAGACAAGGGGAGAAAGTATCTTTGTGGGCAACGTTATCGAGAGTGACGACCAACTGAAGCGACATCTCGGCAATCGACAGATTCAGCTGATTGCCATTGGTGGCTCAATTGGCACGGCCACATTTGTGAGCATCTCCAATGGCCTCGTGGCTGGAGGCCCCGGTAGCCTGCTGCTCGCGTACACCATATACTCGTGTGCCATGATCCTCGTGAACAACTGCATGGCCGAGATGGCCGTCTTCCAACCCGTCACTGGTGCTTTTATTCGCATGGCAGGCAAGTGGGTCGACGAGTCTCTCGGATTCATGGTTGGATGGAACTTCTTTCTTTACGAAGCATTCCTCATTCCCTTTGAGATCTCAGCCTTGAATCTTGTGCTCTCATATTGGCGTGATGACATACCGGTTGCTGCCGTCGTTGCCGCCTGTATCGTTTGCTACTTGTAAGCAAACCTTCATTCACTTTCGGAATGCCGCTCTTTACTCACCAGCCCTTAGCGCCATCAACATGTTTGCCGTCGAGTGGTACGGAGAGACCGAATTCTGGTTGACCACTGGCAAGATTTCCCTCCTCGCGATCGTTTTCTCCTTTACATTCGTCACCATGGTGGGCGGCAATCCCAAACACGACGCGTACGGCTTTCGATACTGGAAGGACCCCGGTGCGTTTGCAGAATACATCACAACTGGTGACCTTGGTCGGTTCGAGGGTTTCCTGGGTGCCATGTGGAGCGCCGCCTTCACCATCGTTGGGCCCGAATACGTTGCAATGGTAGCCGGTGAAACAAAGCTTCCCCGAACGTATTTGAAGACTGCCTTCAAGACTGCATACGCAAGATTCGCCTTCTTCTTCATCGGCAGCGCTCTTTGCGTTGGCATCGTGGTCCCCTACAATGACAGCACTCTGTTGTCCATCCTTTCTGGGTCATCGGAAGGTTCTGGAACTGCTGCCGCCTCGCCTTATGTTATTGCCATGGGAAACTTGGGGATCGGGGTGCTGCCTCACATTACCAATGCTCTATTGGTGACCAGCATCTTCTCGGCTGGAAATGCTTGTAAGTACAAGTAAAAAAACTGAACCACAGACACTCTAACTAACACAATACTACTTGTTACTAGACACGTATTGCGGCAGCCGTAGTCTTTATGGACTTGCACTGGACGGACAAGCGCCAAAGTTCCTTCGCAAGTGTACCAAGTCTGGAGTACCTGTGTACTGCCTGGCCACTATCATGGTTTTCCCATGCCTTGCCTTTCTCAACCTATCCAACTCTGGTGCCGAGGTGCTCAGTTGGTTTGTCAACTTGATCACGGCTGCTCAAATCATTGATTACATTGTGATTTGCATCACATACATCTTCTTCTACCGGGCTTGTCGTGCTCAGGGCCTTGATCGAAAGACTCTTCCCTACTGTGGCATCTTCCAACCCTACTCTGCTTGGATTGGGCTTGTCTTCTTGACTGCGGTGGTCTGTACCTACGGCTACAGCGTCTTCCTTCCTGGAAAATGGGCAGTCAAGACATTCTTCACCTATTATATGATGGTGCTGATTTGTCCGGTGTTTTATTTTGGCTGGAAACTGGTTCACAAGACGCGCGTAGTCCGACCAGAGGAGGCTGACCTCGTGTGGATTGGTCCGGTCATTGATGCTTACGAAGCTACCCACGACGAAGAGAATCTCGGCTTCCGTACAGAAATCATGCAGATCTTTGGACTGCGCAAGAAGAAGGTTTCCACAGAGGCCGAGTCTTCATAAGTGTCAGTCTGCTCATGATTGAGACGACAGGAATAGGATCTACTCTGAGCCACCATAGATATGCGAGTACTTAGCAAAGCCTTAGAGAGTCATGACAATCGATTTTTTCCCTGTTGTATATCGCTGAATTAGTCAAGTCGAGAAACGATGAGAAGGGATAAGAAAGAACAAAAGTCTTCTTCGCGCGTGCTCTGCACAAGTTTGAATTCCCTTAAGTTTGATAGCTTCTCTGGCATTCCGTGTTGTCGCCCGCGTTGCCAAGGATACAAAGCAACTCCAAGAATACTTACACCACGCTGGATATATATATAATTCTTCGAGCGCATAAACCATCCCGATATCGCTATTTCTTCAGACAAACTGGTTGATATTTTGATCTCATCAGACGTGATTGCCATTTTGCAATGGCTCTCAGCGACGATCGGCGGCCACGGAGACCTCTGCCGAGTGGGGATTGATTGGCTCTCGGCCAAGCATCCGAAGCCTGCCAGTGCGGCTATACACGGGCACAATGGACATGACCACCTCGCGGATACCTACCTACCTACTAGGTAAGTAACAGTCAATTAAATTGGTCACGAGCAAAAATCAATTTGGGAAGTTGTTGCAATTTGGCCGTTGATCACTTCGAGGTCCATGCATTGTGGTGATTATGAATCATGGCCAAAAGGCGCATTGGTTGCTATAAACGCCCCCGCATGTCGACCCTTGGGGGCTGATTGGTGAGAGGAACATGGTCGAAATCAGGAACATGCCTACATACTTGATGAGTATTTTTAATCTCTTGGTTCCACGACACTAGTATCGTATCGAGGCCATAGAGAGAGGAGACTTCATCGAGTACGAAAATCAAGAATTCCAGGATAACAATGGTATTGTCTTAGAAGAGTGTGAATTGTAATGTCTCAACAATTTTTTACTTATGCCCTATGAAACCCAGACACAGAAAGATTACATTCAATTCATCCTCATATCTGTACGTTCCTTTGAAAACATGAAACTCAGCGATTGCGACGTTCTCTTATTGCTCACAAGCCATTGATCGGTATCATTCCAGGTAGAAGCGCTGCCACCCTCCTGGCAATCCATTGTCTGGATGGGCAAAGTCAACATCGCGTGACACATCTTGCCCAATCTGATTCCATGTTTTCTTGTCTGCCCACGACGACAACTTTGTGAATCCAATGCGCTCAAAAACAGCATCTTCTTTCTTCTTGACTCTGAGGAGAAGGCAGAAGATGTAAGTTGAGTCACCCGTTCCCAGATACCCACCTTTTGCTGTCGGGAGACAGTAAAACTCGTCCGTGTCAAACTGGGTATCTTGCACACTGTCAAGGTAGATGTTGGTATGTTTCTCCTCGACTAAATCCTTATCGTCCTTGATTGTCCAGCAGAAGCGTCCCTTTTCCTTCTTGGTCAACGTGATGGGACGGAGTCTGCCCCAGACAGTGAGACAGCTTTCTTCTACCATTCCAAAGAGATCATCCTTGGACTTGGGCTTGACGCTTGCTTCCTCAATGGAGATGTAAATCTCCTTGTCAGTAACCTCGCCATAGGTGATACCATTGCCTTGCTCAACGTCAATGGCCGCCCATGAAAATGTCGGGGCTCGGTAGTCCAGGGGCCGGCGCCCATAGTGCTCAAAGGTTTCATCGTGCGGATTATACACGGGCTCCACCTTCCACAGCAGCTGGCTTTCGAGATGGGGGCGCCAAAGTCCAGCGACATACGTGGCCGGCTTCTCCTTGGACCCGATCCGCGACGGCATCATACGCGCGATACCAGAGAGTGCAATGAGTTTGTCCCTGGCAACCGTCAATTCGGTACGAGAATAGACCTCAACCACACGCTTCCAGAGCTCGAATGCGTGGATTTGAGGCTGGAGGTGAGCCACCGGATCAGGCAACCCTCTCAGTCGTCCGGCGCGAAGAGCTCGCCCGTTTCGGTCCGGGTCAAGTCCCTTGAACTGGCTCTCCTGTAGGAGTCCTTCTCCCGTCAACTGGTAGTTGGGAATGCCTAGGGGACGCGCTTCAGCGGCGTCGAACTCTGCGCATTCCCAAGCAACCTGGTCGCGGCAAAAGTGGAGGACTCGTGGGCACAAAAGCCGCTCTTGGAGGACCCAGGCCCGCCTATTTACCGGGGCCCAATCCACTCTCTGCGTCCAAAATGAGGTGTCAAGAATGACACATCTCCGCAAATTGCCAGGGCTCGTGGGGCGGGACTGCGTCGCTTGAGTTGATTTGTCACGAGCATCAACGTCCACTACTTGGTCCCACGGTACTGGAATGCCATCAATGTTGAGCGATATCTCGTCTTCGAGGAGATTTTCGGGGCTTCGTCCGAAATAGAGCCCACCTTCGCTGTCGCCGGCGGCGGTGGCAGAGATGTTCAAATGGGACTTGCTATACACCTGGTTCATGAGGGCAGATTCGGTAAGCCAGTCTTCCTCCTCTCCCTGTTTGATGCAGAGAGAGTCGATCCAAATGAATCCGACCTGTGGCAAGCGTGCGGCAAACCGAATGGCATCTCTAAAGGTTTTGGGCAGCTTGCGGATCTCGATTCCTGCTTCGAAATCGGCAATGTTCTTGCTGGTCAATTTCGGACCGTGGTGCTGGGGAGGACCCCAGCAATGGCTGAGCGTGACATAGCGGTCGTTTCGGAGGGAACCAGGCTTTCCTCCCTTCCAATTCTTCTTAGCGACGAGTGAAATTGTTGTCTTGTCTAGGCTACTGTCTTGTTTCGAGAGACTCGGTTTCGCCTCCATCGTCGAGGCCTGGTCGCGCTTGCGATCGCGCTTGCGGTCGGGCTTGCGGTCGGGTTGGAGGTCTTGCTTGAGAGGTCGGATATCGAGAAGCCGGGTAGGATACCAGTTTTTGTCGGGAGCATGCTCTGCACACTTGCACTTCTTGAGCCACTGCAGGGCCAGGTTGAAGACCTCGTCTGAGTCAGTCATTTCGGACTTTGGAGTTCCAAAGCCTGGATCTTCTGGACCTTGAATCACGAGTCTGCTTAGCATGTCGGCATATCACAAATACAGGAAGCCGAGCACTTACTGATTTTCTTCAGGACGAAGGTCCGCTTGCCCGTGATGTCAGCATAGTCGATCTTGAAGTCTAGCCGCCATGATTGAGTCGTTTCTTTTCCTGTTTCAAGGTAAGTAAACTCTGCCCGATACTGACAAATATTCGCGAGTTGTGAACCGCTTGAGATATGTGCAGAACCAAAACATCAAGGTGCGGGTGTGAAGTCTGACTTACCAGATATGGTGGATATAGAAGCACTTATCAAGAGCCTTTCCGCGTCATCCGGTTCCCTTTGTTTCAGCATGAATTTCAACTCTTCCCAAATCGCCTGACAGATTCCGCAAAACTCTGAAGTAGAGGCCCTGAGTTTCTCTACCGAGTCATGGTGGTCGTAGTGCAAATCATAGGTTCCTTTCCATTGGCGCCGACTCTGCCCGCGCAGCATATGAAAACAAGTACGGCACAGCATATTTCCGTGTGGTCTAGATAATTGCAAATCAGTGGAATTGCGTCGTGTCAGATGCGACTTGAAATTTAGACTGCGCGTAGACTTCTATTAAATGCCCAGTCGGCAGCGCCATAATCCAAGACAGCGGCAGCAATTGAGACATGAAGGTTGCTGCGTATCACTTGCTCGATAACCAAATCCATGATCCCATAAGGCTGGAGCAATACACACCCGTAAAACACACCATTCTACCCTGGTGTTCTTTAATGATTGTCATCCTTTTGTGGTTCTCCAACGTTCGGGTGCAGGGAATAGTCGATATAGCATGGCCACTTATATACCCACTATGCCATGCTGACTGCATGAGGTTGGGTGGGGGCCAAAGATCATTTGCCAAAAGCTGGGCAGGGGCAGCCTTGATGACTTCAGCCTGCCTACAGCAGACTCTCGATGCCAAAAATAGTGAATGTAATTGGACAGAGGGCTGCGCCCTGGTGGCTTTTTCATTCGTTTCAGACCAGTGAAAGAGGATAGAATTGAAGTAGGATGGTGACACCACGTTGAGACACGCGTTCACCATTTCGATGAGTAGGGTTGTTGCGGCCGACTCGAGCCAGGATGACTGAGGAATTGGCGCAGCAAATTGTGGAACAAGGCCAATGTTGCATGGAGTGGACTTGTCCCATCGCACAAGCTGCTATAGATAGTTCCCGCGCAGCTTACCCATTATGTCCCAGTCTGACAGATCATTTTTGCGTCACTTTGCTATTGCCTTCTTATACTCATCATTGTCTATCTACTCGCATGATCGCGGCCAGATAGATCAAGATATTTGTACACATTCTCAGCAGGTCTGATTCAAGGCATAGTGTTTGGCCTTTCCAGAAAAGCCCTTCCAGACCCGGCGCTCTTTTTACGAGACCATCAACCATGGCTTCGACGTTCAATCTCGAGGGATTCCCTAACCCGGTGGAAGTCACGTTGCCCGAAAAGTTTACCAGCCAAGAACTCCTGGGGTTCGAAGCTTTCAACAATTGGACAAGCAGCCTCAAACACAACCTCGCCTTGCAACAAGATCCGAAGCATGCATTCCATAAATATCCCTATCGACTGACCAAGATTGAGGTGCAAAGTTTTGACAAGTTCGGCCCGACCAAGATCGGGTTTGTGAAACTCAAGGCCACTGTGATCAGCGACAATGAAGACGCCCCCGAGCTGCCGGGAATCGCTTTTCTACGCGGTGGCAGCGTGGCCGTGTTGATGATTTTGAGACCCACCGATTCCATGGATGAGAAGTGGGTGGTCATGACGGAGCAGCCACGCATTCCCGCGTGCAGCCTCTCTTTTCGCGAAATCCCCGCCGGCATGCTCGAGAAGGGCAAGTCGTTGCGTGGCAATGCCGCCGCCGAGATTGAGGAGGAAACGGGCTTCGTGCTTCCCGAAGATCAGCTTATTGATCTCACAAAGCTGGCGCTTCAGCAGGCCGAAACCCAGGAGACCCTGCAGCCAGCCATTTACCCATCTCCTGGAGGCTCAGACGAGTACATACCCATTTTCCTCTGGGAGAAGGAGCTAGACCGGCAGGAAATTGAGGACCTCAGGGGAAGGCTGACGGGATTGCGAACGCAAGGAGAGATGATCACATTGAGAGTGGTTCGTTACGAAGAATTGTGGAGGACAGGAGCACGGGATGCCAAGACCCTCGCTGCATGGGCACTCTACGAGGGTCTGAATAGAGCTGGTGTCATCCAGAAGGAGATCAAGAGGAGGCAAGGAATGTTCAACACTAGCAATGATATCATTCCATAGATTTGAACATCCAAGGTCTTCACATAAGTCTCTACTTGGAAAGTATGCAAGCGATTCTAATCCGAAGAGTCGAGGAGATGCTATCAATTGACATCAGGCATCCGTCTCAGCTTTCAATACATGAAAAGCATTTGATAGATTTGGACAAGTCATCATTTCCCTACCGAGTGACGAATCAGTATTGTGGTGCACTATGATACTTGCCGTTTCAAAACGCCAAGCGCATCATGGCGAGCTCTAAATGAGTGGCCACCGAAGGTCGGCCGCTGAGTATCATTCGTATCTGATGCCATTCCACGGCATCATTTGCCTATCCGTTGTACACGATGCAAAGTACGATTTGGGGAGCGACAAATTAAAGACATGGTGTATATCTCACCAAGACTCAAGGGCCATTGTTTCTTACTCTTGATTAGAGAAGAAAGATTTCCGTGACTAGCATATCTGGGCTGCAATCAGCTGTGAAAGCCATCCTTATCAGCACTTCGTATGCAAGTGCCGGCATGCAAGTGAGATGGGTCTAATAAATAGCAGTATCACAGCCCAGATGTGCTTCTATGATAACAACCACAAAAGTGGGAATTTTTTCAAAATAAGAATGAAATGTATGTAAAACAAATTTATAAGAAGCGAATTCATCATTTTTGCCGCTGCTCAGCTGTAGCAATCGAATAGAACCCGAACCAGCGAGAAAGAAGTGGTGGCTTGTTTGTCCGTTACACTACGGGAGTGCTCCGTCCTCCCCGCATCTTATCTAGCACCACGAGAGCCGGGTCCCAGCGCCTAGCACACAGGGTCATCATACTCCGCATTTCAGTTTACTGAGGACGTGTTATTCGATTACCTGGGGTATTATCTTATCATACATTTGATAGACTATCTACAAAGTACACGACCTGCCACATAGGCGGCTAGTATGATTTACGTGCCGTAGCTCAGTTTGTGGTTATCTTGCCAGCCATACATACCTCCAGGCGGGTCGTTCCCGAGATCTCCGCTATGCTGTAGCCATGCAAGCCCGGGCGGCAACAGACAGCATGATCACGCGGCATACCGCCCTTCCTACGCAGCGAGTCCAATAGAATATACTTCAGAATGGGGGCTGATAACAGCACGGCTCGAAATTCCGGAGTCAAATTTGGGACTAGCATCGAGTCTGTCGGAAGTCACGAGGACCCAAAGGCCGAAGCACCCCGCACGTAACAGTGACATGTATAACTGATGGGCATCATGGATCGGTGAAGTTGGTGATATCTGATTTCAAGTTGGAAAAGTGCTGCCTATATTCACCGGCTGAACCATTATACCATCTTTGGACTTTTATGAGGTTTTATATCATTCGGTTTTCACAAGAGATAGAGCACCATTTCTGCCCCCATCCGCCGCCGCTGTCCACGCAGTCATGAAGGGTGATCGTGCCTTGACTTCGTTGCGGTCGGCCTCGACCATGGCTGCGGTCGGGTCACCGCAGATGACGACTCGTCGACCCTTGGCGCCATTGCCGACCAGCATGCTACTCAGGTCACTCATGATAGCTGGAATATCATCAAAAAAATACTTGCTTCTGCCATCCCTCAAAATCTTATCATTTCTTTCCAGCCCAAACAGGGGGTTTCTTCTCAATGCCGATAAGAACCCTCTGATCCATGCCATTTTAAAAAAGACCTTTTACGAGCAATTCTGTGCCGGCGTTGACGCACTGGAGACCAAGCGGTGCGTCCGAGGGTTGAAGGATCTCGGTTTCAAGGGCATCATTCTCACATATGCACGAGAGACGGTTTTTGACCACAGCACCAATTCAGTAGACGTGCAAGGAGTCGAATCAAAGAAACTTGCCGGTGAAGCTGAACCCGACTTCTGTTCGCACATCGAAGATTGGCGAGTTGGCACAGCTGAGACTGTCGATCTCATTGACGATGGTGATTTTCTTGCAGTCAAGTAAGTCTTCCATCACCACTTTACTCAACCACATTGCGCTGATAATGGACACCAGATTGACCGGGGCTGGTCCGTTAGTCACAAAAGCATTTCATGAAGGTCGTGCGCCGCCAAAGCAATTTATGGATGCCATTCGCGAGATCTGCGCCTCGTGCAAGTCTCGTTCTATTCGAGTCATTATCGACGCAGAATCGCAGCACTTCCAAAAGGGTATCAGCGCAGCGGCCCTGGATTTGATGCGCGAGTTCAACCGAGAAGGCACCGCCGTCGTCTACAACACATACCAAGCCTATCTGAAGCAGACATCCGCCAACATTGCCAAGCATCTCGAAGCAGCCAGCCAGGACCGCTTCACCCTGGGCCTGAAGCTGGTCCGGGGAGCATACATTCTCTCAGACAACCGCTCATTGATTCACGACACCAAGCAAGACACCGACGATGCATACAATAACATCGCCACAGGCGCGCTGAAGAAGCAGCTGGGTGAGTTCGGGGCAGAAGGTGGCAAGGCTTTTCCGTCAGTCAATCTGTTTCTGGCTAGTCACAACAAGGAGAGTGTGCTCAATGCCCACCGGCTGCACCAAGAGCGAATGAAGAATGGGCTTCCCACCATCCCCGTCGGCTTTGGACAGCTGCACGGCATGTCGGACGCAGTGAGCTTCACGCTCTTGGCGGAGAAGGACGAGAACCAGACGTCGCCCGACGTCTTCAAGTGCTCGACGTGGGGCAGCATGGGCGAGTGCTTGGCGTATCTGCTGCGGCGCGCCGTGGAGAACCGCGATGCTGTCATGCGCACGTCGGACGAGTATACGGCTTTGAAATCCGAGGTCTGGAGGCGGCTCCGGTCGGCGTTTCGAGTCTCTAGCTAGGTACCCTCCATAGTGTAGTTCTGGACCTTTGGGCCGATCATGGTAGATCCGGTTATGGTTCCGATTGGCAATGACAAGCAAGCCAAAGTGTGGGGTAATATACCATTATCATTACAAACGTATCAAAGTCTTGGACTATTTTGTCTCCAACAAGATTTATGTCTCGTAATGGAATCTTATTTTCATTCATCTTTCCATGCTTGCTATATTATCAAGTGACCGGAAAGTGCACCTTATCACACTGACTGCAGTAGAGCGACAGTACTTGCTGATCCCAGAGTGCCGACTATAACCGATTGTCATCACTTGCCCCAGTGAGCTCCGGACGAGCGACGAGATGGCCGAACCAAGGAAATACTTCCTTGAGCCTACTGCGCTGATCCCGAACTCCCCTCGACCTCTTCTCCACTATTCTGGCTTCTTGTCGCGAGAGGTAGAGCAATCGCCGAATGCGGCGGCAGTCTCGTGCCACAAGCTTTTTGAGCAGAACGGCTGGACGACGCAATGGATCTTCCGCTATGGGCCAACACAGCGATCACATTGTGAGTACTTTGAAATATTTCATTTTATCAATCAATCATTATAACGATGTTGTTTTTATCCCTATACGGTAAAGCTAGTTGTCTATCTTACCCGGCTTTCATTTTTTTCCGTGACACCAATAGTCTTGAAGCCCTTAAATAAGGCAATAGCAGCACAGGATACTAATGTACTCTGACTGACCAGATCATTCTTCGGCTCATGAATGTATGGTGGTGTTGACCGGCCACGCCCGCATCCGCTTTGGCGTGGCCGACACGACTGATAATCTCGAGGAGAACACCCACGGCGCGGCCAGGGAGGATGGCGGCGTCGAGGTCGACGCCAAGGCCGGAGACGTCTTCATCATACCCGCCGGGGTTGCCCACAAGACCTACAACACACAGCCCGAAGCCGAGTTTGCATTATTGACGCCGGGGAAAGGTCATGCCATCGAATCCGAGGACAAGTGCCGTGCCCTGTCCGAGACGGAGCTGAGCGGCTTCACCATGATGGGCGCATATCCGAATGGAGCACGGGATTGGGATCACCCGGTGGGCGGCGAGCATATTGGTCGGTATGAGGAAGTCTGGCGCACCAGCAAGCCAGCCAAGGATCCGATTCTTGCAGATTCTCATAGTGGTCTGTTGGGTCTATGGACCTAGGTCAGGTGGTCTGGGGTCGGATATGCAACCACCAGGTAGTTTATCAGGTTTTTGGAAGTGTGACTCAAGTGAAAGTGCACGAAAAGGGACCTGCGTTCGGTTGATGAGATTGATCATTATTTATATTATTCCTTTCGGAATGAGACGAGACTTTGAGTCACTAGCCTGAACGTGCATTATTTCTTCGTATTTGTAACGTAACCCCCTTCCAACCCAGTGATGTACAAATCTAGACTAAAACAAAAGATTCAGCGGTATATATCAAACAAATGAAAGAGAATGCAATGCCATCCACTTCGGTAAAACCACCTTGTCTCTTTACTATATCTATGCTCTCGCTGTCTCTCCCTCTCTGTCTGCCCTTTTTTTTTTTTTTTTCTGTGGATTATCCTCTGTCTGTCATCAAAGGATCTGTACTACTTATCACTCTGCAATATGACTGCCTAGCCAGCAACATGCTGTGGCTCTGATGTGGGAGAAACGCTAAACAAAACCAGAAAATGCGAGTGGTGTGAATGGCTTTATAATACAAGCCAACACACATTGCATGCCAGCATATCGCTCTGTGGTCGGCCGAAATTCCAGTCAAAGGGGTATCGGTTCGGGATATCCCGAGGAGAATTTCTACAACCCATCGGTTTAGCACGATTGTATCAGAGGTTTCTCTTGTAAAGGGACATTCACTCACCCTTAAGCACCTTTTCTTACTTTGACCAATTGCCAGGTGCAATACCCACATCGCTGGTGACCGCAGTTCAAGCATGATGGATTGGCCAAAGCACTGTTCTCCTGCGAACATTGACACTGACAAGGTTGTACCGTTAGCCAAGAGGACTGGGACAATGATCATGCTTCTCCTTACGCAGTACCACATTTCCACCTTCCTCGACTTCTTCTTTTCCTCTCCTCTGGGCGGCATCGTTGTTGCTGGGTGTAAATTAGATGTTGTGGTGATTGTGATCAAAATATGCTTTCTCTCAGGTTAATGAAGCTGATGGCTTGGTGATTGCTGTGATTAATGATGATTTCTTAGAAAGTTGTTCGAAGATGCTCTCCAAAGACATCTTTATATCCCGCGCATTAGAGTGCCGATGGCCTTGAATTGGAAGAGGAAATTGGAAGAGGACGATTATCAGCAAACAAAGTATGCCTAACCGGCCTCCTTCATTAGCTGGGAGTAGGTGAAGCTCACGATCGTGCCTCCCCTCTGAGGCGCACACCGACGAATGTGTCTATCATTTCTCTTTGTACCCCAATCAATCATCCTCATAAGATTCATTCTCGTCACCGCGGTGACTAGTGGTGAAATTGCAAAACCTGGAATGGAAAGGACGCAAGCCGCTATTGTGAGAATTTGCTACTCAGGAGCTTCGCCTCTCAAGAGTAGATGTCGGTGAGGAGCGGAATGAGCGAGCATGTGAGTTTCTTTTTCGCATTTTTCTCCAATGAGGCATCGTAGATGCTAAAAGTCTATTGGAATTGAAGGCCATTTCTTATCAATCCTGCCAGGTGTCGGCGAGCCACGCCCGGCCTCAAATTTCTTACGCAGTCGCCTCCAGATAGCCTACGCCCACGCCCGAAGACCCACTCTCAAACACGGAGCAAAGGAGGAGACCGGGGGCAGCGGTGAGCATTAATATACCATCATTCCAGGCTTTTTTAAAACATATCACATCATTCGGGTCAAAGGAACGATGTGCTAAGGGCTCGAATATTCTTTTCCGCTTCCATGCATAGACAAGATGCGAGCTGGTTCTTCTAGAAGCACACGTCATGGGCGGAGGCGCATTCTCAAGACAAGCTTAAAAGTGAGGCTAACCATAATTCTGTCACATACTCTGAGGCCCGCTGAGGGCTTTAATACGGGCGACTATCTCACTGTGGCGCATGTCGACTACCGAATGATTATGCTGATAGTCTTCAGTTTGGTCCCTCGTATCAAGTTTTGATTTCATACATGGTGATCCTAACCAGGGCTAACCAGGGATAACCTCATGATTACTAAAAACCTTCATATGGATGAAATGCCGTAGGCTAAACCTAGAATGTAGCACTGAGCAGTGTTGACTCTGGCGCGGAAGAGATGAGAAGTTCTAGGCCCAGTAGATCACGTGTTGCAATATCTACACATGCATTTGGTCGAGAGTGACAATATCTATCGTGGCAATGTAGGAAGACGATATTTGATCTATTGTTGGAAGTATGTGAGATAAAATTCTATTTAAATTGATGAAATTCTCCAAATCCTATATCGTGAGCTGGTCCGGGCCATGTAATGTGGCCCTCTCTGTATTCATTCCCGCCAGTGGTATATAGCAGCGCAACTCCACGACGCCTATTGCGCCCTCGAGGACAAAGAGAAAGTGACAAAAAAACATAAAAAAGAATGAGCAGTTTTCCTGATATATGTGATGACGATAGCCAGCATCGCCAACACGATTGCAAGGCTGGAAGGTGATGTCGTACGGGAGTTCCGTGGTATTCACAAAGTCCCTCCACGCCAGTGATATAATCCGCAATGCGATTTGATCATGCGTGAATCAAATTGCATATGTTACTTAAATTAAATTAGCACCCGCAAGGAGTAATTCAAGGGACTCTGGTCTTTACCTCAGCGGTTCTTCTTCACCTTGACGGCCATAACCTCACACTGGCTGCATTTCATACGTTGGCACTCGCTGCAATAGTCGTTGAGTCCGACAGTTTGCCATACACCGTGACAGTGACACTGTAGAATTAGCACATACAACCTTTTAGCCTTGACTTAAAGCGACACTTACACACTGCCACAAGTAGGTTGTTTTGCCCATGTTGGGCGAGTGCGAGTAAGTTTCAAAGGGGGAAAATTTGGCAGCGAGGAAGCAAGTCACAAGGAGTCACTCTGAGAGTAAGATTGCTTGATCGAATCGATGGTGATTAAAATCTGATACGAATGCTCTAATTTCATGTCAAATGTGAAACGGATGCTCCAAGACAAATATATCCTCAGAGCATTTCCTGCCTCGGTCAAGACCTCTTATCTTCCTGCTCACTTCGCCATCGAAAGTGCCTAAGCTGACGAGGGAAGCATCATATGCTTCAATTATCTCCTCTTACCCATACCGAAGTGGGGTTTGGAATACTCGTATGAATGGACATATTGCGACTGACTGTGCTTTGCACCGGCGAGACCGGATTTCGTATAAATGCCAAAGAGGACTCGTGGTATGTCTAAGCCTTAAAGCTTCATGTATTATCGCAAATGAGAGGTGAGATTATTTAGTTGCCTGAGGTGAATAATGGCGTCAAGGAATCATTCTGTATGTTAATAGCAGAGAAGATTGGATATTATGCGACGATTCGAAGAGTTGCTAGACAGGGTCTTTTGGAACGAGATCCTGAGCGCTTCTGCCCGTCAAGCCGAAGCACATTGTACAGGTAACTGGATACGCCAGGCTCCTCAACCAGAGAGGATCATATACGGGCATGCAGCATCAGGACTGAAGAACGACTGCGGATAGGCTGAATGTAAGTGCCGTGGCTAGGCCCTCTACATGTGACTGACCGGAAACGCCCAAACGATTGTTTCCACTCGTGAAACGCGAAAGACGCTCGTCGCAAGTCAGTCAATCAAGTCGGGAGCCTTCAAATTCTGCCTGTGTTGCAATGTTGAGCCGCACGGAGAGCCTTGGCCGACGGAGCCTTATCCTTAGTGAGGCCCTAGGTCAACAGGGCGAAATCTGCTGATGAATCATAATAACACCGAAAAATAAAGCACGATGACGCAGTGACTTGATTTCTCCTCGTTCAAAAGAAACTACCATGTGTGCGCCCTTCTCATGTAAACTACGGCGGACCGTGCCTAGTGAGTGATACATGAGGATCGATGGGAAGTTTGCCTCGGCTACTGTAGCATCATCTTATAATCAGTCAGTGAGGGCGGGCGTTCGCCCGTTGCCCGGGCGGGCTGATTGTCCGGTAAGGCTGTGTGTGCTGACTTACAGTAAATGTAAAATCGTGCGAAGCTTGTGCTTTGTACTGTCCTCTTGACGTAGAAAACTGAATCGTACTTCTTATGCACATGACGGCGGCTGGGTTTCGTCCTGCGATAAATCGAGCCACAGAGATTCTTCTCTTCCTATGTTATAATGTTTGTTTCGCCAAACCGATCGAATGCGATGAAATCTGGTCAAAGATTTGGTCGACAGGATTGGGGAATGAAATGCAAAGAAGGAACAAAAAGAAGAAGAAAGGACTGTTGGCAACCTCGGCCTCAGCTCATACGGCAAATGTTTGACCAAAATCGCATATTCTGCGTTCTAGGACTTCCGGGTAGTGAGCTCCTGGTTGTTCTTTGTGGACCTTTAGGTGAGTGCGGGGGCTCTCAATTTTTATACTTATCTCCTAACAAGCCATGTAGATTAAAAGTTGCCACAAGGAGCAACCATGATGATCAAAAGTTTCTTACTCTCACTCGAATCATCGCGGGTTATGACCATCTTGAGCTTGTGGCGGTCTGCTGTGTGTGTCGAGCGGGTAGGCGCTGTTGGGGGTTGGTCAAGCCTTACAGAGTACATCAGCTCAATCAGCCGCACATTTCATAGTCTAACTCGTACTCATTCTTGAAATAGAACCCGCTGGACAAAAGGCAACCCAGCATTTCTGTTCGAGGCGAATGTCGCAAAAGACCCAGCTGGCATTGTATCAGTCATTTTCGCCTCTGCTCATCTTCGTCCAGACATGGAAACTGCATAGAGGCAAATATTATCTCTACCAAATTGCCCAGACGCGGATCAATTCGAGCTTTGTTTGCAGTGGAAGTGGGCAGGTAGGTGGGTGGAAGTGGAGGTCGAATTATGTGGGATGAGCGTCAGACACCAAGCAATAATCATAGCCTGGGTCATGAGAATTGGAGTTGGCACCAGCTGCTTTCCAAAATATACTTTCAATGCACCAAATTTTATTGGAAGATCACTCGGCTTTCCTGGCGTCCAAGAATGCACCCATTCAGTCACTGGGGTGTGAGGACCCGAGCGGTGTCCAAACTCTTGAGTCTCCTGGCGGATCGATTGCGCAGGTACGGCTGCATGTTCGGAGGTTGACCTGTACATGGAGCCTAGGTAGGGAATCCAGGCAATTGATCCTTCGTTGAGGGATTCCAAAGGACGGGCAAGTAGGATGCGCAATCACCTTGTCTGAGCGGCAGACTTTTCTTTCTCTACGCCAAAGTTATCGGGCTCCCCTTCCTCGTCAGGCTGCAGGACAAAGTGCACATCCTTTGCAGCTCTTGTCGCCAATGACATTTTGAATCAAGGTCACGACTTCTACGCCCAGCTATAGTGGTTGGTGTCGATAGCAGGCGGGCTTTGGTGGGAAACGGCCCCCTTGCAATCATTGCTACTTTGAATCTGCCCAGGGGGGTAAAAAGGGCAACTTCATTGGTGGCACCCGAGCGTACACCTGCGGCTTGTGCCGGATTCGCAGTCGTCGTCGACTGATAGGCTGGTCATCTCCTGACAGAAAACGTCCAGAGTCCAGACCGAGGCAGCGAAGCATATATTGAGATGAGTGGCTCCGGATCTTGAGCCGGGAGATTACTGCAATGCGGTCCGTTGTCATCGGGAGTTGCTCATGACGATCTTATCATATACTACCAACTAGGTGGGGTATATCAGATCAGTTTTGATCCTCGCATCCGCTGGCCGCTATTCCCAGTACGCGGCGGCGCAAGAGTTTAGTTGGTGTGCTTTAGTTTAGCAGTAGCAAAGTACGAGCTACTCGACACTAATGTAGTGCAACATTGAGGAACATGAAGGCCTAAAATGGTCGTGTAGCTGGTGCCTGTTTCCCACTGATCTTGTTTAATCGGGCACGGGGGGACCGTTGAGATGTACGGAGCCACTGGTCTGTGCGCTGAAGCAAGCTCTACATTTGCTACCCTGTTCGTCCCTAAATTTCCGATCTCATTTCTGGCTCGGAATTGCAGCGGATCCCCAGCCTCTGGGAATTGCCAGGGCCTCTCTACATTAGGACTCGGGTGACACCCTGTTCTGCTGTTGTGCGACAACGTGCATTGTCACCTGTTTTCTTGCAAGACTTCCTCGCCCGCTAGTACATGGCCCATCGCCATCTTTCCTCTGTACACTCTCTCAACCACCATGAGGATTGGACGATGCAACGGCGATGTCAGCAGCTGATAGCGTCAGAGCCTCGTCGAGGTGGGCTACCCGCAGCATCCCCATTGTCCTCGCTGCCGCGGTGGGTTACGCTACCTACGTCACCATTTATCGTGTTTGTGGTATGTCTCAAATAAGCACCAAGGAGATTGAAGATCTCCCGTCGGTCGCGCACTTCAAGAATGCTTACCCTTTGTCGCCGCTGCAGTCCGATACCTAATCCGCGAACAACGCAATGTCGGCCCGGCCATTGCCATCTTGGTCTTTTATTTCCTGACCCTGCTGCTCATGAGCGCAGCCTATTTTCGCACCATCCACATGATCAACACCGACGTCCCTCTCGTGCCGCTTGGACCTCTCGCTGTCGAACGAAGGGCGCAGGCAAATGAGAAGAGTCAGAAAGCAGCAAGCAGTCGCGATGGTGATCTCGAGAGCCAACCCTACTATGCGGCTACAGATTCCAACCCTAACAGCCCGGGACTGGAGCAGTTTTACACCAAGACGGCCTTTGTATGCGAAAATGACGGTCGACCCAAGTGGTGCTCAGAATGCTGCAATTGGAAACCGGATAGGGCGCATCATAGCAGCGAGATCAATCGTTGTGTCATTCGCATGGACCACTACTGTCCTTGGGTAGGAGGTATGGTTGCAGAGAATTGTAAGTCGTGCCGTCCAGTTGCCGCATACTTGCCGTGAAGGCTGCTCACCACATGTATTGCAGCCTTCAAATTCTTTACGCAGTTTTGCATGTATACAGCTTGCTACTGTGGTGTTGTACTCGGTGCCGCAGGATCAACTTTGAAAAAGAAGATAAACGAAGGCGCGGTGCTTGATCCGCATCTGGTCGCTATCCTGGCCATAGGTGGATTTTTTGGTCTATTCACATTCCTCATGACTACGACATCCTGGAGGTATATCGCAACCAACATGACCAACGTCGACATGATCGGGGCCAGGAAGAAGGTCTATCAGGTCGCAGTCAGAATCCCCCGCGGTGCTGAGCGGCCTGAAAAGTACCACACCGTCACATACCCGTTGCCCATGGTCGAAAATTCGTGCGATGGTGCCGCGAACGGCGCAGCTTCGTCGCCCAGACAGCCGCAAAGGGACGATCTCGCCAACAGAACTTTTGCAATTCTCAAGACAGAACCGGGCGAAAACCCCTGGGATTTGGGACTTTGGAGGAATTGGCAGGAGATAATGGGCAGCAACATTTTGGATTGGTTTCTCCCGATAAGAAGATCACCCTGCGTGAATCATGATAACGACGAAAGTTTCTATCGCATGGATAAGATGCTGAAGCAGCTCCGCGAACGATATGGCATTGATGGCGCATCTGCTGATGAAACGGACAGAATGGAGTTGCGGGAGATTCAAAGAAACATCACTTAGAAGAGCATTATCATGATACCCTCGGAAAGACAAGGCGTTATTGGATTGGGACTACATAAAGTTCACGACCGCGAATACAAGCGGGTAGTAATGACTAATATTTTGCAAAGTAATGAATGAACTACTCCTCCCGTGTTTATAGGGCCCCGTGATCTATTTTGTATTCCGGAACTGAGAATGACAAATAAAATGAGCGTGTAGATACGATAAACAAGGACTCCCGTTTGGTCCGCTATTTGCTCAACATGATAACCACCTCATAATCTTGACTCTTCACTGGCTAATCTCCACAACTTGGGCATTTCACGTGCCCACACTTGGAGCATACCCAATCTCCGTCACTGCGTTGACTAAAAGTTTGTTCCTCATCACAATCAGAACAGTGAAAAGTCTCTTCCTCGGGCGGCGGCGGTGGTGAAGGGTGGTTGTTTGAACTGTCATGTTCTGATTCTGAGTCCGACGATGACCTTGTGGAAGTCGCTTTCAGTATGAAACTAACACAAGTTATATTCATGCTCAACGTACATCTTGATTGGAGAAGTTCTTCAACGGCTCTGTTTTATGAAATAGTGTAGAGTGGCTGAAATTGAGCCCGGAACCACGTCGTTGGAAAAAGGAACCGATCCAATTCAAAAACTTGGAAGAAAACGAATTCTTTGTTGTCAAATTGATGACTTTAGATTATTGACGAAGAAGTCTTGAGCTTGATTGCAGTCGTAGTTGAATCTCCTCTCCATCATAACTGACCTGCTTGTTGTATTTATACAGTTAAAAACAGTAGAGCCGCACCCAGAACACCCTATTCATCAACCATTTCTCGTTCCTCGTCTCTCTCCCCGTGAAGTCACTTGGTAACGATCCTATGGACTCCTCCGGTGAAGCTTCTTGTGAGCGCACTCTAGTACTACCGAGGCATCTTGTACGTAAGCTTAGAGGATCATGTTGTGCAGCTACCCTCATCCCATCCTGTCGGTATCTGAGGCGTTGCCATTGTCGAATCAGTCTTCTCAATTCTTCTGAAGTGTGGGTAATCCGAGTCACTGTATCACTGCCCAGAGATAGACCTCATCCTCAGCCCTAAAAGCTTAAATTGACACAGAATAAGGGGTTGTACAGTTGCTGTGAAGTATTCGGAGATCGACGGGTTTCCCGAAATGATATATGGCCCCCAGATGCAAGATGGCGGCGGATTTAGCAATACGCGTTCTCTGTTTGCCGTAGAGTCTCGTGGGGGAGAATCTCTGAAGAATATTCGAAAAAGAATTGCACTTTCAGGAAGGAATCCGCCCCAGGTGTACGAATTCTCGCAATCCCTCCGGAGGCTGGTATCCTTTCACACCTTGGCTTCATTCATGAAATTCTAAAGTACGGTCTTTACCTGAGCAATCCGGAGTAGTCAGTAATTATTGAAGATGCTGACCACACTCACTGGGGGCTAGGCTGAGGTATTGCTCTGCCGCCGAGATAGCCTCAGGATGCGGCTCAAGCCGTAGGAGGCGCAGAAAAGCCACCGGAGCTGGACCCCAGAGATGGCAATTCTGGCGATCAATGTGCAAAATTCCTCCCGAGATGAGGAGAATACGGGACTTTTGGACGGAATGGGTGTAGGGAACTTGAACGCATAGTGGCTGTCCCGGAGTCTCTACCAGACTACCTACGAAGCACTTGTTTTCGAAAGCGTCTTTGTTTCATCACGCACATCAGCAAAATCACAGTTTCTCTGTTGTTCAACACCATATCTGATCCTCTTGACGCAGTCATGCCAATGTTACGTGGGATATGTGAATTCTGTGCAACATAATCAGAGATTCAGGCTCACCGTATTATTTTGCGGTGATGCAACAATCCACGGGTTTGTGTACGCTTCTAGTCAATCGCTGACACAGGTTAGGGACGCTCAGGCAAAAAGCTCTTGGATACGTGCCTCAAAGCAATTATTCACACACGTTGATTTCGGTGAGCCATGATCCGGGCTGCAGGTAAACACGCATCAGACGAGGTTACTTCCCTTGGATTATCCCTCGGATATCCTCCGAGTACTCTTCATTCGGATATTCGAAAGACTACATTATATCTAATCTTTTGCGATCACTCGAGTGTCATCTGCTGTCCACTTGGTCATGTATTTGGAAATCAGAGCCATTGAGCGACAGGAGGCACTGTCAGCTTTTCAAAACCCATAAGGCTGGTTGTGACATCGATAGGTATCAAAACAGAAAGACGACAATTATCAAGTCTCCTAGAATGAGGATCAGGCAACTCTTAAAAGATTCTTTTAGGCTAGGTTTCTAATCACACGAGATTCTAGTTTACCGAGATTGGCTTCCTTTATTAGTAATAATGACTGAAGGACGGCCGAATCCTGCCCGCTGAAGATGAGAAGTCACAACTGCCGCTGATTTCGATCAGGGTAGTTGACTGGCAGTGTCTACTTGTCTGCGGTTCGTTCCCTTCCCGCTGCAACCCCCCACACATTCGACAAATTGGGCACATGCACCCGCCTACATTTAGGAGTCACTGCTGATTCGATCGTCAGAGGCGGCGCACGCGACTTCAGCGCCCATCAGACTCAAGAGCCTCATCGGATCATGGGGGCCGTTGCCAGTGAAGGGGGTATGTCGGACAAATAGGGCTACTCCTGTAAAAATAAAAACTCTAGACTACTGAATGGGAAGTCTGATCTCTGAGGCAGTTCGACTGAGGTGCCAGCCAGCTTGGTAAGGCTTCTGAGACAGACCAAGCAGTTTCCTCACAACAGCCTGACATCTCTATCTCGAGATGATACATAGTATGGGGCTGGAACTCTTGCTTTGACACTGCACATGGACTGCGCCTTCAAGTATGCCGCAGTCGATCCTCGAGCGCTCGCATCAATCCTGCGAGGTTGCTCGCCAGGGAGTCTTGACACACACACACACACACACACGATGCCTGCAAAGGCTGGCTTCTCCGATCTTTGGGAAGAGCGGGTATGCTAGATCAATCCAACACGGAAAGCCTTTTGCATTCTGCAACTACTCCAACCGCTACGCATGTTTGATTCGATTCTACTGATGTTGCGCATGAGCACAAAATCTTGAGGGCCTGCCAAGAAGTCTATGCAAGAGTCATGAAGCGGCAGGTGTATCCATCATGTCTACTACATTGGTTTCTCGCAGAAGAGCCGGGGCCTTGGTGGAATGCCGTATAGTATGGAGCAGAGTGGGTAATACACTGGGCATACAACAAATGCATCGGAACCGGACGCTTCAAACTGCACTGTATCATCATTTCGATTCTTCAAGAGCACTGTCGAGACTTGTATAGAATGCCTGTAAGGATATGAGACATTAAAGCCAAATGTGATGACAAGTAAATAATTACAATAAGTCGCAAGTCGAAGGATGCAAATGCTGCTAGAAAGTCCCAGCAGAAGTCCCCAGCGCTTGACGTAGTAGACTTTTCCCCACTTTATCGTCCCTTAGTGGAACCCGGCAGCAAGAACTGCCTGACTGTAGCGTCTGCAGCAAAGGCAGCAAACATCGCTGCAAGGACAAACGACGCGCTGAGGCCGAATCCACGACTACAGCGGGACAGGCGGCAGAGTAAGGAGAAGACGGGAAAGAAGTCTCATTCACCAATCTGTCAATCAATAAGCCACCTTCATAGAGGCGTGGTCATTTCACCAGCGCTGCAGATATCCTCTTGAATTTCAGCGCCATGCTCTACCGTCAAGATCGCGCAACATCCTTCGGCTTTTCCACCACCTAAGTCGCGTGCAGCCGCCATCAATCATGCCCGCCTCATCCCCTGCCTTCCGGCACTCCTCCCCGGCCTATGATGGGTCCCGTCTCCGGAAGTCACAATTCACTCATCGGCAGCTTGCTCTTTTGGCATCATACTCCACTACATCGCCTCTGCGTGTCATTGCGCACATCGATCTCGATGCATTCTATGCGCAGTGTGAAATGATTCGGCTGGGTACCCCCGAGGACCAGCCCTTGGCAGTTCAGCAATGGTAAGCATGACAAAGGCCACCGCATGCTGGCATCGCGGCATGCGTCGCTCACGCAGGTTTAGGCAAGGGCTCATAGCTATCAACTACCCAGCTCGCAAGTTCGGAATAGGCCGTCACTGCACTTTAACCGAAGCAAAGAAAATGTGTCCCCAGCTCATCGCTCAGCATGTTGCGACTTGGAAGGAGGGCGATGAAAAGTGGGCATATCACGAAGATGCTGCAGCTCACATAGGCACCCACAAGGTCTCTCTAGACCCTTACAGACTACAGTCGAGAAAAATTCTAGCTGTCATCAAGGGCTTCCTGCCTGCAAATAAACAAAAAGTGGAAAAGGCTAGCATTGACGAGGTCTTCGTCGACTTATCGGCGCAGGTTCATTCTATCCTCTTGGAAAGGTTTCCCGAGCTTATGAATCCTCCGCCTTACGATGACCCTTCGGAAAGGCTACCACTGCCGCCTGTGACGGCGCTTGACTGGCAGGCGGATGCATTGGTTGATCTCGACGATGTCGAAGCAGAGGCAGACGACCCAGACTGGGATGATGTGGCCATACTCATTGGCTCGGAAATTGTTCGAGACATACGTGCCCAAGTTCGACGCGAGCTGGGTTACACCTGCTCGGCAGGGATAGCGAGCAACAAGATGCTCAGCAAGTTGGGCTCTGGCCACAAGAAGCCCAATCAACAGACTGTGATACGGAACCGAGCAGTGCAACACTTTTTGTCTGACATGAAGTTCACCAAAATTCGAAACTTGGGTGGGAAGCTCGGCGAGCAGGTGGTGTCCACGTTTGATACGGAATCCATCAAGGATCTCTTGGCGGTACCGGTAGAGCAGTTGAAATCCAGACTAGGCGACGACACGGGTATATGGCTCTACAACACTATTCGTGGCATCGACACCAGCGACGTCAATTCGCGTACACAAATCAAATCCATGCTCTCGGCAAAATCATTCCGTCCGAGCATCAACAACATTGATCAGGCCACCAAATGGCTCAGGATCTTTGCCGCTGATATATTTTCGCGATTGGTCGAAGAGGGAGTTTTGGAAAATAAGCGTAGGCCCAAAACTATCAACCTGCATCACAGACACGGCGGCCAGACTCGTTCCAGGTCGAGTGCCATCCCTCAAGGGAAAAGGCTTGACGAAAGAACCTTGTTCGATCTAGCCAAGCATCTCATGCACCAAATCACTCTAGAGGGACGGGTTTGGCCATGTGCCAACCTCAGTCTCAGTGTCGGCGGATTTGAGGATGGCGTCACAGGAAATATGGGAATAGGGGCTTTCTTAGTGAAAGGAGAAGAAGCCAAAGAGCTGAATACCAACTCGAGAGAATCAACCATGGATGCCATTGAGAGACCCGAAAAACGTAGGCGCGTCGAGGCTCCAAACATTCAGAGTTTCTTTAGAAAAACGTCGTCTCCCGCGGAAGTCGGAGCCCAAGAGGACGCAGACGCTTCAGGTGGCAGCCATTTACTGAGGCCCAACCTGTCTCATGACCTCCATGCCAGGAACGAAGGCATGGAAACGCCTGAAACTCCCTCAAAAGAGGAACCAGAGCGTCGACAGATGCCTATTACAGGTTACATGTGCTCACGATGCAATGCAAGCCTCGAGAGCGAGGAACATCTCCAAAGCCACAACGATTGGCACATGGCGACTGACCTTCAGGAGGAGGAGGAACGTGGCAGATCCGGATTTGTTCGTCAGCAATTGGCTCCACGCATCCAGAAGCAGAAGAAGAATTCTTCTGCATCTACCTCAAAGAAGCATTCGCGTAGGGACAACAATAAGCCTGAACAAGGCCAGAGCAAGTTGAACTTTGGATAACTACGGGCGAATACGATCCGGGGGGAGGTTCTCTTGGAGGAAATCATCATTAGACAGGGTGGATCTTCCCGTCCCGATGCCCAGCTAGAGACATGGCCGGCCATTTGGCCGTGTCGAGTTCTTACGGCCTTTCAATGGACTTCATTCGGAGATCAGGACGACGCGAACAACAGGCTCAACTGCAAGGATCTCGGCAACCAATCTCTCCACGGCTGACCATGCATCAGTGCAGCAGGAGACGATCCTCCCTAGAGGTACACGACTGCCGTGGTTGGTTGCTTAGAAGTGTCGGTCTGAAGACCCAAGAATGGAGCCAACCGAGCCCGGGTGGCTTCGAGTTGTTGTCAATAATTCGGCGGAAAAGGAGTAAGAACTCAACCTTTGCAGCTGCCGAGAGACTCCATTGCTGTGGGATCGACATTTCCTCGTTTATTTGGGAAAATCACACGGGATGTGAATCACGATAACCTTTGCCTGCTTGGTGCCTGGCCACCACTCATTCAGCTAGTCACGAAACAGCAGCTCTAACCTAGTTTTGTGTAGTCGGCGAGTGCTACTAATCAAGATGAACAAAGTACACAATGGGATTTTTCAGTTTCAACTGCTGCAATCAGCGTGGTAGGGCGGACGGACGCAACTCAGGAAATGCGACCCGTTAACTGGTAGGCGGCGCCACGGAACTGGATATTGAATGAATTGATTGGCCACAACTTGGGCACCCACCTGACTGCTTGTACGTTCCTTAGGCCCTGGCGCATTGATACCCAACGTCGAAGCAGGCACTTCCCGGCCTGCCTCCACGACGCAGCTGAGAAGCGCCGGGTAACCACGTTGACGAATTTGTCTGGTTGTGTTTTCTACGGAGTGGATCTCGTCGTCTGGCTTTTTGCCGGGCCCATTATGATGCAACTCAGACACCGGACTCTTAACCATGCAGTTTGGCTAGGTAGCCAGAGAGGCCTTTTAATAAGTGCTGCCAATTCACGTATGTACCGTGTATGACGACGAAGTTTTATTTGGCACGTTGCATGCTCTCACTGCTTGAGTCCTCCAACCTGCCGCCGAACCGTCCGCTGCTGCCACTCACAGTCCAAGGAAGTCCCTTGGTTGCTAGAACGAGTCGGAACAAGGCACACGAAACAGCGTTCTATCATCACAATAGTGCTTTCCATTAGTGCCTGATACCCTAATATTCTGGAGAACATTATATAGGGACTAGGCGTCTGTGCCCAGCTCTAAAAGGAGTGCTCTCGAAAAAATTGCCTCCTTAACAGCTTGGGAAGCCTTGTGGCCTGTTCGCGCACTCAATCATCGCATAGTTGCGACTACAACAAAAGTTGAGCATACAACTACATTACAGAGCCGACGCTCAACACGGCGAGTTGCCCATCGACCCAGTCCATCTCGGCCATCGACATTTGCCACGAGCCTGCATCCTGCTTCTCGGTCACCTAAAAGAGTAACAGAAAACCAGTTTCCACTGTCTCTGCTAAACCCCAAGCTACCGCCTCTTCTCGGTGTAAGACTTCTGCTGCTGCTTTTTGTTTTCTTGTCCAAAGAGACATGAGCGTCGCCACTTATGTTTGGCATCCGAACTTATTTGGTCCCACCTTTATATTTGAAAAGAAACAATCGCGAGAATCCTGGGCTCTGACTGCTACCTGAAATTGTGTTGTGACGTATTTCATCACAAAAGCACAGTGTCACAAGCGCTCGACGCAGACGCAGTTTTCTTCGCTTATGCTTGTGTGGTTGTTCACCAGCCACAACTCCAACGAATCGCCTTTTACCTCAGACCAAGCACCAACCCAGGTCCTGGGCGGGTCTAGTTGGCAGTCCGCCACTATAACGACGATCGTTTGCAGCTCCTCCTCTCATAAGGCCTTGTCTAGCACCACTAACTGCCTGTGGTGCCTTGGGTGCTATCGCTGCGTGCATCCCTTTTTTCACCCAAACCCACACGGACGCCAGTGCTTTGCAGGCTCTAGGCCTTCATATCAGGCGTAACTTTTTCCTGCTTCGGGCTCAGTACATTTATTTACATCTGGGCACAAGAAGACTGTTGCAAACTATTCCTTTTTCTCCAGCCACGTCGCTCGCACCTCAGTCGAGAAGGGTCTTTCCACGTCTCCCGACCAGCGAGCCAGGCAACCCAACGGCACCTGCAAGCGGCCATTTGACCCTCCTACAGTAATACCGCATCCACCCCACCCACAACAGGTCGGCACCTCTCTCTGTCGATTGGCCCAATTCGCTCTTGTCCACAACTCTGGCGGAATTTTTGAGCTCGTAGCATTCCATCCATCCATCCATCCGTCAGACGGCGCATCATTGAACGGTGCGCGATCATTGGTGTCAGACGAGCTGCACTACACAATAGAATACCTGTCGCCTGCCTGCGTAGACGCAGCAAGAAAATACTACCGTACCACCAGGCTTTTGACCCTGTTTGCTGGGTCATCATCACCTGGGAATTCATCGTGGTCCACTCCCTCGGTTGCCACCCGTGGAGGATTGGGCAGGCAGGCCAAGCCTTCATCGACCCCCCTGCTCGAACCAACGAGTTGTCAAGCTTGAGCCTTGTTCCCCCAACCCTGAAGACGCCCGTATCGGACGCTAGCAAAGGACTTTGCTGGACCTGCCGTTCCTCTGTCTAGACCCCACAGCACCAGCCCCAGCGTCTGGCCTTTCGCTTTTCTCCTCTTCATACCCGCCCTTCTCCAGCTCATTCTGGTCATTCTGCTCGTTCTTGCACCTCCTGCAAACTTGTCCAACTTTTGCTCCTCTTGTGGACGTACCCTGCCTTTCTCCTCTCTTTGATTCTCTTACCTCTCCCCCCTCCTAATTCTTCACCCTATCCCTCCCTCGTCGTCGCCGGTAGTCCTCTCAGCACAATACTTGCACAAGATGGCTGCGCGACCACCGAGAGCGAGCCAACCCCCGCCGCCCGCCTCCAACCGACAGAACGAGTACTTTGTACCGCGAGATGGCATCGACCGCGAGGTGATAACTGCCGATGTCTGTCGCTACCTCGGAAATGATGCCCTTGTACGGCCTGGAGTTTACGAGGTATGCATCGATGTGATGAATTCTGGACGACTAGACGCAAATCTGACAATGTGCAATAGAGTCCACAAACCGGCCAAGTAGTCCAAGGCTACTACATTACAGCCTACAGAAACCTGACAACGGTAAGCATCAGCGAACGCGAACAAGAATATTTTAATACCTGACGGTATGTGCTGACGCAATTCATGGCAGGCTATGATAGAAGACTTGAAGGCAGACTCTGCCCGATGGGATCAAGAAAGGCGACAACAGACGTCGCGTGGCCCGGTCGGAGGTACCCATGCTTCGAGAGATTCACCTGGAGTGTTTATCCAGAAATCTAACTCCCCAGTAGTCCAGTACCGTAACTCGGACACTCATCAGTCTCGCCAGTACTATGGACCTACGGAAGCAGGTGGACAATACCAGGACAATTCCCGTGATTCGTATGACTCTATTCCGAGATACCCGGGAACTGGATCTGCAGGCTACACGGGAGCTTCAGGTTACCAAGCTCCATCCTACGGTGGAAACCAAGGTGGTGGGTATGGCCAACCGGGATACACAACTTCCCAACAACAACAACAGCAGCAGCAACAGCAGTTCTCTCCAGGTCCCATGGATGTATCATATTCAGGAAGCGCTCCCATTGCGCAAGCAGGCTTTAGCCAGCCAACTGCTGACCGGCCTTACCAACAGATGGGTGCCAATATGGCTGCTAGAGGCAGCGACACCGTCATGTACGGTAGTGACAACGCATATCCATCAGGCCCAAGAGGAGTTCCCGTAACAACTATTGCCCAACAGGGCCGGCCAACTTATGTGACAGCAGGAGCACCTGGTAATGTGCCGGGCTTCCCACCCACAGGTACCGCAGGCGGTTACTACCAGCAGGCTCCGGCCGCTTCATCGCAATTCGTGCCATCCGATTCAAGAGATCCCTTCTACGGACGCGGTAAGTATACTAGCAATCAGAATTTTGCGGCTTGATCTGATTTCTTAGCTTCGCCCGCAGGCAACCCATCCTATGGAACATCGCACGATTCCCAGTATGACACAAATCCTGCTCCCCGCACATCTGCTCCTCCTTCAAGTACTCAAATGGCAACCAGTGGATCTTCACGCCATGTCAGCCGGGATAGCGTGGAACGTAGCGACCGCCACAGAGATTCCAGGCACCCTCACCGCAGGCAGTAAGCATCCTGCCAACCTTACAACCACGATGGATTTTGCTGGAAGCGAGACGACCGTCTTGCTCGTGAACTGGAATTATTGTTCATTTGCATTGCCCCGTGGATTTTTGGAACCTGCTCCTCACCGCTTGGTGCTTCCTGGATCAAAAAAAAATAACTGGATATACCCGCACACGAGACTCAGATGAGTACTCAGGAGGTGCAAGTTTGCATTCTTCCATGATACCAAGGGATACTACTGGCCCCTCTTATCGGATGATTCACGCCTTTCACCTCTTCTGGATATCGCCATTTTCTCTCAATACTGCTCTTTTCTCCTGGATCCTAACCAGATCGGACACGGCGCAAATGGATTGCTACGACTTGCATACGGATGGGTCGAATTATTGATGATTTTTTCCCCATCATTGTTACTTTACGACGTTGGGCCTGCTCTGCATTATACCAGACCAAGGATATGGCGCGAGAAAAGGACCGTCTCATTTGATTCATGAACTTGATCATTATTACCCGGCCGCCTTGCTGTTCCGGACTTGGCCAGAAAAACGTGGGAGGTCATCTGTCATGCGCTTTCTCATCTTCATGTCCATTCATGTTTTTCTTTTTGGTTCCACTGCGGTAGGCGCGAGAAAGAATGGAGAGAGACCATTCTAGGGTCATTTACTAATAGAGAAAGGCCCAAGTCCGGACAGCAAGGTCAGTACAGGACGGAGTGTATATATATCCCTTCTGAAAGGATCATTTCAACAACCCACATATCTCTTCCATGGCTCTCCACACTTGGCTATTTCCTTTCTTCTTTTTCTTTTCTCTTCCTCACTGCTAATAGACAGCTATTCATTTACTCCTGGATCACCACTCAAGGACATTCCACTAGGACACCGCTTTACTGGACAATCTACTCCAAATGGCCACATTGGGACTCCTGGAACAAGCACACAGACCTGGAATTTCATCCTTCATCAAGCCCAGTAGCAAAAGGACTCCACCCCTAAGGATTACCTGTCGATGGATGGCAGCAGCCGCTGTCAAACCATGATGCAGCCGCTCATGGTAGGACTCCTGGACAACCAGTTGTAAAGCTCTGCCACCGGCACCTTTCTCATGGTCATAGATATTTGCGCTTTTGCGCATTTGTTGTAAGTCTTGAGGTGTCCTCTATCTTGCCGGGCTTGGCGTTCAATCATGCCATTTCGAAACGAGGACACTCCACGTCTTCTGGATTTTTCACAGTGCACCCACCCATGATGGCATCGACTCTTGATCAAATTTGGATTCTTTTCAACCATTCATATTCCTGAGCCTCGAACTCGCCTGGCCTCCGTCTAGGACAATCGACCCATGTCTACCCATGGAGGATTTCACTTTATTGACTCTTCTGATCCGTCGGGACACTGGCCCTTTGCTCTTGTATTCACTACACCACTGTTCCAGGATCCCGAAGACCTCACTGGATAAATGTGGACAAACCTAGAGACTATCGACCCTATGAATATGCGTCGTTGCCACGAGATGTGGAATATGGACTGCAATAAAAAACCTCGACCTTTATTGTTTTCGCCCTGTTTCATCCTCATGCCGGACCCAGGACAGACATCATCCATCCCGGCCAATCCCGGATCGCCAAATCTGATCACAAGATATTTGGACGTTTGTACTGTGAAGGATCGAAGAAGGGGGGTCTTGTTTAGAGGAAGAACATGTATACGGACTATTTTGATGTAGTGGTGGTGTTCAATTTCAAGGGATGATTACTATGTACTCTGATTTGTGGACTCAATATGCATACTTGCTTTGTGATGGTCTAGAATGCCTTTTCCCATGCGCAATCCATGATTGAGCCAACCCGGCGAGCCGACGAGTCACTCGGTGGGCGAATGCTTCAAATATTCCAGAATGGAGCTAACCTCTCTGGTGTATATCAGTTCGGTGAGCCGAATGAGGAACAAATTCTGCCTTGCTGCTAAGTACTGAGTATCTACGGCACAAGATATGTCGGCTGCCCGGAGGAAGGTGTACCAGCAATCTCCAGATTTGTACCATGTGCCATATATCGTGAAGCTGTCTCCTTTTGTTCATACACAATGCTTTCATGTTGGTCAGGTTGGCCGCCGCCAGTTATTAAATGCACATGTGTCATCCTACCTACCCACGTGTGAGGGGTTCGAAGGAGGTGGTCCACGTGACATGCGACATCCCAAGGAATGAGCTTCCTTGAATCATAAGATAATAATAACAATAAGCATACATTAAGTTGATGTGCGCTCCCAAGATAATTAAGAGTGAGTATTCTATGAATTTAAGCATAAATGTTTTCCAGAATGAGCATTGACTGCCGACCGACCCCTGATTATTCTGCACAATTGGCGTTTCATTTTTGAACAGAAAAAACAAATCGTGGAGAATCAATCCGTGATGAATGAATGGGTCGGGTCTTTGGACAGCCGCGGGGTAAAAACCCATCAGGATATTCCCCCCCCCCTCTGGAGCCCAATTTGAGAGGCACGTCAAATGGTTGACTTCTAATCCGTACGTAGAGGCTTTTGGATACTGCATCCTTTTTTTTTCTTGTTCCCCTCCTTCCAGCTCGTCAGTCGCATGAGACGACCAATGTGCGAACATGGTTAAAATGAGGCGGTAGGAAGGTTCGGTCCGTACTCGGCACCAAGAAGGACTGTACATAGAATTGATGCATGGCTGCGTCCACGGGTGTGTGTGTGTGCGCGCGCGCATCTTCTTTGCCTAGAACCCTCTACTGCTCACACGTTTCTTGATTGTGACGTATTGACCCTCTTTGCTGGGTGTGTATGTGTGTGACACCAGAGTCCCAGACTGTCGGATCTTGCTGATCAGATATGCAAAGTTTGGGGCAAGCGATGATCGATGAATAGTAGCCATGTATGGCCATGATTGTCATGAAAACAAAGATACATATTTCCTATAAGCTTTTTATTCGCCGTTAGATCCCATGATCGACCAAAGAAAATCGGATGAAACGACAGTATTATGCTACACTGGACTTGCATGGAATCTAGTGCACATATAAACGGCCTGGGGGAGGATAGCCAGAGAGAGACATATTTTATATCAAGCAATGTGTAGGAAAAGACATCATCAACCAGCAAACACAGATGGTAGGCAGTAATATTCCGTACATCAAACCCACATACGATTTTACACAGTTAAACATCAGAAATACCCTGCTAGCGAACTGAGAGGAGACCCTACTTGCTTCTCTGGCTCCAAGGTACCTGTTTAGCCCCGCGGACAGATTTGGATTGACAAGCAGTCAAAGTTTTAGCTCAGGAGGGTTTCTCAATGGATGATGGGTTTTCGGCAGCCTGGCGTTGGCGCCATGGGCAGAGAGAGGGACCCCCTGCTGGTTATGGTTGGTCCCTGGATCTTTTCTTCCCCCCTCTCCTCTGTGCACTGCACTCTTTTTACTCTGGCTGGCCTTATAGCATTGGGCAAGGTGCCCCAGTACTTCAGTGCCAGCCATGTCTTTGACTCAGTACGTACATGTTTTTCTTGACAGCCCACAGACCATGAGAAACCTGGTTGCATAACCCACCGCAATTATTCAATTTTAGTAATCTTGTGAGGGGCACAAGCACACGCGATCTAGTCTTCGAAAGAAAAAAGTACATACGTCCACAGTAGGAAACAACCAACCTATTATGCAGGACGTTTGGAATAAAACAAGAGAATGGCGAGACGACAATTACATTGCCAATCGTTGCTGCGGAAGAGTAGTCCCATTGATGTTTATTGCCAAGGGAAATCGACGTGCTCATGGTGTTGACACAATCTATGCCTGCTTCCGTGCCAATTTTTTATCCCTTCCCTTTCTAATACCAGCCCTTCTTGAGAGCCACGGCAGCAATAAAATACATTAGCTACCGTCTAGCAATCCTGATGGAATGAGCCAGCCCGGCCGGCGTACGTTTGGTCTCCCACATAACTGTCAGGTGCATTGAGCGATTGCGATCGATACCCTGATCCTATCCACCCACTAACTAGCAATGTAATTATAATCCCATGCCGGGCCCTGTGAAACTCTGAAACAATCTTTTAAAGATGCCTATGGCCGCGCATTGGCCAGGACAGTGAATAATCGGGAGAGCACCAGCAAACCAGGCACAGACTGCCCAAAAAAAAGACTGGGGAGGAAGAAAAAAAAAACATCACACCTCCGCGCCTGACTGACTGACAGGGCGTCCACCCACCAGTAGTCCAAAGTCCAAGTCCAACCCACCGTCACCGACTTTGACTGCCCCGCCATTTTTTTCGACTGGCAGAAAACCAGATACGTACCTTCCTACCGCACCTGGCTACCTGATTTCAGATGCCCATAACATAAATTTCGAGCTGAACCACACCTAAACCACAAGCCTCCGCCTCGACACCTCATCGACGAAACCCCGTCAAAGGGCAATCCTCGCTGCATTGTTTTTCTCCCGTATCACTCAGCTGGTGCCCGTATATCTTAGACGGCCAGGATGAATGCAGAGGCTATCAGGAGTCGCATCGTCGCGACCCTGTCCCCGGAGACCAACGTGCGACGGGCTGCCGAGTTGGAGCTGAAGCAGGTATGTGGGATGGTGCTTGTTGATCCATGATGATGCTTTTGTTGTTGTTGACGACTTCATTCTTGATTGTCGTTGCTACCCTCCTCTCCACCTATACCCTCTACCCTCTACCGGCATCGCTCCGGTCCATGCTCACGATGACGGAAACGCTTGCTTACATGTTCTCTCTTTCGTTCAAATATAGGCTGAGTCCCACGCTGGCTTTTGCGACGTTCTTCTCGATATCCTCGCCAACGAGACAGAAGATGCTGTCAGGCTATCATGTACGTAACATGCAATTGCACCATCATGTCTGGCTATCTAGCCTCCCGCACACGCACCCACGCACGCGCTGCCCGTCCCGTCCTCTACGCTCTGCTACATTAAGCCGACACACTTCACGCATAACACATGGCTATTACCCTCGCATTCACACGCACATTGTTGACATATCTCCCGTAACAAATAGCCGTCATTTACCTCAAGAACCGAACGAATCGTGCGTGGGCAAAAAGCGACCACTGGCCCGATGAGCCAGTTCTAGCCGAAGATGAAAAGCAGAGATTTCGCGACCGCATCTTGCCCATTCTGGCCGCCTCGCATGGCCCCGTCCGCCAGCAGCTTCTGCAGATGATCCAGCGCATCCTGCATTTTGATTTCCCAGGAAAGTGGCCCAGCTTCCTCGACGTCACCCTGCAACTACTCCACGCCGACACCGCGCCTGCTGTCCTGGCTGGTCTGCAGTGCTTACTCGTCACTTGCCGCGCCTACCGCTTCAAGGGCAACCAGGACCCCAGCAAGAACGAGTTTGAGAAGATTGTTGAGGCCAGCTTCCCTCGCCTTTTGCAAGTATGCAACGAGCTGGTTGGTCAGGATAGCGAAGAGGCTGGTGAGATGCTTCACATTGCCCTCAAGGCTTACAAGCATGCCACATGGGTAAGGCAAACCCCCAAATCTGCTCGTATGTGCGTTGCCCGCTAACACAGAACCAGCTGGAATTGCCCAGCTTTCTCAGACAACGCGACGTCAACATTGGCTGGTGTACAGTATTTCTCCACACGATTTCCAAGGCCGCACCTCCCGCGGCCATGTCGGACGATTTAGATGAGAGAGAGCGCCACCACTGGTGGAAGGCCAAGAAGTGGGCTTACTTCAACCTGAACCGTCTTTGGATCCGACATGGCAACCCGACTGCCGTCTCGACGCAGAGTGAGGAGCTCAAGGCCTTTGCCAAGGATTTTACAAACACGATCGCACCTGAAATTATGAAGCACTATCTCCAGGAGGTTGAGAAATGGGTTGCCAAGACTGCCTGGCTCAGCAAGCCTTGTCTGTCCTACACTCTCGTCTTCCTTGACGAATGTTGCCGACCCAAGGAGATGTGGGCTCACCTGAAGCCGCACTTGACCAATCTAGTTACCCACCTAGTGTTCCCCGTCCTGTGCCTTACTTCGGAGGACGTTGAGAAGTTCGAGGACGAGCCCGAAGAGTACCTACACCGAAAACTGAGTTTCTACGAAGAAGTCTCGTCACCCGATGTGGCTGCTACGAACTTCCTGGTCACTTTGACCAAGGTCAGGAGAAAGCAGACGTTCGAGTTGTTGCAATTCATCAACAGTGTGGTCAATGAATATGAGGCTGCTGCTGCGGATGCGAAGAACCACATCGCCAAGGAGGGTGCCCTGCGCATGATCGGCACCCTGGCACCAGTCCTCCTCGGCAAGAAGAGCCCGATTGCGGATCAGGTCGAGTACTTCCTCGTGCGATACGTTTTCCCCGACTTCAAGAGCACACAGGGATATCTTCGCGCCAGAGCCTGCGATACTATTGAGAAGTTTGAACAACTGAACTTTAAGGACCAGAACAACTTGCTTATAATCTACCGCCACATTCTGGATTGTATGGCCGATACGGACCTGCCCGTCCGCGTCACGGCTGCTTTGGCTCTGCAGCCTCTCATCAGACATGATACGATTCGAATCAGCATGCAGCAAAGTATTCCTACCATCATGCAGCAACTGCTGAAATTGGCCAATGAGTGCGACATTGACGCACTGGCTAACGTGATGGAGGACTTCGTTGAGGTATTTGCTGCCGAACTGACTCCATTTGCCGTGGCTCTGAGCGAGCAACTGAGAGATACGTATCTGCGCATCGTCCGTGAACTCTTGGACAAGAACGCCGCCAAGGGTGACGATGATGAGTATGGTGACTACCTGGACGATAAGAGCATCACTGCGCTTGGTGTTTTGCAGACTATCGGCACCTTGATCCTGACTCTGGAGAGCACACCAGATGTTCTCCTCCACATTGAAGCAGTGCTTATGCCAGTCATTGAGATCACCTTGGAGAACAAGCTTTATGGTAAGCATCTGCCCATTTACCATGTTTGACCACTTACTGATCTATCCCTTTAGACCTGTACAACGAAGTATTTGAAATCATTGACTCGTGCACATTCGCTGCCAAGAGCATTTCGCCCACCATGTGGCAAGCTTTCGAATTGATCCACCGCACATTCAAGTCCGGTGCCGAGCTCTATCTCGAGGACATGCTCCCAGCACTGGACAACTTTGTGCAGTACGGTGCTCCCCATCTTGCACAGAAGCCCGAATATGTCAATGCACTGTTCGGCATGGTTCAGGATCTTTTCGACGACCCTAAGGTGGGTGGCGTCGATCGTATTTGCGCTTGCAAGCTGGCCGAGGCTATCATGCTCAGCCTGCGTGGTCACATCGACCAATGCGTTAGTGGCTTCATTTCCATGGCCATGGCGGTTCTCAACGGACACGAGATCAAAGTCAAGTCCTACAAGATCCACTTGATGGAAATGATCATCAACGCTATCTACTACAACCCTGTCCTGGCGCTGCATGTGCTCGAAAGCAACGGATGGACAAACAAGTTCTTCAGCTTGTGGTTTGGCAACATGGATGCATTCAGCCGAGTGCACGACAAGAAGCTCTGCATTGTTGCCATTGTTGCTCTGCTTCAACTCAACCCCGACCAGATTCCTCAGAGCGTACAAACTGGCTGGCCAAGACTACTTCAAGGCGTAACGATTCTCTTCCGGACGTTGCCGAGCGCAATGAAGAACAGAGACGATGCATTGAAGGATGATTACACCTATGATGCTGGCAGTTACGATTATGATGACGAAGACGAGTGGGCTGAGGAGGATACCAACTGGCAGTTGGAGGAGAAGCCCGAGGAAGAGCCCCAAGAAGGCCGTGACGAGAGCACAGCCTATCTGGAGTTCCTCAATGAGGAGGCTGCGAAATTCAGCCGCCTGGAAAACCAGTACCGGGATGCCGAAGACTCTGATGATGACCTCGGTGAGGACAGTGTTCTGCTCGAGTCTCCGCTCGATAAGCTTGAACCCTATCAGCTTTTCAGACTTGCATTGTTGAGTAAGTTTCATGTGTCCGATACCATTCCCTGTCAGATTGACGCTAACAAGGCTACAGAATTGCAACAGGAGCAACCACAGCTCTACGGAACACTTACTGCACCGCTTACGGCTGATGACCAGGCCGTCATCCAGAGCGCAGTTCACCAAGCAGAAGTCAATGAACAGGCTGCTATCCAGCTTGCGGCACAAGCAGCACAGAACCCTCAAGGTCTCCCAGCTAACGGAGGAGTAAATTAGCAGCAGCCGTCCTCTGAGCCTTCACGTTCGAGGGTTACGCAACGGCTCACTCCGCGGCTCGCCGCTCTGCGGGTTCGAATTTGGGAACGTCATCTACTGATGAGTTGGACATCGAGTTCGACGAAGGAAACTGGGCATTAGTTTCTCGCAATTGGCACCTGGACGATTAAAAGAGTTGGTGGTTTTTGGGTAGCGCTACGTAGCATATTACTTGACATTCGATATGCAGGAATGGTCAAGATAGGAACTAGAACATGGGTGGAACGTCGAGAACTTTGTGGCCGGATAAGCGGTGCACGGCTCTGTTCAAGGTGCTCGAGAGTGTGATGCCATGAATCTATGACAGCTCCAGAACGGATAAATGAGTCAACCAATGAATGACGAAAGAGATGTCGGGGGAAGGAAGAAAGAATTAGAACGTGCGAACGCAAATATCCCAAACCGACGATGAAATGTACTTGATTTGCAACAACTCAGTGGCCTTGGTGTTGGCCAGTCTTTTGAGCTTTGTGACGGTGAATGAGACTTTTTTGACGATATTGATGACCTACTTGCAAGTGCTAAACGTGGGCTGGCAGACAAATTCAAACATATCAACGTATGTGTTATATCTGTGCCTGTTGGAGTATACCTAGATTTGATACAATATGCGTTCGTTGTACGTCATCGGGATTTCCATGTCGGCCAACACGACCTAGCATTATGGACCTATGGACCACAGACAGTCTTTGCCATAACTCGCCGAGGTGCAGGGCAATTTGGTGCTGTAGGATTCAGTACCCGGGAGGTTTAGCGGGCTCTTAGTGCACCCAACCATTGGCGATCCCCGCTTCAGCCAGTCAGCGGTCTGTGGGCTGGCTCCATGCTTCTTCTAACTTGACAATCTATCTTATGTTTTTGCAAAATGCAATTCATCAAACGGTTGCTGGAATGATCCTTTTCTGAAAATTGTCTCTCTGCTCTATCGTCGCTGCCGTATTATCATGATATCTCAGCCCTGAATACTTTGCTACAAGTGATGATAGTATTCTGCCGAACATCGTTATTGTGTCTTGCTCTCCAACTTGTATTCCTTTCATCCGCATACTAGGTACCTACCGCCGCCCTGTACTTGGCCGAGAATCCAGGGCACTGCACGCTTAGTCAAGAGCCAAGCAAAAGCTTTCCTAGAGACTTTGGACCCAAGCTGCCCGCCGGCCTACCAAAGGAGTAGGAGGTGGGTTACCTACCCGCTTCCCGCCCGGCTCAGTAGCTAGCATAGCCTCCTACCTGTCTGGTCTGCCTCCTTCGAGACGGTAGAGGACGGCAGCGGTGCAAAGCATTATTACTTGACTCGACAACAATCACTTCGACCTCCTTGGTCTGAGGCTCCGCAGTCAGTGATTGATCAAAACATAATGTGAAGAAATCTGCCCGCTATGCCAGACCAAAGGACAACCAAACGACTTGTCATCCTCGTTGACGGAGCAGAATGGCGCCAAGGTGAAGAAGGTTTGTTTGTTTCTGGCTGTGCCCGCACCTCTTGAGCTAGGGGATTCAGATTGCTGATTACCGCAGCGCACCACAACCCTTCCAGCATCTCTAGGCTGCATAGTCTCGTGACTGATGGACCCACGGATGGCTCTTCGGATGAGGGGGTGTTGCAGGTCAAGAAGTATTATTCTTGCATTGGTAAAGCGCCCAGCCTGGCCGACAAGTTCAAGTCCAAGGTACCTGGCGACGACACCGACGACAAGATCAAGCTGATCACACGGGATATATGCTCCGTCCTGGAGTCTCCGGAGGATGAGGTCTATCTCTTCGGGTCCGGTCATGGCTCATTCGTTGCTCGTGCCGTTGCTGGTGTCATGCATCACATGGGATTACCGAAAAGAGAGTCCCTTAACCGATTCGACGACCTCTTTGACTGTACTTGCGCTCTACAAAAAGCATGGGCGGAAGATGACAGTCGCAATGGCCCAAGGCTAATGAGCACACTTCAAGCCCATACATTGGGTGCACCGCGGATACGCTTCATGGGACTGTTGGACAGCCTCAAGACGACCGGGACAACCACTGTATACGACACGTCCTATGTCTCTTCTATCGCGCATCTCCGCGTCGCCTTGGCCTTGAATGAAAATCGCTCCAGCAAGGCGGCCCAGCTGCTCGAGATCGGCAAGTCCATGGACATGACTGCCCACTCCTTTGTGCAAGCATGGTTCATTGGCTCTGTTGATGACATGTGCGGCGGCGTGTTACACGACGGCTTGTCACTCTATCCATTGCAATGGATGCTGATTGAAGCCATGAGGACGGGACTCTACATCTCGGGTTCTGGCAATCAGGGGGCAAAGGGCCAGGATCCAATGGCTCTCGTCTTTCCGCAGTACGCCGGCAGCTTGCCAAGCCTGGACGGAAGCGAGGATATCCTTTGGAGCTTCAAATATGTCAACGGTATACAGGTCAGCATGTTCGACTTGCAAACGGTACATGCTATCCCAACAACTTCTGAGGGGGATTCACACAGTCTGAGGCTCGATCATGAATGTTACTCTCATACTCCTAATCGAAAGATATTTGGTTCCAGCGGACTCAAGGGCTGGAACTCTACAGGCATGTTTTGGTCTCATCTTTTGTAGCCACGTCTACTAACCAATATATAGGCGCTTATGGTACGATTATACATCTGTCGGCATTCTGTATTCTCGACAGATTTCCAAAGTACCTTGAGCTCAGTAACTTCAAGCCATTGAAGAAGAATCTAGCAGAGTACCAAGCAAACTGTGTGCTTGACAATGCCACCTCCCTACCGCCATGGCTGCAAGGAATGCAGCTCCAGGCAAGTGGTGTAAAGGCATTTCGTATTCTGGTCTGCGGCAAGACAGGAGTTGGCAAATCAACACTTGTGAAGTGCGAAAGCAGATATCTTACATGGAAGAAAAAAATGTACTTGGTTTATACTCCATGCCGACGTTGGCTCGATTTTTCTTTTACGTTTTGTATTCCTCTCAAATCTTGTAAAGGGGGACAGAACTTTGAAAATGTCTTCCCCTCTGCATATGCTAAACATCTACTGGCAAACAAATGCAGATACGTTAGCATAATACTAATACTTATACTCGTTGGCGAGTTCTCAGATATCTGCCTGGTGCTTTGCACGTCATCGGTATTTCCATGCCCCTTTACAGCTTACCGATGGATGGCCGTTGACGGCGGGTGGCGTAGTGCACAGATACAAAGTACTTCATACAACATCGCAGTTTCCCTGTTTGACAGTATTGAATACATGTATTCTTACCTTTTTAGAGACGGTCATCGACGGTGCATATGTAGAAAAAGGAGTAAAAAGATACAAGGTACTTCATACAACATCGCAGCTTCCCTATCTGTTGATGCTTTGATTCCCGTGGCCAACAACGCAGGATGGCGGCCTCTGCCAGCAATTATCAGAGAAGTGTCCTCATCCGCCATCACCAAAGTGCAAGGTGAAAGCAATTTCACGCTGTAGGTCTAGTACCTCCGATAAACCACCGATTAAACTGTGATATCTCATCCATCTGTTCGACAATATCCACAAGAACACGCCGTTGGTGATCATCAACCGTGGACGAGGCCCGCCATGTGCGGCAACTCAGTTGGGCTGGACCTCCAGCAGTGCACTCGCTGCGGCGAAGTGCGTTCGGCCTCACATTTCACTGCGAAGGACAATCCGGAGCTGAAGACGAAAAAGTGTTTGAGATGCCGTTGCACGCCAGACTATTGTTGCGGTAATTTGACCAATGCAAAGAAGTTCTGCTGTAACTCATCTCCTGCTACAATCCGACTTCTGCAGTACTTCTGGCAGATGATGCTCGTGAGTCTCTCCCATTTCACAAAATACGCTCGCTAACCATGTTATAGCTGTCGATGACCATGTGTGGAGTGCTCCCGTCTGGCACATCGTTGGCCGCTATTGGTCGACGACTGAGCGAGATTGTGTTCACTTCTTCGTCTATCTGTTCATTCGGTTCAAGCAGCGTCGTCCATTCCTTGCTGGTGGCCATCGCTGTTATCGTCTCCTACTTCACTTTTATTGTCCTCATCTTCACTGATTGCCTCGGATACCTGCGAGGCCCTCAACGGGGTCGGATGAGGATTCATATCGCCCGCAAAAAGTCTACTCGGGAGCGCCGGCAGCTTTGTACAACAACTACTTGCAAACGCAGAGAGATATATGGCAGATTGTCATGGCTTTTCGGGACTATCGCAAGCAGGTTATTGGCTGCGAACCGCCACTGGCTCACCTTCTCCAGCTCTCGGAGCAGTGTCGATATTGCTCCGGCATCTTCGTCATCGTTGGCGCCCGTTATTGCAACGTCCTCCCCGTCCCTCACTCCTCAGCGTCTGGTATCATCTTGTCAGCCAGAGTATCACGCTTGGCTTGGTAGTTTACATGATGCATACTCAGATACACCGTCCGGCGCTCATAGAAGCCCTGCCTCCCATGTCGTCCAAATATTTGTGAGGGCCGACGAGCGCACACTTGCCGTGTTGGTAAACGTCGACGATTCTTTTGCTTCATTAGTGGAAAAAATCGCCGCTCGACTTGGACAGTCACTGGAATTTTCGTACCTTGCGTACCACGGCAAGGTTCTTCGTTCTCAATTCGTTCTGCGAGATTACAACATCCAGGATGGGTCTACCCTCGAATTTTTGCCCCGACTGCTTAGTGGTGCTCCAGGCAAAACCAAAGGGAAGAGAACGGCCACTGACGCCAACTTTAGAGACGTACCCGACGACGATGATTCTTGCGATGAATACGTCCCCAGTGACCAGGATGTTAGCGACTCAGATCTTGAGATCGCCGATGACGATGAGTTCCAACCGCTACGTGAATCTGAGGTTTTCGACGCCGTTGGTGATGAAGAAGATGATCAGCTAGAGAGCCAAAGGGGGAAAGAAATTGAGTCACTATTTTACAGGGCTGAGAAGCTAGGTCTTCAACCAGATCCCAGGAAGTTACGGAAGAATAAACAGAGGATGCGACCTCCACGTTCGAAGCCGCGCGAAGATCCGATTATGAAGATCCCCATTGATCGCCTAAAACAAGACCTCAATGACCGCCTTTATAATCTTCTACTTGTGGTAGACAAAAAGTTCAGCAACTTTGATGACATCGTCGACGACAACCCAGTTCAATTTCGAACACAGATAGTCAATCATCTGCTTGGACATCATACACAGTCGACAAACGCTGACGAGATGATACATGTGTTCTCTGCGTATACCGGCCGTGCTTTACGTCTCGATGCATCACCTGTCTCAAGCTCGCTCGAATCAATTTATCACTATGCCGTCGCACCGAGTGGCCACATTGGTTACCATGTTGCGGCTAATACCGTATTGGTAGAGAGTTTTCTCAATTTTACCAAGCGCAATATGTCTATTATGACCCTCCCACTCGCTGCAGAAATCATGCGGACTTGGGATCGTCCGCTACATTGGGATGCCAAAAGAGTCCGCCTTCAATGGCTCGTCAATGCAGCAGCGAACGTGGCAATTCTTCAAGAGAAATATCAATGCCATAGCAAGCATGTACAAAGGCATAAGCAATGGGTTAATACCATCCGGAGAAACCGTGATCCAGCCCTGATGTTGGAAGCTATGCGTACGGGACGGTCGACGAGCACTGACGCCGAGCTTGAGAGATTCCGCAGTACTTTGACAAATTGGGATGGAGTCTTTAGCGGCCATTATTGGACAAGGAAGGGTGATGATGATTTAAGCATTTCGACGGTCAAGGAGACCTTGCTTAAAATCGCCGCCAGTCACGGCCTATCAAAGAAAGAATTTCTCGCATGCTGCACCATAAGCGATGGAAATGATTGGGTATTCTTTCCTTTCACTCCACTAACCGCTAACATGGCGATCGCTATGGGCTGGGACTGGAAAATGCTTCGACGATGGAGTACGCACCGCTTTTTTCGCATCAAGCATTGCAATTATTGGGCGGAAGCATTCGGTATAGCCGAGATTGGTCTATCTCCCGTCAAAATCCTATACTCTTGCGCTCACATCACTTTTGAGCGCATCGCAACGAAGAAGGAACAGTTCTGTCTTGATGGACGAGACTTATCGGATAATTTGGTGCTCAATGAACTGGCCTGCGAAGCGATCGTCGACCGTTTTAACATCCCTATTGTCCCTTGGCAAAAGCATGCTTTTGCAGCTTCGCTCTGCAAAAAGTTTGACCATGGAGTCGAGATGCGGACGGGATTCGGAGACATCGAGGTCGACGATCCTATCTTTGATCCGACGAATTGGAATTCGGCTGCAGAAAAGTGTACAGTTACGATAGACACGATGATGATCAATATGGGCATGGTCGACTTCCATCCAGAAACTTGGAAAACCCTTCCTTTAGTGCTTCGCGATGTTCCCTGGCAGCATCCACTTTGGGATATCGATGACAGTTTGGGAAACCAGGTCTGGGGCCTCTCTGAGACTGTTTGCGGCGCTTTTCCGCCGCATAGAGAATACGACACCTCGATCCTCCTGCCCATCGAGGCCTGGTCTCAAGGGGGTATCGCAATCGATCTCCGTTGTCGCTTCTGTAATATAACTTGCAGCTCTATCGCAGGGCTATTAAGGCATTATCAAGATACCCACAGCCGCCAACGACCCATGCTTTGCAATGCACCAGGCTGTTTTCGAAGGTTTGCAACGGCAAGCGACCTCGACGACCACCGTCTACAAGAGCATACACAAGATGATCAAGATTTGACTGATTATTGGAAGAATCACCTCACTTGTCCATATGGATGCAATGATAACAAACCATGGACTTCTGCGAATAATTGGCACACTCACATGACAAACTTTCATTTCCCTGGCGGCTCAGGGGAATGCCCGGAAGATGGCTGCCATGAGTCCTTTACGAACAAAAAGGCGCTCCACGTTCATCTGGTCATTGATCACAAAGTCATGGAGATACGCAAATTTTGTTCACTATGCCATCTGCCATGGTCGGTGGTGGCTCATGATGGCGATCTTGTGGTCCATGAGAAGGTCCCCCATCGGCACAAATGTGACATCAGTGGATGTCAAAACAGTTTCATTACCAAGATCGATCTAAACTTCCACCTTCTCACAATCCACCCTTCGGCCGAGACTTTACAAAGAGTTTTCAAAGCGAATCGTGGCTTTGTCCCAGCGCGATGTCCATGGTGCGCCGATATTGTAAGTTTTTCTAGTTTGGAAAGACATGTCAAAGATAAGCACATCCCAAAAGTACAATGTATACTTTGCACCGACAAGTTCCGGTCCTACGAAAAGCTTCGCGATCACTTGGCATCACCAATACATGAAATGGTATGGTGTGGTCATTGCCTATGTATCTTTCCGAGCGCAGCAGACCTCGACGAGCACAACACGCGTTGGCACACGGCTATCCAAGCTGTAAATGATGATATGGAAGACAGCCGTTTCCAGGTAAAAGGCTATTGGGATACCAGCGGCGACGGGCTGTGGACGACCCTTGCCGATGGTCGAGAACAATGTGATATCTGTAAATTTTCGCGGGGGATGTGCAACACAAAAAAGTCGAAAACGGCTCATTTGTACGCCAGTCATCGTCCTTGTATAGTCCAAGGCTGTCAATTTCGATGCAGCAGGAACCGCGATATAGATCAGCATCTCGCTGAGCATCCGAAATGCAACGGATGCGATAAACGGTTCCTTGACGATGAAGTTATGGCACTGCACCGCTGTAATGTTATTGAGCCCTGGGTCGGTTTGCCTCCAGATATACAAGCAGTCATCGACGCCACGCCTTTGGAACCACCGGCGCCGATTACTTACAGGCTGTCAAAGGAGACCCCAGAACAGGCAGCGATTGCCCGTAGGTACCTGTCGAGTGCCGTTGATAATCATCAACCAAGCGCGTCTACTACCATACGGACGATCGGAAACACTCGGGTAAATTACCTTACCCTCCGGCCATCATTCGAAAGCAATGCTGACGCTCTTTAGAAAAAAGCTAAAACAGAAAGCGTTCCGCCCGCGTACATACGCCTGAATCACTAGGATCACCAACGCGAAGAAAGGTTCCTCGGCCGCAGAAAACCTTCTGGTCGACGTGGAATACCTCCGGCTAACCATATATCAACTTCATCGCACACAGCCATTTGATAAGCTTCAATTATCTGGCCGTCATTCTCTAGTTAATTTCGGCCACCGATCGTCGCTGAATTTAACAATAGCCACGTCTTTGCTCTTTCACTATACCTTACCACCAATTATTTTGGAATGTCAAAAAGCAAAAGATCATCTAATACTGGGGCCGTCGATTATCACAAATGGTGAGCGGGCATGGTCATAATCGCAACCCGTCTTTGTTTTTTCCAGCTTTGTCGCTATAATTTGCCACAAGAAATTTTGAAATTTCAACGCAGGGTTAGGTAGTCCGACCTCTGACGTTTAAACCAGCAGAGACTCTAATACATAAACAAATAAACAAGCGTTATTATTCACATGGACACTGAAAAAGTCTTGAAGATGATGGGTATACTGCAATTAGCTGTGCCTAAATGACACATATCGACTACCTGTCGAAATAGGTGACCATTATTCATGGTTTATAGGGGTGGCCATTCCCCGTCCCTTGCAGTCTTTAGCCACAAATCATACGTTTAGCTATGGTCCCAGACTTTCATAAGCAAATCTCGCCTTCCTCATTGCTATCAAGCGTCGCCTAGGTCGTCAAACAACTCGGCGGTGGCATTGTCCAGCTGGTACTCCGGCTCGTTGGTGACATTGGCTAACTGGTGAACCACCTCGGTGGTGGCGTTGCCCAGCTGGTAAGCCGGCTCGTTGGTGACATTGCCTAACTGGTGAATCACCTCGGTGGTGGCGTTGCCCAGCTGGTAATCCGGCTCGTTGGTGACATTGGCTAACTGGTGAACCACCTCGGTGGTGGCGTTGCCCAGCTGGTAAGCCGGCTCGTTGGTGACATTGGCTAAATAACGACCCAGTTGTTGCAGTCTAGGTGCAGACCATCGGGCACCCATATGCATCAGCTTTGGAGTATATTTCCAGGCGACAAGTGCTGCAACTCCGGCGGAAAGCGTCTTGACATGGCTTTTCTTGATGCGAAAGTATTGGCTGGATCGTCGTCTTTCGCCATCGATTGTCTGTTGCAAAAGATTTCTTTCGTCAATGGCCGTCTTCAACTCTTGCGTCTTTGCTGCCAGGTTTTCCTCCGCTTTCTTCACCTTGGCCTCGAGATCGGCAACACTGGCGGCCGGACCAACTTTGATGATGGAACGTCCTTTCTTGGGGAATGGAGCCGTGTTCTCATCATCGCTAGATATCTCCAAAGCGTTTTGAGGGGTTGATCCCATCAAGAAGCTGCTTTTTGCCTGGCCGGGCAAGACAACTTCACCATTGGCGATAGTCTCCCCGTGTCCATCGCCGTTCAGCTTAATCGGCTGCCATCCAATAAACATAATCAATGATTGTCGATAGCATTGCAGACCAAAATTCTCTACTGCAGACGTGACTTTGGCATGCTCGCGACCCAGCAAAAAGCACCGCATGATCTCGTACTCGGTCAATGTCAACGGAACCATTGTTTCGCCATCGGGCCATCTCTGTTCCCAGCCCTTCCATGCGGTCGTTTCTGAGACCTCCTTGCTCGGGTCGCATGCTCTCAGGTTTAACTCGACATTTTCGCGAACCGCGGCGGGTAATCCAGATCGAATCAGTGAGACCATTGTGGATCGAAAGAAGTTCATGTTCCAAGCGTTGTCGGGCGTCGCGTCATACATGCTCGCTTCGACTCTGGCTTTCTGTCCGGGGCTCAGATGGAATATTCGAACGCCATTTCGGAGTTCGGCTCCAGAGGCTTGGTCGATATCGGGCGTCACAATCACATCTTTGATGAATATACCCTCATCAACGAACAACGAGGGTGCCATAGTGAGGAACTCGTATTGAGCCATAAACAAGCATTGCTCTCCACTCAAATGATGGATTCTGAGACGCCGAAATGCTGATCCGATCGCGTGGGTTTTCATGTTTGCGTGAGTGAACACCAACGGGCGCTCGCGCTGGTCGACCGGCGGTAGCTCCTCTCCGATGGGCATGTATCGGGTCTTGTCCTTGTGGTCCTTGGTGAGGTGCTGATATTTGTAAACTCTACGAATGCCCTCGGCGAGAAGATGGTTAGGGTGCTGCGTCAAAAAGTTTAGAACCTTGCGCATATTGTCGGACCATCTTGGGTCGTAGTCAGTGGTGAAGTAGACGTCTTTTCCAATAACTTCCTCCTCTTTCGTAGTGTAGCGCTCGCCCGCGCTCAGTACCAGGTGTGTGACTGGGCGACCATCTTTCTGTGGGAGGTCGTCGTCGTCGGAGCTGGAGGACAAGCCGTAGTCGAGGTCCATCTCCATGAGCCGAGTCGTTGAGTTGCGCCCCTTGCGCGAGAGAACCTTACTGCGGTGGTTGTCATTTTTTCCTCTGACGGATGATGGCTGGCCACCATCATCCTTTGGACGATCAGCCATGGTTGCTGTCCTAGAGCGTTCGACGTCTAACAGCCGCTGGTGGCTCTTCGGTGTTCTTTAATGGTGGTGGGAATGTTTGGGGGTTTGATGATAATGATCACGGCGCAGAATGGCTGAGAATGCCTTAATTGAAGGTGCTGCTTGATAGTAAAGGAAAGAGTGTGGTGATGAAGTGTTGTCAATTGTTTGTTGCGATTGTTAGTGGCAGGACCTCAAATTCTTACGACTGAAGCGATGGCTTGATTGTTCTTCTTCCTGCTATTTAGCATATCCACATTGAGAGACAATCGCGTTCTTGCCATTCATTGACTGGTATTGAAGAATTTGAAAAATTTTCGCACTTTCTCGGCATTAAGAATTGCGATTCTCGCGTGCCTCTAATTTTCTCCGGAACCCTCAACTTTCCAACCCAGCTTCTTTCCCTTTCTTTCCCCCACCACAATTTGATTTGGTCAAGTGTACAGCAAGTATCATCAACTATCACGTACCCAAGCCAACAGATACCCAAGCCCTTCAAATCCCTTCCCCTTGAGAATCACCCAAAGCAATCAGACACCACCAATGATCAGACACCCAGCGAAGCCAATCATGGCAAACCAGCGCTCCCCGGCCACGAAGCCGACCAAAGAGGATCGTGGCAAGAGAGAGCCAGATGACGACGAGGACGACGACGATGACAGCGATGGAGATGGGCCGGTCTCGTTAATGAGCTTGATGGACGCGGCGCAGAGAGCTCAAGATCGAGAGGCCAATAAATTGTTCGACTTCAGCGACGAAGATGACGAAGATGACGCAGATGACGCAGATGACGCAGATGCTGGTGGCGGTCAGTCGAACACGGCCGAGGAGCCCACAAGCGCCCCTCAGCCAACAATGACAGAAGACGTCGCTGCCAGCAAACGCAACTCAGACATGCCCGCACTCGGAGAGGGCCAGGCAGAGATCGTCGAGAAGAAGAAGAAGAAGGTCACTTTTGCCGACAAAGCTATCAATGATGTAACTGCCAACGATGATAGCGATGCTTCGTCTAGCAGCCTGAATAACCCTGACGCAAAGAAAAGGCCCAAGATGGTTCTCCATTTGAGCATCAGTAACGGAGAACGTATGCCCGAGAAGAGAGAGGAGCCTATAAACGCTGATGACGCTCGAGACATACCAAGTGAAGACCCTCGATGGCCACCAGTCATTAAGGATGTTCTGAACCTTATGGCTTTGGACGATGCCCAAATTAGCAGGGGCATTCGGCGTGCTTATCAGCACCAACATGTTGGCACCACAGCAGCAGAACGAATGTCAGTGATGCCACCGGGCCAGAATGATCGATATGATATTCATGAGAAATATTTCGTCTTCACGCATGAATACATGCACAGGCACCATCGAGGATCGAAGAGATTCCGTGTGAGACTTCATCATCTGAGTGGCACTCAAGTCATGATGATGGCCAAATACGAATATTCGGTTGGGGCGCCGACGTACTTCACCGATGAGGACATCTTGATCAAGGACATTATTGCCTTCCCGAATATCGATTTATCAGAAAATGTCGAGTCGAAAGATGGTGTCAAGCTGCTCAGATTAAGTCCAGAGCAAATCGTCGAGATTGACGATAGCTTGTACTACATGGGTCCCGAGAGACGCAAGTCCTTGTCAGTGGCCGACATCAACGAAGCACATAGTGCAATGGTTAGTTTGGTCCGAAAAGGCTTGCCTAACGACGTAAGAGACAATATCATCAAGAATATTCGAGCATGCAACCCACAAGACACAGTCTCGGCTACAACAGCTTGGAAGGGGTGGAAGAAGATGTGGATAGGAAAGGAAATGGTTGCTTTAACCCTCATCCAATATGAAATTATCCGGTGCTTCTCATTCGGTCACGAGCCCCCAATTGTCAAGGACGCCATCAAACGCTTCAACCTAGAATTCTATCGCCAATGCCAGTTCTTCTTCTCCGATTTGATGCCTATCGACCTCACAGCCTACGGTGGCCACGGAACCGCGCACAACAACGAGCTGGTTACTCTCCCAGCCCGAGCAACGAAGCTTGACAAGTTTATGAATGCAGAGAAGAACGGTCAATCATCATTGACGAGCAGCCCCAACAACGGCGGCGGAAATAACAAGGATGGTGATGACGCTGACGACGAGGGGCAGACTATGGTTGATAATGCCCTGCCGAGCTCAAAGACGACCACCGTCAAGAAGCAAGTCGTAGAGGGCACACTTCATGGTCATAATTGTGACGGATACGCCGCCATCAATGACAAGATCGACAACCGCTTTGGACGATTCGAGGAGATGCTCAAGAACCAGCGCAGCATGCCCGGCAATCAGCTGCCCGACGATGAGGATCAGGGCCGTGAAGATCGCCGTCGTATCGCCCAACTTGAGGCCCAGCTCGAAGTTGCCAACAAGAGCCATGAGGCACAGCTCGAAGCTGCCAACAAGAACCATGAGGCACAGCTCGAAGCTGCCAACAAGAATCATATGGCGCAGCTCGAAACTGTCAACAAGAATCTCGAGGACGAGCGAAAACGAGCAGAAATTGGTGAAAGGGAGAGAAATAAGCTCAAGACAGAACTCGCCAACGAGCGTCAACAGTCGAACAGATACTACCGAATTGATAAGAGATATCTCAAGACTGCATCTGCCGGAATCGCCGCTTTAGTCACCTGGAAGTACACCCCTATGATTGCAAGAGCCGGTGCACGATGGTCGGCGCCCAGATTGGAGCGTTTAGGCCAGTGGCTGGCAGAGACGGCCGTTGATGGTGTCGACCACCAAAACGTCGACGCCTAGCGACTTCGACGAAGTCAGTACTTGCTTCAAAAATCTCCAGGACCATTGCTGAAGCTTTATTTTTCAACGTTTGCGTCTGTATTTGGGTTGCCGCTCCCTGAGCACCACGGCCGAGATGGCGAACCAGAGATGGTTTGGTGGTTGAGCCCCAAAGTCACAATATTTGCGTCTGATTTAGGTTGCCGCTCTCTGAGCACCACGGCCGAGATGGCGAACCAGGGATGGTTTGGTGGTTGAGCCCTAAAAGTCATGGGTTTTCCCCCCGAGTTTGGCAGTTTCGCCACTCGTCATTGACAATTATCGATCGTTCGTCCTGGTAGAAAATGAAAAGGGTCAATTGGGCTGCCAGCGTTGGTGATAGTGCATCATCAAGGGTGGGTATACGGCCGGGTGTTGGGCGGATTTGGGAAGATTTCAGATAACGGGGTCTAGCCCCATTAGAAATACACCATACTTTGTACCCCCATCGCTCATCTTTGATTAGGTATCGTCTTCCACGTCTTAACAACCTACAGGAATCATAGCGACGCCCACAATATCACGACTGGTAAGGGCAAAACACTGATAGGCAGCCCGGGCGCCACGCTGGACGGCTCAACGTTTGGGTCGCAGCATTCGAGCGAATTCTCAAACAAGTCTTCCAAGTGGAGCAGACCGTCGTGGCTGCGTTCAAAGAAGTCAAAGAACTTTTCGTAATGACCTGGCACGATATCGACTTGGGTGGTTTTTGGAGTGTCGTTGAATGCAAAAGATACAGCACCTATGTGAATTGCTTCAGGCTTGGTCACCAGGTAGTAGACCAAGAAGTTTCAAGTGTGAGCATTAGAACAGGGTTTGGATAAAGTGTGACTTCGAAGTGGATGAATATATTTTGCGATCCCGATCTTGATGGTCATATAGTTGTAGCTGTTTGATATATATTGCATGGCAATCTGCGTGGTAGACGAGATAATATATACCATTACGATTACTGATTTGGTGTCGTGATCACACAGGAGGTCTGACCCATATACATACATACCTTAAGATAGAGGAGGGGGTTAAGAAATGGCCGCCTTGTTCCACCTTCGGAGTCGCGCGTGACCACCTTGGCGTTATACATTAGATACAATGGCACTAGCTTGGCGTCCTTCCGTGAGATACTGTTCGTAACTCTAATCTTGTCCGACTGACAGGTTTGCAAGTATTGATAAGGAGCAGACTAGCTCCCAGAAACTGAATCAGAGTTTCTTTCAAGAATTCATCCTGAAAGAGAAGATCTATATCAAAGTACATATAGAGCGAAGTGAAAATAGGAGTCATAAATACATATGCATTATCAACAATCTGCATGATTATCGATCGCTTGGAACTTGACTGCGCTGGGGTCGTTCCTTGGAGCTGCGCCCAGGGACAACCCACGCTAAGCTAAGACACTCTTGTGGGGAAATTCCAGCGTGGCGGGCGGCGGTTGCCGATCGTATCAGCCAGCGAAGCATCAGCAGCAAGCAGCAGCAATTATGAGGGAGCATTGAACATTGCGGAGAGGACAGACAGCTGAGAGTTTCCTTAGTGCCCACCCCCAGATACTAGGCTCGCTAGGTACACCGACACGTACCTACAGGAAGCATCGATCCAAGGTATTTATTCATTCCATCACATAAGAATAGGGGGCACGTGTCTCGACTTCTCTGCTTTGTTCATTGTAATCTTCCATCTCGTCATTCTGCTTCAAATCATACACTATTACGGAAACCTGACCCTGATTCGAAAAGCACGGGAAAGAGAAAGAGAACACTAACACCACACCTTCTACCTTCCAAGATACAATGACTACACGGTATCGTGTCGAATGTGAGTTTCAACCACCTTGGCTCTTCTTTACATGGCCCCCAAACCCCGAAGCCGGCCGATCTATTTGTTCATCTTTGTGCCTACCTTCTTGCCCTGCGGCGTGCTGATTGGGGAATACAATAGATGCACTCAAAACCCACCGGCGAGATCAATTCATAGGTAAGGAAACTCGATTGCAGTGAGAAACCCCTTGTATCAAGTTCTGGGCCAAACTGCTTTTGATTGGTGTCATGTACGAGAGGGGCCCCCAAACAGAGCAGGAATCACACCTCTCTGGGGAAATGGGTGTGGTGTCGGCTCCGACCAGCAGTGATGGAGAATGAGCAAGTGTCACTCTTGGTTGGCTGGTTGGTCGCATCAAACGCCCATTATTGGTGGGACCCCGCCAACTACCGATGATACCGGGGGCATGATGAGCATCAATCACGAGTACAATCAATGACCGTTCATGTACTGTCGTCCGGTTGGAACAGATATACTTTCAGTGATCTTCTAGCTGAACATGCTCGCTTCGTACCAAGCGACTCAAGTTCGACACATTCTTGACAGTATGCTAACTGGCCCGCAGAATGGATCAAGGGGCTCCTCGCCGTCCCCTTCGTCCTCTACTCGCAGCCGACGGGCGTATTTGAGACCAACAGCGTGAGCTTCACGCAGATGTCCGAGGAGGCACACAGGCGGTATGCCGAGATCATGCGGGACGTCGAGGTCATGCTAGACGACCACATTGAGCACCAAAGGGACAACAGAAGTCTGCCGTCCAAGCTCAAGCTCTTGGTCCCCACGATAGGCGTCTTCTTCACTCGCCTGCCCCTCGAGGCCGCCTTCAAGTATCAGGACCGCAAGCGCTTCATCTCATCGCGGCGATTTGTCTCGCCCTCTTTCAACGATGTTCGCCTCGTCCTCAACTCGGCTCAAATCATGGCCGTCACAACCTATGGCACCCTGCAGCTGGCCACTTTTGATGGTGATGTGACGCTTTACGACGACGGCGAGAGCCTCGTTCCGACCAGTCCCGTGATCCCGAGGATGATTGACCTCATGCGCAAAAACGTCAAGATTGGCATCGTCACCGCCGCCGGTTACACCACAGCCGATCGGTATTATGACCGCCTGCACGGCTTATTAGACGCAATTGCCACCTCGCGGGAACTGACCCCGCAACAGCGCCAAAACATTGTCATCATGGGCGGCGAGGCAAACTACCTTTTCGAATTCCACGCCGAGTCAGAGCACCTGCTGCGGCCGGTTCCGCGGGAGCGCTGGCTCACTGCTGAGATGGCCGCCTGGTCCGACAAGAGCATCGAGGCGCTGCTGGATGTGGCTGAGGCCGCCCTGCGCGACTGCATCAAGACCATGGCTCTCCCTGCCACGCTGATGCGCAAGGACCGCGCTGTTGGCATCATTCCCACTGACCCCTCGATCCGCATCCCGCGTGAGTCTCTCGAGGAGACGGTGCTGGTCGTGCAAAAGATTCTCGAGCTCAGCGTGGGCGGCCGCGACTTTGACAACAAGGTCGTACCCTTTTGCGCCTTCAATGGCGGACGCGATGTCTTTGTCGACATTGGCGACAAGAGCTGGGGTGTCAATGTCTGCCAAAAGTGGTTCGGTGGCGGCGACGATGCGGCGCCCATCCGCGGCGAGAACACTCTTCACGTCGGCGATCAGTTTCTCAGTGCTGGCTCCAACGACTTCAAGGCTCGCAGCGTGGGCACCACAGCCTGGATTGCCAGTCCAGCCGAGACGGTTGAGCTGCTGGATGAGCTGGCTGACTTGATGGGCAAGAAGATTAGTTGAGCATGACGGCATGTTCATTGGTCCTAGAGAGTTCTGGGTTCTGATTATCTTTTCATGGTTTCATCAAAGCCGGCGTTCCCCTTTTGGTAATGTTTTACAGCGGGCGGGTCTTCTAATGATAGCATGCATCCAATGATTTTTGAAGATCAAATCAAGCGAGTTTATAATGATTGTGAAATTAATTGTATTGATGTTAAAGCTGCCTCTCTGTTTGGCAATATGAGACAGAGATTGATCGAGCGGCAAATACCTATTTCGATCCAACATCTCAAAACGCTTCAAAGATTAGAAGAAAAATACTTCAAGAGGCTGCAAGGGTATCTTCCACGAACGAGCGAGCACGACTCCAAGACTAGAGGGGTATAGAAACCGACAAGAGAAAAGCGCGGGAAGAATAGAACAAGAAGGATGAGAAAAGTGAAGCAGAACCGCCAACACCTTGACCCAGCATTACAATTTACCCGCACAAACAAAACCTCTATCACTCAGCCATGCTTCCAAACACAGGCCAGGACGACATTACCGCCATCCTGTCTCAGCCCTTGCCATGCACCCTTGAGCTTGTCCGAGACGGCATTAGCACGACCAGGCGCGCGCATGTCGTCGTACCTTTTCAGCAAGCAAAGAGAGAGCAGAGTGTCAGCTATATACCATCATTTTTGAGAGAAACTGTGCCAAGAAAAGATGAGGGACATGTTGATATATTATAGGGTATCCGTATCTTACTTTTCGGAAAACGGCGCTTGGCCCTCGGCATCGCCATGATGGGACGCCGTGTGGAGAGGAGCCAGAGGCATGGGCGGCGGGCTGAGACGCGTCATGTTGGTCGCGGATCCCGAGCCTGAACCAGTCGACGGGCTTCTGCTGCCGCCGCCATCATGATCCAGGCCGGCGCGGCTCTCAATGTCGTCATCGAGCGTCAGGGTCCGCTGGTCATCGGTCGAGCCCTCCGAGGCCTTGCGCCCGTGCGGACGCGTGGTCGGGGCGTGGATATCGTAGCCGTGAAACGTCAAGGGCGTGGGGCTGTTGTTATTGGTGGTATGGTGAAAGGTGCTCCCCTTTCGCGTCAATGGGCGCTCGTCGTGCGTGGCGGCCGTGCTGTCTTTTTCGAGTTGGCTGCGCTTGCTGCGACTGCTTAGATAGCCCCCAATCTCGGTCACGCTCCAGCCGCCAGAGCTCGTGATGCGCTCGACGTGGTCCTTGGCGCGGCGGATTAGAGGCCCAAGTGCCGGGAGGGAGCCGGCAATGAGAAGCAGACAGGCCTCGGTGATGCCAAAGGTGTTGAGAAAAGGCAGGGGGTCTGAAGAAAAAGAGAATTCATGGTTAGTAAAATGGATTAAAGGAATGCCCAATACAATTCATCTCGAGTCTAGTCGAGGGCAAAGAGAAATAAAAGAGAGAAGTAGATGAAAAACTCACAAGTCGGGTCCTCGTCCGTGTACTTGAAAGACGCACCCATGATGCTCAACTTGTAGCCCTGGATGATACTAGCAAAAACACCGAGACCCAAAGCACCACTGACTGCAAGACGGGTGCGTAGAGGCATGTTGAGGCGCATGATGAACGGAGCCGGGAATATGGCCAAAAACAGGTCGAGAAAGGCAGAGTACGACGAGACAAAGTACTCGATGCCAATCATGGTGCTGTCGGGGAGACAGATGCCCTCAATGGACTTGTCCCAATTCTTTTCCGTCGGGCTGCACTGGATAAACAGGAACACGGACATGGAAAAGATGAGAGCCTGACCGACAAAGGTAAGGCCCCAGAGGAGTACCGAGGTGTGAAGACCTAATTCAAAGAAGTTAGAAAGAAATAGGTAAATACATAGAAACATTATTTGTTCATCAACGCTTAGGATAGATTGAATGGTGATCCTATTTACCATAATTAAGAATCCTCCGTAGCAAAGCCACAATGGCAAGCTTTGGCAGCGAAAACGCCCAAATAATGACGGCATCAATCATGGTGTTCCATTTCATGGCCTCGACCTGGTCGTACCGGCTCAGCGCATCATAGTGCTTGCCGTTGCCGTAGCCCGCCGCCACCTGGATGAATATCTGGGTGAGCAAGAGGACGACCCAGCTGAGTCCGACGAGGGCGTCGTCTAGGCCCAGCGCGCCGAACCAGTTGTTTGGTTTCGCCGTGAAGCGGGCATAGAAACGCAGGGCAATGACGGCTAGTAAAAGAAAAAGGGCAAAGTCGCCCCCCATGAGTTAGTTCGCAGGCATGTTAAGAATAATGGGGGACAAGGAAAACGGCCCCAGAGAGATGGACCTCTTTCTCGGGAGGGTTCCTCTTTCTCGCATGGCCAAGAAAGCTTGGTAAAGAGTTGGCGACTTGGCACAAGGGACCGACAGTCATCAAAAGGGCGACTTGTGTGTGTATTACATACCTGATGTAAGTGAAACCAAGAACCAGCAGACTTTATGCGCCTGGGATCCATATGCTTCGTTATCCCATAGGGCCATGATGTCCCTGAGTTTGCTTTTTTTCTTGGGTACAAATAATTGGAAAAAAGAATATGATTGATCTACAGTCTTTTGAACTTTTGCTTCGATTTACATCTGGAAAAGGGTGCTTTAATCAACGATTTCTAATTGCGGTCCCAGCACTCAAAGAGACCTCGTCGTTTGTAACCTATAGTGACGTCTATTGATCTCGATCTCACATTGCCATGTCTTCATCTTCTTGCCTCCCGACAAGATTGAATACACTGAATCTCCCACAATCTTTGGAGTGAAAGCGCTGCAGGGAGATTTCACATGGATTCATGGCCGTTCGTTATCAGCGTTTCTTGCTCGTGTAGGCTCGCTATCCCATGCGTTTCCCCCATTCCAGAGAGTCTGTGCAGAGCTGCAAGTGGTGTGCCAAGACAAGGGTTGATGCATGGCTTCGGGTATAGCAAAGCAGTGTTTGGCTTGGGATTGCCCAAGAGGTATTTTGCACCTTTATCCTAGAGAATATCTCGTTGCAAATGTCACCAAACTCCCATCTCTGATGGTTCAATAACAGAGCAGAAAGTAAAGAGTCTTAAAAAGTGTGAGCGTTGGGTGCTTTTGGGACGTCATTTTGCAGACGAGTGCCGCAGAGAGGGCTCGAGCGTCGGGGTATATATCTGCTTCGAGAACCTCGAGATGCTGCATCCTTATCTTTGCTGCCTGGGGCCCAATGAAAAGCCATCACGAATAATAATGGGTGTAGAGCCCAGCCTTGTAGAACAAGGCTTGAAGACGGTCTGTTCCAGCCACCATATACCAGTCAATCAGTATTGATATTGAAAAAACTACTGCAAGTGTACGCGTGTTTCCCCTTGCTGGTCTACCCGATCCCGCCAATCTGATGCCCTTCGCCTAAGCTACCTATGTATGCAGATGTTGTAGCGAGACGCGCTATACCCCTCGTCTGTGAAATAGGATCACTCTGCAGTCCCACGTGGGATGATTTCACAATGTGTGCAATGTCTGATTAGTCGAGTGGGCACTGCACGGACAAGACGTGCTGCGATAGCACACATGTAAGCATGCATTCATCTAAGCTAAGGTATATCGCATCAGTAACATGGCAACCTACTTAGATGAGATAAACCTAGGCTGGACATCTTTACTGTGGCAGAGACAGTAAGATCACTCTAATCGACTATAACAGGGGTTTACACCCAGTAATTTGTTCGTTCCCAAGTGCCATAACCCCTCCAGGATACCCCTGGGCCTGCACAATTCCAGATTCGAGTCTCAAATTGTCCGGAATGTGGGTAGATATTGAACTCGGAAATCTCGGGAAATCCATCGAGTCGGTTCAGATGTTTCGTGTGTCAACAGCAGCGAGATACTTGACTTGTTTCCCCGGAGCAAAGAATCCGTTTCTTATGAACGATGACCTCACATAGAAACATACCTGGTACAAGGTAGATAGGTGATAAAGGTCCTATTTCCAAACCCTCTCTGATGGCTGGACCATGCAAGGCAATCTCGGTTAAAACAAGTCGGTAAATCATCATTCAGTCCAATTGGTTTATAGAATCAAAGCGTTCATTCAGAATTGGGTATGTCAGCCTGGGCAAGCTACAGGCGCCCAATTGTGACTCAGGAGGAGCAGTTCGACGCCTTAATCGTTTATGTTTTCCTCCGAACTTGATGGAGCGAGTTCGTTGATAATAACAATATATTGCCGAGGAACACGCATGTTGGGCGGCGCATATAGATAGACATGCATAGGCTAGTCTCCAAGCCATCACAACTAATATCGCCTGGTAAGGCTGTGTATGGATGTAATCATGCCGATCATGTCCCAGGAGCTCATAAAGATGCCGTGTCTATTGCCGACGCCGAGCATTCAGCTGCTCGATCTCGATCAGCCCATGTTCTCGTAGCGCTGCCTAGCCTTATCCTTGGCCTTGGCCACAAAATCCGCATAGTCATTCTTTGTAGCACGAGCAGCTTCTTCAGCGGCGTCGCCAATCTTGCCACCCTCAGCACCCAGGCCGACGCCGGGAGTGTATGCCATTGTCTCGATGATGTTCGTTCGTCCATCGCCTTCAGCGCCAAGTCCTGAGCCTGTGTTCCAGCCCATCTTTGCCAGTAAACCTGCACCTTTCGAGAGTGCAGGCTTGCTGGTAGTTGCCTCTTTGGACTCGGTTTCTTTGGGCACATGGTTATGCTTACGCGCTTGTGGATGTTTCGGCTTGTTGGGTTGATTATGCGCCATCCGACGTTCCTTGGCTCGGTCTCTATAACTTGAGATGGGCTCTTTGCCGACAGCCTTGAGATCCTCTGTAGCTTTCTGAATCAGTGATTCATCCTCCAAATTCTTCTTGTGCAAGTCACTATGCTGTTCGTGGCGTCGGAGGGATGGCTCGCTGACAAATTTTCGTCTGCAAAGAAGACAGCACATCCGATCAATATCGGCGTAGGAGACCGTCATGGTTGGCGTAGCCGAGGTTGATGGCATTGTGATATGACCTCCGAGGCTGTTGGAGCCAGTGGCGGGAGTTTTTCCATCGTCGGCGTCAGTCTTATCCGCCGACTCTCGAGGTCGTCCTCCATATAGCTCTGCATGTTTGTTCGCCCACTTGGCTAGCTGTGGTGCCATGGCCACTGCTCTCTTGCCGCCAGGAGCCGCCAGTTCCTTGTCCGCTTTTCTCTTCTTCGAATCTTTGCCAGCAGTATTTGGCTCGGTGGCAGACCTCTGGCTTGGTTTCTCCTCATACAAATCCTCGTTGAAAACCGTGGACTCGCTTGCGTAGACGGTGGGATTCCAGTAGCTCAGTCGCAAAGACGGATTGTGGCTGGCCGAGAAGCTGAATTTCGTATCTTGTTCCGTGATGACGGGTTTCAAAAATGGTATGAAGACGCCCGAATGTATGTATGCTACCGTGACTGGCTTTGACCCAATGGTGAACTGAGGAGAGGCATTGAACTTGGCCATGGCGGCACGGGCGTCGTCAATATGAGCAAATTCAGCAAAGCCGTATCTGCACGTAGCATCTGTATACCGGTCGCGTATCAGGAAGACTCTGGAGAGCGAACCAGGTTTGGCACCGAGGCCGGAAGTGTTACCGACGGGAGCAGTACTCTTGAGCTTCACAGGGGCACCTGCCGGCTGCTTTGGCTCCTCCTCCTTGTCCACATAAAGCTTCTTGATGCCATTTGCAAAGACAGTCTCGCTGATGGAAGGAGGAAGATTGCGGACGACCAGAAACTGGGATGCAGTCTGCTGCGGACATTCGTCACTATTGCCGTCTAGTTGCATTTCTGCGGCGTCCTCGGCTGCATTGCATTTATTAGAATGAACATTTCATACGTTGTTTTTTTTGCTGTGGCTCATTTGACTTACAAGGCCGGGGGGCTTTGCACTGCTTGCAGGTTGCCCTTCTTGAAAAGTTTTCGAAATGGCACTGCTCGTTTAGTAACTCCAGCTACAAATGGAGCACTGGACATTTCCTCACCATTGTACATTGCCAGTCATCAACTTTGGGGGCTTGTCGGCGCTCTCTGCTGTATGCTATCGGAGCCCGAATACGTGCCCCATCGGCACATGTAAGTTCGACGGCCGGATAGTGTTGTTCAAGGAATGCGACAGAAGCGTCCTCGGAGTTGAACTCGGCAAAAGCATAACATCGGCGATCGTTGCTTCTATCGTCGGCCTTGACGCGCAAATCAGTTAGGCCTTTGGCGCCGGCATCGTGCAAAGCGTCTTCGATCTGAATTCGTAACTTGTGAGTTTGGATTCGTTGTAGGAATCATGTGTACTCCATACCTCTTGCGTGCTCATGTAGTCTGGAATGTCGTCTAGTTTTACGGTGTGATACGGCCGACCCGGGCCCGATCGATATCCCCCGTCATTGTAGTAGCCATCATCGGGTGAGCGACTGCGGGAATGGTCCCTTGGGCTGTAGCGACCGTGATCTCTCTGGTCATAACGTGCTCTATAACTGCGCTCTCGGCCACGATCGGGAGAGCGTGCCTCGCGCCCATAGCTAGGAGAACCTTGTCGAGCATATCTGCCATTTCCGTGTCCAGAGTCATATTTGGACTGTTCTCGATCGCGGTCAGACCAACCCCCGGTATTTCTGTCGCTGTATCCCGAGTGTGTGTAGCCTTGACGATCGGCACGATAGGAATCCTCTCCACGGCTCCTTCTTGGCGATCTAGAAGAGTCTTACGCCAGAGGAAAGTCAGCTTAAGCTCATGACTAATCTCTACAAGTGATACTCCAGGCATTTCAAGTTTTACCATGCCGCGAGCGATATTGGTTGTCCCGTGAGCCTGGGGATCGTCGTTGGAAGCGATCGCGCTCGTCTCGATCATGCGCCCGGTGGTCGCGTTCGTCGTACATTGTGGTGATTGTCTGGCACGGCGCTCATCGGCAAGAGCTGTGGTTCTTTCCGATCGTTTGGAATTTCTTGGCGCGTTGAAATATTGGGTCGGAATCGTGCGTATTCCGGTTGAAGAACGGCCAGGGAGAAGAATGAAAAGAGAGGTAAGCAGAATGAAGAAGTGTAACTTTCTCCGTCTTGTCCTTGAAGCTGTCTCTGGCAATCAATGGTAGCTGAAGTGGGTCTACCTAGCTTAGTCATTTAGCGTATGCCGGTTCCTTCCAATTACCAGGAAGCAAAGCAAAGCCGCAGCCTTTAACTTTTCTATATCATTGGGGTTTTGTTTGATTTGATCAAAAACATCTGTCATATATCCAAGGAGAAAGTCTTCTCTTGATCAGAATTATTTCACATATACACTTTATATATCAAGTATCTTTCTCAGCGACATTTCAAATTTTTTTGGCCTAGACTTGTGACTTGTCACTATGGAAACTGGAGCTCTTGAACTACAAGAAGGCGAGTGTTACGTCGGGCTCACCCATGACCTTCTAAACGTGCAGAATGTCATGGACCGAGTACGGAGCCCACAAGCTGGGGCTATTGTCATCTTTGCAGGTACGAACTTCACCATGACCTGATTCTTACCTTGTTGACCCAGGATCAGGCACAACTCGGGACAACTTTGGGGGGAAGCCGGTAAAAGAACTCCAATACTCGGCGTATAGTGCTCTGGCACTCCGGACCATGTTGTCGCTCTGCCAAAACATATGCACAAAGCACGGACTCAAAGGCATTGCCATGGTACACCGGCTTGGGACTGTTCCGATTGGCGAGGAAAGCATATTGATTGCCGTCTCTTCTCCTCACAGGCAAGCCGCCTGGAGAGCTGGCGAAGAAGCTCTCGAGGAGTGCAAGGCTCGCGTCGAAGTCTGGAAGAGAGAAGAATTCGAGGGCGAGGAAGGCGTCTGGAGGGCAAACAGAGACGGTACCCAGGGTGTAAAGATACCTGCTTCTGAGCCGACTATTCCGGACAGCGAAAAGCCTTAGAACAGGAATCCCTCGAAACCCAACTTCTATATCGGCAATTCTCCCGTGCTGCCAGTCATAAAACCTCCGAATTTCGTAAGATTGACGTCTGATTGTGATGAACCAAAGACAAGCTCGGGAGTTACCATTGCTCTCTGGGCAATAGCATCATCAGTCTCAGCACTTCAGCCTACTTCAGAAATTATACTCGTGGCCATCGTGAGTTGTACGGCTGAACGGACGTCTCCAGCTTATTTTTGTCATGCTAGATTTGATTGATGGCCGAGAAGGCACGTCAAACTTCTGCGTTATAACTGGGGTTGATAATATGCAATTTTGGCCCCGCGCGTTGTTTTTTTTCATTGACGAATCGTGCAGGAGTCTTGATCCTTTTGCATCAGCTACTTGCCCCTATACTATACACAGTAATGAGATATCAGTCTCGAATTCATTCAACTTGGATCAGAAAGGAAGAAAGACATCAAAAGCCACAACAGCGGCTCTCCGACGTCGGCCGTTACCTTGAGCCAGCACTGCTGAAATGATGATACCCTTACAGAGAAAAGGCATACAACAATACACTCCCATCTAGGGATCAAATACCGATAAGAAACGAAAGATATGCGTGCAGTTCGCCATGGAGCACTGCTCGAGGATCGCTTGTAGGTGTGGCTGAACCCTGTCGTCGCATCATTCTCACCCCACCAACAGAACTAGAACATCAGGATGGCGAATCCCATTTAGGCAGGTCCCGCACTTTAATGGCTGCGCAGCTCGTGGATTGCAACCGATAATACGGAAGTCGTGAGGGCCATGCATGGACACTCCCTCGCTATTGTATGTGTGTGTCCTTTGCAGAGACCAATAGTCGGCTCTTATTTCAGGGGAGAGCCGAGCACGCGGCTGGCATGCCACACACCATTTACCCTACCGTATGAATGGCCTACAGATACCATGCTCCAGCGACCTGTGCCTTTCGTTCCGGACATCCATGGCGACGTCCTCTTCTCACGAACGATGCTTCTATTCTGACTTTGCGTCCTTTGCCGGGGCTTGGTAACGCCTTGATGCGTTTTGTTGCCATCCAACTATTGTCGCTCGCTGCAAGTCCGTCAAAATGGTCTTCAATATACGCAGGCGCGCCGACCAAGGGGAGATCACTCCCTACATTGTCGCCTATGATGCCGAAACGACCGGGATCGAGACCCTCAACACCCTGAAATACTGGGAGCAGCATCACAAGCTCGACCCGAATCTCCCGCTCGAGGATCTCAACGAAATAGATGGCGTTCTGGCAGAGGGCAACTGCGAGAAGGGTGTTGAGGTGGAGGCGGCTTTGATGGAAGACAATAGCCCATACCCCGAAGTCCGCGCAACGGTCAGGAACTTTGATGTCGATGTACCCGCCAACACCATTCGCGCCTGGGTAATTGGCCTCTTGCTGTGCACGTTTGGTTCGGCCATCAATATGTTATTCAGTTTAAGAAATCCAAACGTCGTGATTACCACGTGGGTCATTCAGTTGATCGCGTATCCGATAGGCCTAGGGTGGGACTTGATATTCCCTGACCACGAGTTCAAAGTTTTCGGATGCAGATTCAACCTGAGACCGGGAAAGTTCAACTTCAAAGAGCACGTCATTATCGTGTGCATGTCCAATGCGGCTTATGGAGGCGGAACGCTTTATGCGACCGACGCCTTGCTTGCGCAGCAAATTTATTATGGGCAAAACTTTGGCTGGGCCTTTCAACTATTATTTGGCATCACGACCCTTTGTACTGGTTATGGCCTAGCTGGTCTCGCCCGTCGCTTCCTTGTCTGGCCTGCGGCAATGATATGGCCGGCAGACCTCGTCAACGCCTCCCTCTTCTACACCCTTCACGACCACTCGCCGTCGGACCCGGAGAGGACAAATGGCTGGAGCATCGGACGATACAAATACTTTCTCATCGTCATGACTTGCTCCTTTGTGTGGTACTGGTTTCCGGGTTGGATCTTTCAAGGTTTATCGTACTTCACATTTATCTGCTGGGCTGCGCCAAACAATGTCGTGGTCAACAAGATCTTTGGTGGCCTCGAAGGCTACGGATTGTTACCGATTACTCTCGACTGGACAGTCTTGGCAGGCTATGTCGGATCACCTCTGATTCCGCCGTTCCATGCCTTGGCCAATACAATCGCCGGGGTGCTCGTCTTTTTCGTGTGCGTGTCCATGGGCATCCATTTCTCTGGTTTTTGGTATGCCGACTACTTTCCAGTCCAGTCCTCCAATGCCTTTGACAATACAGGAGCCGTCTACGACGTGACACGCATATTGAACCAAGACATGATGTTTGACGAGGAAAAGTACGAAGCCTACTCTCCCCTCTATCTCAGCACGCAGTTCGCCATCTGCTACGGACTGGCCTTTGCAGCGGTCGGTGCGATCATCGTGCATGTTGCCCTCTACCATGGCAGGGAGATCAAGGAACAGTTCAAACTTGCACGTCATCAAGAGGACGATGTGCATATGCGCCTTATGAAGAAGGTTTGTCGGCACTTTGCTTTTCATAATTGGATCCCCAAGCCTCTGGAATGGACTAGGCTAATATTGTACAGTATCGAGATGCGGAAGATTGGTGGTATGCGGCCCTGTTTGTCATCATGATCGCGCTCTCCTTTGTAGTCTGTTGCGCTTGGCCAACCGGATTTCCCTGGTGGGCCTACATTGTCTGTATGATCATTCCCATTATCTGGACGATACCTATCGGCATTATACAGGCAATCACAAACATCCAGCTTGGCCTCAATGTGTTGACCGAATACGTCGTCGGCTACATGTTGCCCGGCCGCCCCGTGGCCATGATGATGTTCAAGAACTATGGGTATTTGGCAATGTCACAGGCGCTGTATTTCGCACAGGACCTCAAGCTGGGACACTATATGAAGGTGCCCCCGCGGGTCATGTTCTTTTCGCAGCTGATAGCCTCCATATGGTCTGCTATTGTGCAGATTGCCGTCATGAACTGGGCTCTGGGCAGCATATCCGACGTCTGCAGCGACGACCAGCCAAACTCTTACACGTGCCCCGGCGGCAAGGTCTACTTTACGGCGTCCATCATATGGGGAGCCATTGGCCCTGCACGCATGTTTAGCCGCGGCGCGCTCTATTCGAGCCTGCAGTGGTTCTGGCTGGTCGGCGTCATTGCGCCCATCATTACCTGGTTCTTTGCCCGGCGCAACCCCAAGGGCATCTTCCGCTACGTCAACATGCCGCTCTTCTTTGGCGGGTCGGGTCTGATTCCGCCCGCGACAAACTACATATACCTCTGCTGGGGCGTGTGCGGCCTCGTCTTTAATTATTTCATCAAGCGCAGATGGACGGGCTGGTGGATGCAGTACAACTATATTACAAGTGCAGCACTGGACTGTGGGCTCATTGTTGCCACCATAGTCATTTTCTTTACTCTCTATTTGACGGAGGCGACACCACCGTTATGGTATGGCAACACGGCAGTGTACGAGACCTTGGATCAGACGGGCATGGCGATTAAAACGTTTGTAGCTCCGGGGCAGAAGATTGGGCCGTCCACTTGGCCGTAAGGCAGTTCAGCAGTGCCACGCGAATGAACAGGAGGGTTAAAAGCAGGTATGCAAATTATAGAATGGTCAATAAAGGTTGTACAACGAGAGCTTTGCAAATAGTGAAGGTAGCCAGGTTAGCAGCTGGGGCGTGACCAGGCGCAAAGCCCGCCATTTTCGAGGTAGAAAATAATGAGCCAAACATCTCAAACCGGACCTTCCGTTTGCGCACACCGATCATGAAGCCCAATTGCAAGGAATGGGAATTGAGCTTGGTGTGCATCCTTCAGAGCTATTGTGGCTGAGTGAGCCAGCAGGATGAAGCTTGTATGGAGTAACACGGGGATACTGCGGCTGAACCGAAGTTACCATCTCTCGAGGCTGTGCCGTCTGCACGGAGGAAACAGAATTCACAGCTCGCAAAGATCTGTGTGCTTGATCGCCGATTTAGATGCACAAAAAGCCAGGTGACGGCTGTCGTGCTTGGTGAGAGCCTCACCCGGCTCTTTGCAGGCTCTTTGAATGACAAGCTGGCTGTTGGGCTTTATCAGGTGTGTCGTGCTACTATGTACATGATCGCTGGTGGGATCGAGAAGGCACACTTCCTTACAACTACGTACCCATGCAGATTAGCGGGTAGAAGGGTTTTCAGTAGTAATGGAGGGATTCGGAAAATACCCTCAAATACCTTGTATTCCAAGCTGGGATCCGCTTCTAGGCTCTTTCTTGACCGGGACCACTGAATCAAAGTCATGATTCTCGCAAAGACCGCAAGATGCATACCATGTGTCCAGCAGACACAGCACATAGTGATTTGAGAAGCCTTGTTGCCTGGCTTCTTGGTAACAACCACCACAGAGTGAGTAATGTGAGGCCATCACCTGTAAGTGACCATATCGAGCAAATTTATGACGACAGAGCTGCAAGCCCAGAGTGCGTGCTCTCCAACTGGATTTTTTCGGCGGCCTGTCAAAAAGCTGCTAAAGAGCTTCTGGAACCCCTGAAGCTCCGGTTGGTTCAGGCAGTCTAGTGCCAAAGTGCCACTGAGTGCCCAGCGGTGCATCACTCCCCCCTGTCGACAATCGGCGGTGGCAACAACCTTAAGCGCAAAAGACTATCAGAACTAATGGGTAGTGCGGCCACTAATTGCCCTAAATGGACGGCGCTGACAGGGGGACCCGCAAGCGCCCGCTTCTGGACAAAATGGGAGCTCGAGTTTGTCCAATGCTGGCCAACGGCGCCGAATGATCTGATGAACAGAGCCTTCAGTACCCTGTTGGCAGGCAATTTGCTGGGAGTAGCAGCTGCCTAGAGCCTGGAGAGATCCAGTAAATCCTGAAAGCCAAGACCGACGGATAATGAAGCCGCTCCAACTTTGCCCAGATCTTGGCATGCTTCTTTATTAAGATCGTTGTTACATCAGCTGCTCAACGCGCGCGCTGCCTAACAACATAATATTGAGCTGCTGCTGCTGCTGTGCCTCTTAACAAATTAGAACATGTCATGATCTAGTTCATTTCCTGCTCTTCGCTTGATTTTATTTCTCTCTTCGACAAAGGTATGAGTCAGTCCGGACTCTTGCAAATACGAACTCGGCGCCCAGATAAATAGCCAGGTGGTGACAGTATCTTCTTTATACTCTCAACCATTTCAATTGGCGTTTCTTTCCGGATCCCGTACTGTAGCTCTTTTGCTGTTTGCTTCCCTGTCGTTACCCCAAAAGACAGTATCGCTCGTCGACGTAATCGCGGGGTGGGAATCTCTTCAACAACGGGCTTTTTAAAACACCCGGACACAGCATGAGGACATCATCAGCTCTGGCCGCCACGGCCGCGGTTTGCGCCGCGGGCTTAACGACGGCGCAGAGAGTGGTACCGGTCGGCATCAAGCGTTCGGAACACAGATTGCCAGTGCCGCCTACTCTCAACAAGCGTAACACGTACACGCAAAGCCTGAACAACAACATTACGGGCGCCGGCTACTATGCCGCTGTCGCCGTCGGCACGCCGCCGCAGAACCTTTCCCTCGTCCTTGACACGGGCAGCAGCGATATCTGGCTCTTGTCGACAGATGCGGATCTGTGCGAAGACACCTACGATCAGCGAATTTACGGGTACTGCCTCCCAACATGTACGTCTTTTTCTCTCTCTTTGTTCAGGTTATGCGGAAACGCCTCTATATTGCTGGCCCTCATGCTATACTCTTGTTTTAAGCTTTTGGCGGAGCAAGTCAAAAGTCTCAAACTATGGCAAACATGTGGGGCGACTCAGGAAAAGCAAATGGGATGATGGCTCAAGACGAAACATTTAGTCATTGTATAGATACTAACCTCTTTTTCAACCCACAGATGAGCCCGATGATAGCTCGACCTATAAACTAGTTGACAGGAATGGTTTCGACATCAGCTATGTCGACGGCACGGGCGCCCAGGGCGACTACATCAAGGACGACTTTTACGTCGGCGGAGCCAGCATTAATCAACTTCAAATGGGTCTGGCGACAGAGTCCACCATCCCAGTCGGCATCATGGGCGTTGGCTTTGCGGCCAACGAGGCTGTATACGAAGAGGATCGCTATCCCAACATTATGGATGTTTTCATCAGCCAAGACCTCATTGGTTCAAGGGCGTACAGTCTCTACCTGAACGACTACGGATCAAGCACTGGATCCATTCTCTTTGGAGGCATCGACACGGAAAAGTTCATTGGCGAGTTGACTTCCATTGACCTTGTCACGGAGCAGGGCTACGACGAGATCTATTCTTTTACAGTCCCTCTCAATGCCTTGTCCATGAGCATCAATGGGGCTCAGAATGACAGTATCGCCCTGAGCGACCCAGTCCCCGTCATCCTGGACTCTGGCACAACCCTGACATATGTTCCATCGACAGTCGTCTCCGACATCTACTCAGCCGTCGGCGCCAAGTACGCCAGCAACTACGGCATCTCGTACATTGACTGCAAGTACATGACTTCGGACCTTGAATTCGGGTTCCAGTTTGGCGGCTCCGACGGTCCTACCATTGTCGTCCCTGCCGACGAGGTCGTCTTTGACACGGTCGACACCCTCGAGGAAGCCGGCTACGACACCCCCCGCGGACTTGGCTTCGACAGCGACGACGCCTGCCTCTTTGGCATTCTGCCCAACGACGAATACTACCTGCTCGGCGACACCTTTTTGCGCAGCGCCTACGTCCTCTACGACTTGGACAATTACCGCATCGCCATTGCCCAGGCCAACCTCAACAGCACCACCAGCAACGTGATCGAAATCACAAACAGCTCCACCTCGCTGCCTGACGTTACCGGCGTCGCCAGCCAGGTCCAGGTCACCCAGACCGCCACCGGACTCCCGGGCGTCGGGGGAGGCGGACTGCCCACCGTGACCGTCACGGGCACCGCGTCTGCGAGCACCAGCGGCAGTGCCGGTGCTCGCGCTGTGCCTGCCCCCGACTGGATGGCGGCGGTCATCGCCGCAGTGACGGGACTCGGTGTGCTGGCAGGAGGCATGATTTTTGCCTTGTAATGAAAACTGCTTTAATGGGAAGAGTGCATAGCCTGTGATGTGGTAGAACCTTGGTATTCACTTAATGAATGGCATCATACAAACACGGATAGCGAGCAAGCAAGTAATAATGTTCAATATACCCATTTTTCATCTGACAAATTTCCAGTCTTTCATCTCATGCACTGTGTACTGTCACGTTATCGATCAAATAATGAGGAATACAATTTCACCAGAAAGAAAAAAAGAGCAATCAAAAGACCTTTTGTGATCAAAGATCTATTGATCTACGTATACTCCATACTCTATAGTAAACAACAATTCTCTAAAGCAAAACTTTTCTCTCTCATTTCTTGAGTGAGAATTTCTCCCTCACTCAAAAAACGAGGAGAGAACTCCTCTCGGCCGCCAGAGCGGCAAGGCCGGCGACGCTCTTCTCGCCCTCAATCTCCAGGACGGAGATGCTGGCGCCACACTCCTGCAGCAGCCAGGTACGGATCACGGGCCGCATAAAAGAGTCCACGCCGTAGTCGGCGGGACTCTTGCCCGTGTCCACCTCCTCTGCGCCAATCGCCATGATGGCGGCGATTTTGGCGCAGAGGCCGTCCTGGATGACCTGGCGGGCATCCGCGCTGCTCTTGGCCTTGGCGAGCAGCAGCCGCGTCGCCGTCGTCGGCTCTTGCGTGGCCGACGCGGCCGCTTCCTCGGCAGCAGGTACGCCCAACTTGTTGAGGTGGGAAAACAGCGCCGTACGTGACCAGTAGGGGTCAGTAGGCCTGTTCTGGCGGATGTGACCACCCGTTCCAGCGCCGACAACGATCTGGGATGGCAGAGGATCGTTGACTGCCGCAAAGCCAATGATGGCCCGCTCCATTATGCGCAAGAAGTAATGGAGACGGATGCCCAAGAAACCGCTGGCCTTGAGCATGTCGAGCATGTGCTGATCCTCTGCCACCATGCCCGCACCGAGAATCGGGCCCAGGTCGAGGGAGACGGAGCGCATGTGGCCATGGGCGGTGATGTGCTTGGCGAGTGCGTCTTGGAATGCGTTACCTGCGGCGTAGTTGGACTGGCAACGATTACCAATAATGCCAGAAATGCTAGACAGAAATATCATAAAGTCCATGGTTTGAGGGAAAAGTTTGTACAAGTTCCACGAGCCAATTGTCTTGGGTCTGATTGCTGCTTGCCAATTCTCGTACGTCATCTTTTCAAAGGGAGCGTCGCGAAGAACGGCTGCACATTGAAACAGTCCTCGGACAGGTGGCATGGTAGTCTTGATACTGTCTACTGCGTGTTTCAAGCTCTCTTCGTCACAAATGTCTGCCTTGAACACTTGGACGGTGACGCCTCGATCCTTGAGGTATGAGACGGAATCACTCAAGTACTTGCTGGCCACTCCAGATCGGGAAAGCAGAGCAATGTACTTGGCTCCGTTCAATGCCAGCATCTCCGCAATGACTCGCCCGAGACCGCCGACTCCAGCAATCACATAAGTGACGTCCGATTGGAGATGATACTTCAGATGCTGATCAGCCCTAGCCACGACCGGAAGAATCTTGCCTGTTGTTCTGGTGTGCATGCAGAAGTCGTGTCCAGTGTGCTCGTCGCTCATCATATCCTTGAAGGCGCGCGATAGATCAGTAGAATGGTGTAGGTGGCACTCATGCAAGTGGTGACCATCAGTGAGCTGCTTCCTGAAACTCTCTCCTAGTTGCTGAGGCGCATTCTCGATCAAGCTGGCAATGTTGACAAAACTCGTGTTGAAGGTCTTGTTATCCAACAGAGGCAATGAGCCTGTAGTCATTGCGTTTCTTGCAATACAGATTATGTGGCCACCTACGAGTATTATTAGCATGTCCATCAAGGCACAAGAAATCGAATGAGGAAGATGAGACCTACAATTGGCGACGCATTGCATGTTTAAATCAGCATGACTGGCTGTGGGATCGAAAATGACGTTGACTCCGACGCCAGCAGTCAGACTCGTGATGCATGCCATTAAGTCATCGCGTTTTTCCTCAAGAATCATGGCGTTGTGGGGGCCGATTTGAGTCATGAGGAATGCGCGTTGCGTACGACCAGCGACAATCACAAAGATCCTGGCTCCAATTTGTGATGCCAGTTTGAACGCTTCCAGTCCAAAGGAGCTGGTACCAGCATGGATCAGGATGGACATTCTGTCATTGAGTTGAGCCAAGGAACGAAGGGTGTAATCGGCAACTGCCAAAGAAGTTGGGAGAACAACGAGAAGAGGGTCAATTCCAACGCGTACGACGAGAGATTGATGACATCTGACCTGGCTTCGTAGCGATCCTCGTGCAATGCCAACGACTGTTTGCCCCACCGCCAGGTTCTGCACTTGTGCTCCAACAGCCTTGATGATACCAAAGACGTCTGTTCCGAGATTGTCTAGTCGAGATCTGGCCACGATGCTATCGACATCGAGCAAGGTCAAACCTGCCGACACAACTTTGATGGCGACACTGTTGTCGTCCAATTGCTGCGTTGCACTTTCGTCGTCAATCCAGTACAGAGTCTTCAGGTTGCCATTTCCGCGGACTTGAAGCTTCAAAGGGCGATTTTCATGTGGCATTAATGACTCTAGTGTCGGCTCTAGATGCTCAGCAGTGCTTTCCGTCATCATGGAGTTCAGTGATGCCAGAGGGACCAGTCGAGGTACCGTCAGCTCGCCATTCTTTTCGGCGTAGTCAGTCTCGGCAGATTCAGATCTATTGGGTTCATAGAAGGAAGTCTTCGCCAGACCTGTAATCAACGACACAGTCTGTTCGGCATTGAGGTTGGTCCCAATGTCTAGATCCAGGGTGACCAAATTCTTTGTCGGATCTTCTGATCGAATCGATCGGGCCAATGCTTGGAATAAGCTCGACTTTGGGTTTGTAGGGTTGCTCGTAGTTCCCTGTGTAAGCCATAGCACTCCTCGTGTCAACGTGATCAGTGTGTGGAAAGCAGTAAACTCGTCCTTGGACCAGTCCCAGATGAAATGCTGGCTCCTGGGTGCTTCCAACAGAGAGATGGAAAACTCGGGGCAGTACTTATTCTTGTCAATTTGACTCAGAGTGATTGACTTGCAGTCAAGAGTTTGACAAAGCTCCACAGCGAGTCTGGCCAGATTGGCGTCCATAACCTCAGGAACGAGCACAAAAATGCTTTCATTCTCCTCGTGCTTGATCGGAATTTCGCACTTGCTGGCGGCATGATCATGTAGCGGCTCCCATTTGATTTCGGAACAGAGGTTCTGGTGATTGGGGATGAAACCGGCAGCTGCCGAGTTCGACTTGGAATCTGGTCCTAGAGCGACAAGCTCCATGTCTTGCACAACAATCAAAGCACCGCCGAAAGACTCTGATGGGCAAGCCTTCCAACGATCATCTGATGCGACGATTGACACACTGGCTTTCTGAGCATCTTGGCTCATGGCCTTGGCAAATCCAATAAGCTCTTGTCCTGCTGCGCAAGGAAGGTTACTACTCAGGGAAATGTAGATGCTTCCAATGTAAGACGGGACCATTGCCTCGGATCTCAGACTAAAGGCAGTCTGGAAAATGCTGTCAAGCGTGGCCGGATGCAGCGTATGCGGTAACTCGAACTTTGCTGGCATACTGGACCTTGTATCCGGGATTCGAATCTCAAAGACGCACTCCTTGTCATTTCTGTCCAAACTGGCGATATTCTGGAACAAGGGGCCATATTCCATGCCAATGACATGTAGTGACTCGTAAAGGTGTTGTGGAACCACCCACTCGTTGCAATTCTTGCGCGTCTTGTGATATTCTTGCAATGTCGGCATCAATTGCTTCTTGTCCTTGCGATCCGGTAACAAGTTGGGACCTGGACCTCCGCGCCAGTGGTACAAAGATACGGTGCCATGACTGTGTAGCTGCATGTCTCTGTCTTGAAGTAACGAGAGAATACTGAAATTGTACTTTGTTTGCTCGCCGTCAATCAGACTGCCCTTGTATCCATGATGAATGGTCATTTGTAGAATGTATTCCAACTCGCCGGCGCTCTCGGGGATCAGCATTGGCTTCACGAATTTGAAGTCGGATATCTCGATGCCTTCAAGGGGATCATCCTCGTAGATCTGTTTGACCGCTTCAAGGACCATGACAATCATTCCTGAAGCCGGGTAGATTGTTGTGTTCTGTACCCGGTGTTGTCGTATCCATGGGCTTTCATTCAAGCGCAGGAAACCGCGCCATGCTGGCATAAACGTCTTGTCTTCTGTGATGCGACGACCTATCAGGTCGCGTCTTCCAGAACTTGCGAGTCGGTTTTCCTTTGACGAAGCCGACTCATGCCAGTACGTAATACTATGATTCCAGCTGTAATTAGGAAGGTCGACAACAAGAGATGGCAGTTCCGATCCAACGTTGGGTGTGATTACCCAGTGCATATTGACGGGGCAGTGGTGAGTCCAGAGTTGACCGAGAGTCTTGATGGCAGTGATTGCTGGATCTTGATTGCGATCAGTCATGGAGTAGCGAGCCAGCGGTTGGCGGCGAAACGTCTCTTCGGCTTTGAAAATCTCCGTGACATGACTCCAAAGCCTGGGCTGAGGACTAATCTCGAGCACAACATCTGGTCTCGGGTGGTCGTCGCCAGATAGCATGGCTTGTGCGGCGCCAAAGAACTGGACTGGCGACTTCAGATTGTTTACCCAATACTCCGGGGTTAGCTCATTCCATTGAACCGGACGATTCAGGGCCGATGAGAACATGGTAGTCGACTCTCGGTTCGAACTCCCGGATGCCTTGACCTCATCTACGTTGTCGAGGTAGTCCGGGGACATGGAGCCGGGGTGAGGCAGAACGGTGCGGTGAAAATTTCCCGGGCGCAGGTGGGCAATGGACTGGGTGTACTCTTCAGCGCATCCCCATACATGGTGCGAATGGTATGCGACATGAACGTCGAGAAGACGAGTCATTGCCCCAGCCTCATCGAGCATTTCCTTGGCCTCCAAGATGGCGTCGGCGTCACCGGATAGTGTGACAGACTTGGGACTGTTGATACAAGCGATCGTGACTCGGCGACGTCCAAGTCGGCCAACATATCTACCAGCATCTGCTTCTGACAAGCCGACAACCATCATGCGACCTGGTCTGGCTCTCTTTTCATCGGCAAGTTGAATAAGGGATGCGGCGCAAACACCTCTGTGATAAGCCAACTCCCAAGCCGTCTCGCGCGTAATGTAACCGCACGCATAAGCTGCCGCAATCTCTCCAGAAGAGTGGCCGACGACAGACTCGGGGACGACGCCGCAATACTTGATCAAGAGATCCACAAGTGCAACCTGAAGTGCTGTCGTAGCTGGCTGGGCGATTGCAGGCGTATCGATTCGAGAATTCTCCTCGTTTAGCAACAACTCCTCGACGAGATTGAATTTGCTGCCCAGCTTCTCCCTCATGAACTTGGACGCAGCAGCAATGGATTGGGCGTACATGTCGTAGCCCATGAGCTCCCGAGCCATGCAGTGCGACTGCGATCCTTGACCACCAAAAACGAATGCGACCTTGGAGGCTTTGCGACCGACGGGAGGCGGTATCAGTTTGGCCTTGATGGCAGTAGCCAGTTGTACCTTGAATTCATCCATCGATGCGGCCGTAAAGGATATCCTCCAGTCCATCGGCGTTCTGCAGAGACCGAAAGTGTAGGCGAGATTCTGGAGATACTGGGTGTCGGTGGGGCATTCGGGTTTCTGGACATACTCCAACAGTCGAGCAAGATTGGATCGGAGTGAGTCTTCTTGATGGGCTGAGAAAATAAAGAGATGCGAAGGTTTGTCTTGGCTTGGGAAGTAGCCAGCTGTAGCCGTAGAAGCAAGCTCTTGCCGGACAGCCGCAAGGCCCTCGGCCTTGAGCTTGCGCAGATGTTGAAGACTCATTGTCGGATCTTGAGGACCATTCGTCAAGGTTGTGTTGTTCTTGGCACGCAGGCCGCGTTCTGATAGATAGTGCGCCGCGTCGTCAATGACAATGTGGTAATTGCTACCGCCGAACCCAAACGAGTTGACACCAGCTCGTCTGAGTCCGCGACGATGGCGCGGAAATGGAATGTTGGAGGTAGGAACCTGGCGTTGATTAGGCAACGAAGAAGAAGAGAGAAGTGACGAACAAGTAAAGGAGGGGAGAGGGGGGAAAGTGTCAGACGAAGGGGGTGGGTGATGATTGACTCACCTTGATGTTCTTGTTTGCAAAATCGATGGCGGGGTTTGGTCTGTCGTAGTTGATCTGCTTGGGAATGATGCCCTTTTCAACAACGAGGATAGCTTTGATTAGACCAGCGATACCTGCAGCGCCCTCCAGGTGACCCACGTTGGCCTTGACTGACCCGACAACCAGAGGCTCGTTTGCTGCACGGCCCTGACAGAGGCTGTCGTGTACTCCTTGAATTTCTCGAACGTCTCCAGCTTGTGTACCAGTTCCGTGGCATTCAACAAACCCGGTTTCTTTGGGATCCAACTTTGCACGTTTGTAGAGCTTTTGGATGTTCTGAAGTTGAGCTTTGGGATTAGGTTGAGTGAGCCCTGTCAGAAAAGAACAAAGACATCAGTACTGCTATCCCTCAAACAGATTTCAGTGCCCACGTACCAGCAGTCTTGCCATCGTGGTTGGCACGGCTACCACGGATGACAGCACGGATGCAGCTGTTGTCCCGAATGGCATCCTCGAGACGCTTCAGAACCACGACGCCGACTCCCTCGCCACGACCATAGCCATTGGCACGTTCATCAAACGCAAAGCATTTCCCATCAGGACTCAGCAAGCCAAGTGCCTGCATCGAAAATATGGTATTCGGCGTCAGAATGAGTCCTGAACCACCAGCAATGACCTATATAAAGTTAGCAGAGTGGAATCATCCACACTCCCCCTAGACGACTTGTCTCAAGTTTCCGTTTCACTTGAACACTCCTTGGTGACTGACCGCGTCTGTCTCTCTGCTGAGTAAGCTTTTACACCCGTCGTGAATGGCTGCGAGGCTCGCACTGCAGCCTGTGTCGACCGTCTGGCTCGGTCCATGGATATCCAGGAAATAAGAGATTCTATTAGCCAAGATGGAGTTGGCGGTGCCCGTGGCGCTGTATTGCGGTTGATCATCACGATCTCGGAGTACAATCTGCTCATAATCTGCTTCTGTTAATCACCTCGTTGGAAATCACCTCGACGGCGTCGGTTTCTTGCCTTTAACAAAAGATCCAACAAACACTCCAGTTTCAGTCCCTCTAATATCATTTCGATTGATTCCAGCTGTGTAATGCCCCATCAGTAAGCTGCCGTGCTAGGACAGGTCAAACATAGACTCGACGCACCATTATCCAAGGCTTCTATTGCGACTTCTAGTAGTATTCTCTGTTGGGGATCCATAGCTTTTGCCTCGTCTGGAGATATTCCAAAGTACTTGGAGGGTTCGAATTAGCTAAGAATCGGTTGGAAAGTTGGATTTCATGCCGTGTCATCTACGTACTGGAGCATCGAACGCAGCGATGTTTTGCTGGAGGAAATGAGCGCCGCGAACATTTGTCTTTCGAGCGTCAGTCAAGTTGTACCGCAGAAGAAGGGAGGCAGAATAATTCTTACGCTTCCTTGTCTTTTGGGATCCGGATGGTAGTGCGCATCCATGTTCATGCGATCCTTGGGAAATTCTGACCAGGCGCTCTCATAGTTGGCGAGCGTTTCCCACAAGGCTGCCGGCGAAGTCGCGGTGCCGGGGAAGCGACAGCCGATGCCAACGATGGCGATCGGCTCGATCCCATCATCCTCAGGCTCCATGTCAATGCTGGATAGTAGCGAACGTGTTTGAAGGAGTGGCTGCAAGCGAAGGTGCTGTGGTTGCAAGAAAGAGGGGCGCTTGTTGGGGGGAGAAAAACTCAAAGAATGCCTAAAGAGTGAAAGACAACATTGCTGAATAAAGGAAAATTCTGGCAAACGGAATTTTGCTCAGGTTCTTAGGTGTCTTCGCAGAGGCTTTTCGTGGGCCCTCAAACTAAGCTACTGCGCGAGGGTCCGGGGCTCTCTCAAAAAAGCGGACGAGGATCTCGCGATGAGGACTTGGTGTTTTTGATCGTCGCTCTACAAAGACCATTGGCGGACCTCAAGACCTGCACAAATAGCTTGCTGGCTCAAGGCAGGTAAGATCCAGGAAGGCTAGATCAAGCTTGTGCCTTCCATCGCACCTCTACTTCCTCGTTTGACAGACTCGACAAGATTCCACGTGAAGTCAGTCACAGCTCTATAATTTCGATCTGGTTCGAGATCACCTAACAAGCTTTCCTCCAGATCAGCATCAAAATTATCGTGATTCAACTGGCTCGAGCTTCGGAGGAATTACAAAGCCCTAGCTGTTCCTGTACAAGTCCAACTTAATGAGCTCGGGCGCCTAGCATGAAATGATCTCTTAGATATCGTGACTGAAATCGAGGCTGCATATACTTGGCAGCCTACACCTGTGTTCAGTGAGCAGGAAAAATTGATCGGGATACGTGGTATACTCTCACTAGTCTTTGTGATTAGGAGATGGGTTTCCAATTGTGCGCAAATTCACGACATGTCGAACTCATTTGGATACAATTATCAAAGCAAAATTGGAGGGCGAGTCAGCATCTTTTATTCCATTAGGTATGTAAAGAAAGATCTGTGGACTATAGGCTAGACAAGAAGCCGCATGACTTTGTCTACAACTGCAGGTGCTAGAGGTGAAAGAGAAACACCGTAGAAAGAGAATACGATGAACTCTATGCCACACATGTACCTGGCATTTCGAGCTAGATACAACTTTTAGCTGGGAGAGTGAGAGAGAGACAGAGACAGAAAGAGGAGGAGGGTTAGTGGTGTGTAGGATCAAGCCGACAAAGACTCCATCGTGTGCCAATATTGAGGCAAGTGGCCAGTAGTCTTTGTACAGCGAGTGACAGCCGCCATAAATAGTTACTGGGTAGTCTATTCTGGCATAGGGATGGCGGCTTCCACGATGACCTCACCCACCTATTGACCAGAGGCATGCAGGTCATAGGTACGAAAGGTAAGACTGGCAAGTCGTATTCAATTCGGACCAAGCTAGAGAGTGAATCAGGCCGAGCCGAAACTTGGTATCAGACATTTGACCGAGTGGCCCAAGCCTACTTCAACGGCCTTACAGAGGAAACTTAACAGTCGTTGGGAAGAGAAGTTGTAGTCACTGCTGGCTCCTGGTATGGTACCGCTCTGGCAGGAATTCCATGCTGTTTTTCAGTCACAGGACTCAGAATAAAAGCTATTGGGCCACAATCATGCATATCTGGGTGAGCAGATTAGTCAACGAGCCACAACTAGTATATGGGCCCATTGGCTGGTACGACTTGGCCGGATAAAACCCACCA